ATAGGGGAAACTGTGTGTCACCGTTAAACGTCACATTTTTACATTTTATAACACAATTATAAAGGTTATAAATCGAAATGTATTTCTTGAAAATTGACAGTTTTTCACAGTGAAAGTAAAGAAAATGTTTTATGAGGACTTTAGAGTAGAGTCCGTGCCCGAATTTAAGTGATAGTTTACTGCCGGCGAAATTAAAAGGTCAGTACAATGTTCATATAAACTGTTCAAATATTGACGTTGAGAAACTATTTAATATTTTTGTATTGAGATAATAAAATAATTTTCACATTTAGTATTATTTTACAAGAAAGGCACTTGTATGACATTTGACAACTGTCAACTAACTTAAAACTAACTTCAGCCTGTGACTAAAAACCTATTGCTAACTTCAGCCCGTGACTAAAGCGCGATAAAGCCACAACTTGTTAATGTGTATTTAAAAGGTCACTTAGTGTCATGGAAACATGTACGATAAAGGGCGTTTTAAAGGTGGGAGTAGAAAAAATATTTTAAATTTCCCCCGTTCTTTTTATATGTTTAATTTGGCGTCAGTCGGTCGCTATGATTGGTTGAACATTACCAAAAACTACACAGGTAGTGTAACTCAAAAACTACTGGTCATTTTTTTGTAATTTGATACATTGAATTGAATTTCTTACAAAAGAAGGTTACTGACCTGACTTTGTTTGCAAAGAAGTTACTTATTCGTAAGATATAAAATTGTGTTGTCGATAAACGAAACAATGTTGTAAAGGTTGTAATAAAAATGACATAATATGTATTTTTCTAGATTTTGTATCTTTGTAAATAAGTATGTAACGTTCCATATCGTACGAGACGACGTGGCTGGTTATAATAAGTAATCTGTAGCGGGTCGTCTTAACTGAAGAAAGAAATAAAATTCGAAACGACTCGCAAAAGAAGGATACTTAGTTCGAAAAAGTTTAAAGTCTCTACACGTCGAAAACTTCACAGATCAGTCCCCAAATTTACATTAATGACTCGCCTGGAAAATATCAAACCTATTTTCGTGTCAGCACCCACTTTAACTTTGCAACTGCGTGGCTAAGAACATTTTATTGTTTGGAAATCGTTGAATTCATTTGTTCGGCGCTTGTTGCTTGATTTCCCAACTTCACTATAAAAACATCCCGAAACATTATCACCTCCATGTGGAATAATACGCTTTATTTGGCCCCCAAGAACAACATACCTCGCACAATTTGACTTATGTTTACGCGTTGGTGCAAAATAATAGTATGATTTAAATTAAATATTTGTTAGAGCGCCATCTATAAAACAATAGAGTTACCAACTTGTAATAATGTCAAATGTCAAATTTTTATGTGTAAATCGAAATGTATTCCTAAAAAATTACCGTTTAAATACGACATAGAAGCTGTTTTTCGCAGTGAAAGTCAGTACAATATTCATATAAACTTTTCAAATATTTAATATTAATTAATATTAATATTTAATACTTTTGTATTTTAATACTTTTGTATTTTTGTATTGAGATAATAAAATAGTTTTCAAATTATGAAACCGTTATTGCTTTAGTTTTTGCAATAATATGGGATTTAATTATGGACTTGCCGGGGCAATGTTGTGAACGTTTAATCTAATAATGAGTAATGTAGGTTAAGAGACAGAGAATGGGATTTAATATTATTAAGATCCAGTTCACATATTTGAAATGTTACATTAATAAGCTGATCATTCCTGGCGGACGCCTTCCCTCCTTTTGTTATGCTAAGACATTTTGTGTCTTCTACTAAATTTCCGCCCATTTTGTCGCAATTAACACCCCTACATTGATATCGAACTGCACCCCAAACAATCTTATATTCAAATATCCAACCCTCTAATGTCTTTATTGTAAGGTTAAGCCCAAACTTCAGCTACAAACATATCATAACAAACTTACCAAAAAAAAACCTTTTATATACAGGGTTTAACTCGAAACTTGAAATTAAATGATTCGAGGGGGAAAATCAATCAGTACTAAAATTGGTCCTCATACTCTCCTCCTTATAGGGGGACAGGGCGTAACTTTAAAATTTCCAATGGAACACCCTATTTTTTATTGCATTCGACTAAAAATAGGTAGATTTTGTCTAAAAAAAATTTTCATATTTGTAATGAAAAAAATCGATTTTTCTTCTTATACGATTCTCCAATAATTTTTGAATAAAATACTTTATTTATTTATTTCATTTTAATATTCTGCTAACACTGCTCTGGGATATTCCTAAATCTCTAAATAATTCTCGTGTGCTTGCATGAGGATTAGCGGCCGCTGCTGATAATACATTAATTTCATTATTTACACCTGTGACTGTTGCTCGACGAACTCTTTTTCGGTTGAACACTCCCGTTTGTAGTAAACTGCTTGACTGTACGGTGAAATGAAGTACGTGATCGAATTTTTTCCGGAAAACGCTGAGCGTAGATATTAACAGCATCATCAAGATTCCTGCCTGCTTCTCCATAAATTAAAATCATTTCTATTTTTCTTTCAATTATGAATTACTGCTTAACGAAAGGAGGTATTTTTGTTTGCAAATTAATCTTCGAACTAAGTTGATAAAATAGTTTCTTTATACCTCAATAATAATTATTATTTATAATTAAATACCATTTATTTATACCTCAATTAGGATTAAATTAATTAATTGACAAAATAATGTTTTTTTACCTTAAATGAGGTATTTTTATTAAAACTAGTACAATAATCCTTTAAATTAAAGGATTTAATGACCATGGTGCGCAATTGATAATTATCACCGAATGAAATAATGTATAAAACTTAAACCAAAGGAAACTTAAATATTAGTTAAAAAATCGTGGGTACTTAAAAAATCAGATTTAATTTAATAAGATAATTATTACCAAAAAAGTGATATTTTTATAGAAAAATTATTGCAGATAGAACAAAATTGATTTTTTTTCATTACAAATATGAAAAAATGATTTAGACAAAATCTACCTATTTTTAGTTGAATGATCCGAATCTGCAATAAAAAATAGGGTGTTTCATTGGAAATTTTAAAGTTACCCCCTGTTCCCCCTACAAGGAGGAGAGTATGAGGACCAATTTTTGTACTGATTGATTTCCCCCCTCGAATCATTTAATTTTTATTTTAAACATTTTTTCGTAATATTAAATGACACCCTGTATAAAGCGTACAAAAGTAGCACTGGTACATTTTTAATTTAAAGGGTATTATTCTTTTTATGTCAAGCTTAAGATATCGACTGGATTGCCGACAAGGGACACGAATTACTTACTAACAACAACGATGTAGAAGAATTGAATTTAGATACTTTCTTGTTGTTTTCAAAACTTCCAATGAGCTACCAAACAAAAAAAACAGACAAATTGCCTATCATGCTGATTGAATTTATGCTGCGAACGGTTTTTTTATAATTTTATCAATATTCAAGATACGTAGATACTTATACATTTTTTTACTCAAAAACATATAATTTAAAAGAAACATTTCCTTTAATTTCAAGCTTTTCGTTTAAAATTAACAAAACCAAAACACAATAAACAAAAGCCAAACCCTGCAATTTCACTCAGCTTTGTGTGTATACGTAAATACGGTCTATTCTCATTTGCACGCTTGTTCTATTTATAATTGCCATTGGTCGGTTCAAGGTCGACCGTTTTTAAGAGAGTAGAAGACTTGGCACTTAATATTTTACTATTTTCATATTATCTCTAATTAGGATAGCTACATTACCAATTATCCTTGTGTGAAATATTGTATTAAAAAAAATAAAAGAAATTACTTTAGTATGACCCCCGTAGTTTAAAAATAATATGATGGGTCTTTATTGTAAAGTACGCTTTTATCAGTGGTACAATGAATTTAATAGGGGGTCTGTTTATTACAAAAGAAAACGAAGCAATGTTTGAAAAGGGGTTTTTATTAAAGCATTGTTGTAAAACATAAAATGGGACGACAATCAGCAAGCCAGAAAATAGTTTTAGAGGAAATTACAAAACTAGAAAAAATATTTTTAAATAACAAAGAACACAAATTTAATTTAATCCTATTTACAACTCGATTCTTTAGTTAATATTAGGCAAAAAATCATTGTTCATTCCGAATAAAATCTGTTAAAGTTGGAGTGTTAATGGAAATTACTTAGTTTGAAAAATAAATAAATAAAAACTGTTTTAAAAGCGTCCTGCTCCAGGCTAATACAAATACAAAAGTTTGTCCAGCACAAATACTGACGTTAAATAAAGTAAGATGTATTTGAAACTGTATACAGTTTCAAATACATCTTACTTACTAAAAATATATATTTGGTTACTAAATTTTATTTAGTTTAGTACAAAATTAAACTGAGATTCACCCTGTATACATACAATTTAGGCTTGAGATGAGATTTAAGGCAAAGTATTTTTCAGAAAACTAAGTTACAATGTATTACCTGTGTATGATAGTTTTTTAAAGATATTATGCAAAAAGTTTAGCGGATACATCCCAGGATGTCTCTTAAAATTGCAAAAATGTACGAAAGTGAATAAAAGAAAACTTTTATAATATACGGTCGGTGCAGTTTTAAAAACTTCCGAACTTTTAGATTACATATGTTCTGATATCAAATTAAATGGGAAGTTATTTTCAGAGTATTAAATCATTTTAAATCCTTTTTTACTACTAAACGCATATTCAGCTTTATTGAATCGTATCATTACAAGAACTGATAAGTTCATTTTATATCTACCCATATAGGGGTTACTTTTTTAACAAATATTTTCCTTTTACAAACCGTTCAAGCTTTACACAAAGTTGACCATTTACTTTTTTTGAATGCTGATATTTTTTCTTGGAGAGGCTCATTTCTTTAACGCTCTTCACCAAGTATTTTCAAGTAGGAAAAACTGTGTGAATAACAACTAACAAAGGTGATGGTTTTCTAACACATTCTCTTTTTTTCCATGGTGGTTGGTTGAATGGATAATTTCTTTTCACCACGACAGCTTTGTTATCAGGAACTCTGAGGACTTATCAACGAGCTGGATGTGACGATGACTTCGTCACGCTGAAATGCCCACGCGGTACCAGCATTGTCATCGATATTGCTCAATATGGTAAATCTGCTCCATCCAAGAACCCATGCGCCGCAAAGGCGACTCAATCCACCATCACCAAGTCGGCTTTCAACTTGAATGTCTCGTGCTTGTGGTCTAACACTTTGCAGGTTAGTAGGTAGTTGCTTTTGGGGGTACCATTGGTCCAAATGGTGGTTTGGTAATGTGGGATGCGAAAACTAAGAAGGCTTAGAAGGGCAACAAAAATTTTACAAGTTTCAGCCTAAATTAACTTTGATTCTTGCAATTTATATTCCACAATTGTAGGTTCATCCTACAATTATAACTTGAACTTACAATTGTAACTTGAACTTACAATTGTAACTTGAACTTACAATTAAAACTTGAACTTGCAATTGTAACTTGAACTTGCAATTGTAACTTGAACTTACAATTGTAACTTGAACTTACAATTGTAACTTGAACTTGCAATTGTAACTTGAACTTACAATTGTAACTTGAACTTACAATTGTAGGTTCAACCTACAACCTACAATTGTAACTTGAACTTACAGTTGTAACTTGAACTTACAATTGTAGGATCAACCTACAATTGTAACTTTGCCCTTCTGCGCCTTCTTAGAAAACCATCTGTAAGATGCTTGAAACATGCTACTCGCATCTTTTGACTTGTGGTGTTCATGTACGTATTTGACTAATAACTTTTAATTACAGAATACATTTTAGAGCGTCGTAATCATCTTTGGTTTATTTTCGGGACCTGTTTTGTAATAAAATTTTAATTTAGTTTGAACGTAAAAATCATGTTTTGAATTATAATTATTTGCAGAGTAAATGGGATGAAGTTGAGCAAGGAACGTGGGGAAGAGTAAGTTTATGAACAACTTAATAATCTGAAAAGGCATTTCGTAGATATTTTCTTATGCTTATGCTGAGTTATGCAAAAACACACACCTATTTTTCTACGTTCGATTTAATTTTCTATCGAATTATCTAAGGTAAATCCTGGGCTTAATTTACATATATATTTCCAATATTAATTATAGTTTTGAAGCAAAGTCAATACATTATCAAACATGTTAGATTCTGAAATCTGCCCATAAAATATCTTTCAATTTTTAAGAAACATTTTGATTTTTATTCGACATTAGACAAGAACTTCATATACTTGTATATCCAATATGGATTGAAAAATCAATGCTTACCAAAGAAGATTACACTACACTTACTAACAAAAACAAAACAAAATCGCATGCAGGTATGTCACACTGTTCTTTTTATTTGCAAAAGCTTTTCGAACAAAACCACTCAAAAATCGCTAACTTGCTTACTTTATTTTAACTAGCTCTGTCCCACTGACATCAGTATGTCTACTGCTGACTTTATTTTGTGGGGCAGAGCAATTTTTGCGTGGTTTGTCGGCAATAATCGAAAAGGGGATATAAAACAGCTGCCTAACTGACGCTACCTAGTATTCACTGTTGCAGACCGTCGTGGAGGCTTGCCAGAAAAAAACGACAATGCAAATTCCAGACGAATCCAAAAACATTCGGAGGAGACCCTTGTCCAGGAGTAAGAAAATATGTCGAAGTTGCATATAAGTGCAGACCTTGTAAGCAATTTTTCTGAATTAATTTTGTTAATATAATAATATATGATATATGATATATGATATATGATATATGATATATGATATATGATATATGATATATGATATATGATATATGATATATGATATATGATATATGATATATGATATATGATATAGGGGCATTCCACGTTACTCAGTAATTTTTGTCCCGCTCGTCACAATAAAAAAAATGTGAGTAAAAACCACACGTTATTAAATTTATTTTAAAATATTGTTTGTAATGCTTGTAATAAGCTTATTAGCACAATAAAAATAATATTATAACATAATAATTTAATAACTTGTGGTTTTTACTCACAATTTTTAATTGTGACGGGCGGGACAAAAATTACTGAGTAACGTGGAATGACCCTATATGATATATGATACATAATATATAATATATAATATATAATATATAATATATAATATATAATATATAATATATAATATATAATATATAATATATAATATATAATATATAATATATAATATATAATATATAATATATAATATATATTATATAATATATAATATATAATATATAATATATAATATATAATATATAATATATAATATATAATATATAATATATATTATAGAAATAAAAATGTGCTTAGAATTTGATGCATGCTTTTTACTGCCTTAAGAAAAGCTTCAAACGATTGTTATAAAAAATTTGTACCTAATGCAGTAAACCTGATATTCCGGCGCATCCGCCATTTTTGCAAAAACTTGCCGATCGAGTATGGATGTTTAAGTTTGCCTACTTTTAGATGAGTTTCGCAGCAAGGTGGCTTGCGAAAACGAGAGGATACAATTAAAGTGTAATCCTAACCAAAGAGTTGCGGTTTATAGCGCCAGCTATGGAAGAACGGAATACGAAAGCATCCAGTGCCCCCAACCGCAGGGTGTTCCCGAAGAAAGTAAGTTCATTATTCGCGAAATTCTTCTAGACAAAGCCGGCTTAATTTAAAATGTTGAAAGTAAAAAAGAGAAATTCCGTTTAAAGGGGTTGCGGGAGCTTTAATGTCCCTAAATGAAGACAAACTTTTTGTTTTTTGCTAATGAAAAATACTCCGTTGTAAATATTGCCTAACTACTTTAAATGTAAAATTTAACGAATTATTAAATAGTAATATGGAGATGATGTTTGCAGCTTGTTTGGTGAGCTACGCAACTGAAACTGTGATGCATAGATGTCATGGACAACGCAGCTGCGAACTTACAGCTGACAGCAGCACATTTGGGGAGATTTGTAAAGTCAACTCGAGAAAATACTTAAAAGTTGTTTACGCTTGCGGTAAGAAAGTTTCGGATACTTAAATATCGAAATGTTGAGGGAATATGTGTTCAGTATTATATTCGATCGACGAAATTTCAGAAGACTTTATTTAGTTGTTAAATCGTCTCAGGGTGAATACAAAAGTCGCATTGATTACAACTAAAAAAAATGATCCTGAGACGATTCAACAAATCTTCTAAGGTCTTCTAAAATGACCACAAAGGATGCATTTTTTCGTAGGTTTTATGAAATAGTATTGGAATGTTTTAGTGCCTAGGAAGGTGTTGAAGGAGAAGTACGAGGGTCAGTCAGAGCCCGACGAAATGGACAATGTGGAGGATCAAGAGGACGACGACGACTTTGACACTTACGACGCAGGAAACGAGTTTATCCGCGAGTCGGCCGCATCTCCGCCGGCTCCAAATAGCGAAGGCAAGGATGATAATTACACAAAAGAAGCCAATGCAAAAAATCCACCACACACCTCCAACGGGCTTGATTTTGGTATGTTAGCATGTCTCCATTTTCCAATTCAATGCGCTTACCGCCACCCATTAACTATTTGAATTTCGACTTTGTGCCTTTGCTGATCAATAGATAAAGTTTGCTTCAGTTTATTGATTCAGTCAACCCAAACTTCTTCGTCTGTTTTTATCTATCATGCACAATGCATCCGTGCATGATTTGCCAGCTTATTTGTGCTTGCTTAGGAAACAAACTTCAACGCTAAGAGTAAGTATTAACGGTCTCGGATTACCCTCCCATACATTAACATTATATACATATATCATGAGTTTTTAAAGTCAATGATACAGGACAGATTTTTTTATAATACTTTGCAAAATGTGAGAAGACTGGATAGACAACATACATACAAAATAAACATTCAATTTTCTTAGTTGAAAAACAAGAAACTTTCTTGACCCATTACTGGTATTACTCAAGAGGAATTGAACCCTTACCTCGCCAGAGTTTTTGTTTTGAAAGCATTCCACTAACTTTAAATACCGACAGACAGCTGTTTCGACCTATATTGGGCCTCGTCAGTGTTGGGCAACTTGTTGTAGTGCAACACACCTAAAACAAAAGACTACATGAGCTTATATACCGCCCAAGTAAGCCAACAGCGGCGAGATGTAAGAACATCACGTGATCCACCGTCTCGCCGCTGTTCGCTTACTTGGGCAGTATATAAGCTCAAAAAAAATAGTCTTTTGTTTTGGGCGTTTGTCGGTATTGAAGTTGGTGGAACGCACTCAAAACAAAAACTCTGGCGAGGTGAATTTTCAATTTCTCTATACATACAAGACTATACTATAGACAGAAGCAGGACTGGACAAAAGAAAGACTAAACACAGACAATACTAAACTCGGATAAGACTAGACACTGACAAGACTGAACAAAGACAAAACTAGACACGGACAAGACTATTCAAATAAAAAACTAGACTACATCTCATAAGGGGTCCCACCAAGGCCAAGGCTATTCAAAGCAAGGGTAATCCGATGCTGAACCACAAAACATAATCGGGAAATTCGGACGGGCTGACAAAGGGGGTAAGTGATGTTTTGTGTGTGTTTGCTTGCAGTATACAAAACGGGCGGTTACGAGACAAAATCAAAGTCGAAAAGTCGCAAGACGCCGGAGCCGAATTGCACGATAACAATTTACACGAGCGGCGAGAACAAAAGGACCGAGATCATCGGATTCGTGTCCGAATGGATTAACGCGTACACATTCCTGGCACGTAAGTATACTGTTTTTGGGAGGGGGTGAAAGGGGCGCGGGGGGGACGCCGGTACGTGCATTGTGCGTGCATCCATGCATGGCCCATACAACCAGCATTCCGAAGCACTGTTTATCCAAAGCTTAGTTAACATAATCGAAAACTTACTCGTTATTGACCGTAGGATGCACATTTCTCCCCCTATGCATGCATTATCACTGTTTGCCTGATGTGTTTTATAGAAACATAACAATTTAACACTATATAATTTTGTCACCCTTAGTTTATTTAAGTTTAACGCCAAAAATTGTTGTGGACAACTGTTACTAAATAGTACAAATCAAATAATTATAATTATTAAACTGTTTAAATCTTGGCTAACACGACTACGACATACTGGACAGACAAGACAAGATAATATATATAACGTTTTATATGTTATATATATTTTAGAAGGGCAGGAAGACGAAAGTCGTTAGCCTTTTGGATTTACAATAAAGTTTATTATTATTATTATTATATTTTAGTTTTTTCAAGAAACTTGACCCATTACTGGTATTATTCAAGAGGAATTGAACCTTTTCCTCGCCATAGTTTTTGTTTCGAGTGCGTTCCACCAACTTCAAATACCGACAGACAGCTGTTTCGACCTATATTGGGTCTCATCAGGTCGGGCAACTTGGTGTAGTGGATCCCACTTAAAACAAAGCCCAAGTAAGCCAACAGCGGCGAGATGTAAGAACATCACGGTAGTATTTTGTTTTGGGTGTGTCAATATAGGTCGAAACAGCTGTCTGTCGGTATTTGTAGTTGGTGAGGTGAAGGTTGAATTCCTCTATACAGACAAGACTAAACACAACGAGATATACAGTCCGTTCAGGCTAAGTTGAGCGCTTTGGTAAGGGATCGTGTGGCCGTTGATTAAATTAAATATCGAATCCTCGAGAGATTTCGGTAACAAGAAGATGATTTATCAGTGCCGCGGCTTGCAGTTTGTTCGTAAAGAGCGGCTACCGAAATACATGTATTTAATTGTGCCTTAACATAGAGATGATGGACGGGGTGACATTCCTTAGACCGCTCAACTTAGCCTGAACGGACAGTACAAGACCTAAACCACAGTGTACCAAAAAGCAGCACAGACCGTCCAGCAATCTAAGCGGCTCGAGTCTTTGCCCAAACCACGCAGAAAGGACTAGAAAAACAAGAATCGACAAAGAAAATACTAGACACAGACAAAATCTAGACTAAACACTAGCAAAACTAGACACAGATAGAGACGAGACTAAACAAAAAAGACAAGAAACAGCTGTAGGTGGCGTACGCTGTTCATTTGATCTTTCTGACACCTTTCCACGAAATTTGCAGAAAACCAAGAGCGTTTCTACTTGTACCTGGTGGTGAGCATAGGGGCCGGGCTTCTATTGCTGCTCAGCTTCATAGTGGGCCGACTGCTCTACCAGATGCACCGCAGCCGTCGCGAGGCGAAGTTTCGCACGACTAACGTCGACGAGAACTCCTTGCCTAACGGCTTCGCCGACGACATCAGCGAAGTCGACGCCGACATCGACTTCACCACGCCGTTGCCGATGCCGGTGCCGTCTGTGACGGTGCACTCGCCGGCCGCGGTCGGCAGCGTTGCCGAGGTGGTGCGGTACCCGCTCGTGCACTCCCACCACACCATCAGAAGGGCCGACTGCGACGCGCCGCCGAGGAGTTTGAGTAGCGGCAGCAGTCGCTACTACTACGGATGACCAGAGTGCCCGGCGCGTGGCCCTCAATCGCCCACTTCGTCCACGTGCCCGGGCCAGCGTACCTATTGCTTCTAAGTGCGTCAGTTTTAACTATTCGCGAATGCCAAAAGTGAAACCAGACCAAAGATTTTTTCACCTCCAAACTCTTACATCCGGTTTATACGACGCGCACGCAATCACAGTCCTAATCGCACAAAATAGTCCACTGACATTTTTCACGAAAGGCGTTCAGCATTTTACTGAAATAGTCAGACCCTTGTGGAAATTTTTCTCTGAGAAAGTCTTACTTTCTCTGAAAAAAGTCTGAATAAGTCTTATTAAGTCAGACTAATAGCAAGATTTGGGAGTCTTCTGGAAGAGTTAATAAGACTTTTAGTAGAGAAATGGTAGGTACCTATGGCGATACAAATAAATATCCGAAATAATTCATAGAGGTTGTATTTGGTTATCGTAAAATAAAACACATAATAAAAGTATTTATTAACATTTTTGCTGTTGTTATAAGCCAAGTTTATTGCATAATTACCTATATAATAATATAGGTAAGATGTAATAATTATAACAATTATAATTTTATACATACGATGCGCTTGACATGCTTTCATTGTTTCCACCATAGAAAAAGGAGTTAATATCATGTCTATAGACATGATATTTTCGATAGACTCATAAGACAAATACGGTTGATCTTCGTGTTTACGTACAGTGTTGCCATAAAAGTTCCTGACCATAAATTACAAAATACCAAAATAATAATAAAAATGTAACAGGATAGAATAAAATAATTGTGCATATTTAGTAAATATACAATATTATTTACTGAAAATTTCTTTTGTTATTATTTTGATAGAAATTTGCAAATCACCCAATTTCACCCGCAAATATTACGAAAATACCCGATTTTCGAGTAAAATACTTGCAAACGGCAACACTGTGTCCCACTGACAGGTCAGCTAGCTGATATTACGTCTAGAAGATTTGTTTGTAACAATCATAGACGACTGTAACAATGTTTAGATAGGTAAATATTTGCGTGTATCAAAAGAAACTATTAAAATAAAACGTACAGTGGCAACTCCTTTTTCTATGGTGGAAACAATGAAAGCATGCATGTCAAGCGCATCGTATGTATAAAATTATAATTGTTATAATTATTACATCTTACCTATGTTATTATATAGGTAATTATGCAATAAACTTGGCTTATAACAACAGAAAAAATGTTAATAAATACTTTTCTATGTGTTTTATTTTACGATAACCAAATACGACCTATTTCGGATATTTATTTTTATCACCGTAGGTACCTACCATTTCTTTACTAAAAGTCTTATTAAGTCTTAAAAAGTCTTATTAACTCTTCCAGAAGACTCCCAAATCTTGCTATTAGTCTGACTTAATAAGTATTATTCAAACTTTTTCAGAGAAAGTAAGACTTTCTCAGAGAAAAATTTCCACAAGGGGACAGATCTTTTACTTGAAAAAGGACAACTTTGGTGATATGCTGAACAATCTTTGGTGTCACTTCAGTCTGTTAAGGCATCAGCATCAGCACTTCAAACTGTCCAATAAAATTGTAATTCTTCTAAAAAATTATTCTTATCATTATGATTAGGACTATGATTGTGCAAATGTTGGATAAACCCGGCTTTATTTATATTAAATCAAATATATTACATAAATAAACATTATTTATTAATGACTCTAGCTCAAATTAAAAAATCTCTACTCTGGATTTTTTAGAGGTTTGTTAATTTATGCGTCAACACATACATATTTATACGTAATTAAGATTATAGTAAGAGTTTATTTATTAGGTTTGTTCCTATAAGTACTATTGCGCATGCGTCTGACTGTTTTAGACAAATTCGAATTCTTGTAGGAACAAACCTGTAATAACCTGATGATACCCACCTATACGAATGCGATCTAAATGCATTTTCTAAAAAGTCTAGCATTTTTAGATTTACCTTGTATATATTTAGCAATTTCTAGAAAATGCAGTTCGATTTTTCTTTCTTTCCGCTAAAAATTTTTATAATATATCATGTTTGACGTTAAATCTTACTATACTCTTACTTATTAAATAGTTAAATAATTTATCAAAAATTGTTTATACGGTATTGAAAGTTTCGTAATTTTCTTTATGCAGCGAGTAAGAGAGAGACGAATGTATCCCCCGCCATACTCTTAGTAGTTGCATATAGAAAATTACGAAATTTCCGACACGGTAAATAAGTCTTTCTCATGGAAAAATTGTATAGTTTAAAACTAAATGTAAAAAATAACACAATTTTTTGTTTGTTAAATAAACTAAGTGTTTGTAAAATAAATCTATTACTAAAGACAATTTGTTTAAATAAATAACTTCTTTAAAAATAAAATTTATTTATATAATAAATACATTAAAAGACAAAAAAAATACTTAAAATACACAACATAAAAACTGATATTCTTATTTTGTCACTGGATGAGGTGCACTTGTTATTTTTATAAACACTCCCTATATGGCATTGACAAACATTGCTTCTACAAACAAAGTCGTCACCTAATACAAATGTACACTCAAAATTCTTACTGCAGAATGTTGAATAACCTAAAAAAAATATTATTTTCTTGAATTCTCTTTCTTCCAAAAATTAACTTACTTTTATTAATATAACAGTTCCCATGCTCCTCGACATACACACAATTTTCTTGGCAGGCACATTTTTTTTCCTTCGAACATTCCGCAAAGTTGAATTTTGAACATTGCAACGGTTCATCACAAGCATCGCCGATTTTATTGGCCACTGAAATGAAGTTTGTCATAGTTAAAATTGAAGCTGTGATCCAACACAATCAGACCTCTTAAATATTAAATGTTTACCTTTAATACATGTACTTTTGTTCAAGGATAAAACATACTCTCCACTACATTGACAAGTTCCAGCTATACATAGCATGCCTTCTGGGCAGCTGTCATACAAACAGATTCCTCCATGGACAGGGCTACATTCTTGAACCTTATCATTGATTTTTTTATAACCTTCGTTACATATACATTTTGTACCCACGCAACTGCTATATTTTCCACATTCAATATCACTAAGACATATATCTAAAAAAAATATTAGTTTTTAATTATGTTAAAGTTAACTAACGTACCGTCTCTTGCAAAATTTGATGTTGGAATACAAGCCATTACACTTTCATCCATTGTGGTGTTTTCAGCACAATGACATTTTTTATCTTCACAATATGAATATGGACCATAGGATTTACACCATGAGTCAGTTAAACAATAGCTACTAGCCTGTGAAGTACCTTAAAACAATTAATACTAAACTCTGTATAAATGGTCAAAATCCTTACTTTTAGTGCATTCTTTAAACTCGTCGTTTGTATAAGCATTATCCAAACAGCTACAAGTACTAGTAGCACAACTAGCAAAAACATTTGAACATTCGTTTGAATTTTTGCATGTGGCTCCAATTTCTCCCACACATTTACCATCCCTCAAAAAATACCCTTTTTTGCATATACAAGTCTTGGAGAGGTCGAGACACATAGAGTTTTCTATTTTGCAATCTTTATCAATGCTGCATGAACTGAAGCCTAAAAACGCTATTATAATACAAGGTTCAAGTGAAATTTTGATATGTTACAAGGTATTGAACAAAAACATCTTGTCAACACATTTTTAGAGTCTTTCAATAAAAAATACCTGGTAAGCAGCTTCCTTTGATTCTGGTAAATCCTGGTAGACACTGACAAACACTTTCCTCACATTTTGAGTTCAAATCATCGCAATCCATATTTTCCGTGCAATTGGAAAAACCTTCTTTTTTATTTACTGAAGTGGTTAATTCTATTAAATTATTTATATTTTCTTCCTCAATATGTTTAGTTGGATTTTCGCACTTTCCCAGTAAATTACATTTATTACCAGTACCGGCTTGTATACAATCTAAATCTATGGAGCAAAGAGAAGCTAAAAAAGAATGCATGCAATAAAAAAAATAAACATTTTATTCATTAGACATACTACTAATTTTTCTACAGTCGATACCATCCCTTAGATAGTAACCACCATTACATTCACATTTCTTTGTAACCACGCCACAGGTCATGGCTTTAACATCATAACCATTATAACATTCATCATTTTGTTCACAGTGTTCATTTAAATTTGCCTGTTTAAGGCATTTACCCTTGTACCAATATTTGCCATCCCCACATGTGCACTTATTTTTAGTACAAACAAATGATTGTTCATATGCCTTACATTGATCATCTTCTTGGCAGAAATCCTTATAGGCAGTGGCATCTAATAGAAACAAAATATATTATAGTATATATATTATATTTGGATCGTTACTTTCTATAGAAAGCAATAAACCATTGTACTGGGAAGAATACCGTGCTCTGATTGGCTTTTTGCTTTCTATGAAGATATTTTTTATAGAAAGTTATACCTACATGTTAAGCACTTTGTTTTATCGACTGACAAATAAGAAAGGGCATCACAAATACATTTATTCTCAATACATTTGGAATTTATAGTTGTGCAAGTTGTAGATGAATCACACTTTTCATTTAAACCTTGTATACCTAAGAAAGTACCATTTAATTTTTTTATATATAAAAATAATAAAAATAATTGAATTTACCTGTGGTGAATAAAAAAATCGTCACCAAAAAAACCCACTTCATGGCTACGCAATTGTTGGACCACATATGATACATGTGTGATAAAAATTAGGCAAAATCTTTATCTTTAATTGATTGATAATAAACACCTGTATATACACATGCTTATAATCAATTAAGTATGTTAAACAGATGTGAAATTTTTAAAAAACAATAAAATAGATAAAATTTATTGAACAAAAAAACCTAAACAACAAATAGGTAAAAAAACATTAAAATGAACACACTGGGTATAAATTTTATACTATAAAATAAAAACATATTGCTAATGTCCCAAACGACAAATGTATCTACTTCCAGCGTTTCCATAATGAATTAAACAACTTTTGTAACGTTGCTGTACCATGACAATTTCGGCGTGGGGAGGAACTGTAGCCTTAAATAACATTTCCAAAGCCTTACAAAACCCTTCAGCCGCTTCAGCAAAGTCAGCTTTCATAAAAGACTCTTCTGCATTGGCAAGAATGACTTCTAAATGCTAAAAAATGCATGTTAACAGTTTGTTGTTATAAACTTCTCTCAACAGATGTCACTGGTTCATAGAAGTGATATCTGTTGACAACAAACTTTTAAACAGCTTCAAAATTTAAAAAATATTTACCACGACGTGAAATGACAATGTAAAAAGGTGTATAACTAAATAAGACTTACCATAAGACTAGCCAAGCCATTTAAAATCGGCATGCAAGCCTTACAACTGGGACAGCCAATTATAGGTTCATCAGTCATACTGAAAGTGAATACTTGAGGGCAGCTTGACGTGCAGCATTTCATCGCAACAAGGTCTTTTTCCATTTCATCGAATAGAGGCCAATTTTTCGTGCATGCATTACATTTACACGTAAAGATATATTTATCGAGAAGATACCTCTGGCGCTCTAATTTTCCCTCACTCATGTATAAAGGCCCATAGTTCTCATAAATCGGTTGGCCAGCCTTAATGGGTTTTATGGCTTTAACCACTATTTTTGAGTTTATGTTATATCTAAAACATTAAGGAACATTAAGGACTATGAAAATATGTAGGCAACCCAGAACGCATACCTGGCAATTGAGGGATCACAGGAATGATTGAAGAGAGCCAATGTTGGGTAAAGGGCAGCTCCGATGCCAACATTGGCATAGAAACTTTTCATGCCCCTTTCGACGACTGGATTCTCCACGTTTCTTAGCTCGGAAATCTCATGTGAGTTGTACTGAAGCATCTGGAAGTGCCTCAACATTAAAGCCCCAATGTAAACTTCATCATCGGTTATAATGTCGTCGTGTGTCGGTTCTGGGCCGAAAAAGTTGCTTAATTTCAGTACTCGTAGGAGGTGAATCGCCATGAAGGTCCAGTGGCGCAGTTGCGATGGGTGCGTGGACCTTTCGTTGCGACACAAGGAAAAAACCATGTCGTAATCGTCGCTTTTGTAGACCGGTTTCTTCCGGAAAATATGATCGGAGCACTTGTCGGCGAAGAAACCTTTGTACTTGTTGTATTTGTCTTTGAAGGTGTTTATGTGCTGTTTGGTGATCAGCCTTAGCGCCAGCAGGCAGTTAATGGAAGGATCGTTGTTTATTAGACTGGCCAAAATTCCGCACTCGTACTTATGGAAACTCTTGTGGGCCAGGTTTTCGCATTTCGTGCTGCAAAAACCGACGATCGGACAGCCGCGGCAAGGAACAATCGTTTTGATGGAGGCGCAGCAGTACTGGCAATTCTTCAGCCAATTTTCGCAGGACAGAACAACCGCGTGGGGATTTTCCTCCAAAATCATTGTACCAACGGGTATATCTTGAACGGCCACAGCATATCTCCCCAAAACCTTGCTCTCTTCTATTGTAGCCAACTCTGTGAGAGCCTTGTATTTCTCATGGGGGATGATTTTACCAGTCTCTTCTGTAGGCGTGTATATATTAAATCCAATATTGTAAAACGAAGTCGCCAATTGCAGCTGATACTGCTCGATTTCCTTTTTTTTGCTATGCAGAGCTCTGCCATCGAAATTGCACGACATTAAGGCCGTTTTGGCTAGTTCAAAGTTTTCGTAAGCTTGCTGCTTATCGTTGAGCATATCGAAACATTTGGCCTTGCGAATCCAGATTTTATAGATAAGTGTTTTTGGGTAGAAGCCGACTTCAAAGCAGTAATCAATATCGAGGAAGCAATTGTGAAACATGCCCAATTCGAAGTTACAAGCAGATCGGTTTGCTACCAATATTGAAAGAACTTCCTTTGAAGCATCTACAATAAATAGTTCAATTTAGAACATCTCCTCTAGCATTTTTTTTAATTCGTAGAATTGCAGGAGTTATTTAATTTTTAAAGCCGCCAATGAGAGTGCAGTATTTCTTATTAGATTGTAGGTAGGCAACCCAGATTACAGGTCGATAATATCTTGGTAATATATCATAAAAAGGTATATTATTTTCATAAGAGAAATTTAATAAAATAATCATATGTATGGTAAAGTACTTTTTCCATTAAATTTAAATAAAATTCAGTTCATTTTTTTTTATTTGCACTCGTGTTTTTTTATTAAGTTTGTAGCTTGCCAGTGTGATTTGGTATTTTAAGTATTTAAAAATGGTACTTCTGCTGAAGACCTTAATTAAATACTCTGACACTGTCAAATTCAAGATAGATCCAGATCCACTTAACTGGGGGTCTTCAAGTTTAACCAAAACATAAAACATAGTGAGCTGGCTAAATAGTTTCCTAAGATGCTAAAGGCCAAAAAATGTAAGAAGAAGAAGACACTGTCAAATTGACAGTAATATTTATTATTAACTATGCCAAAAATAATATCAAATTCTAAAGTAAAAGAACATCACCTTATGGACATTTTTGGAGTAAAAAAGTAACGTTTTTGGTTTAACAAATATTAAATCACACATTATTTTCAGCTAAGCAGATCAAAAATTTTTTAAACTTTAAAAAATAAGGGGGAAATAATGATTGGACAATATTTACGTGTGTTCACTTAAAATTTTAATATCTTTTATATAAATTCTTTTTAAAGTGAAGACTATTATCCGCTAGGAATACTTTGTCTCTCCCGTAGTCACCTATATTTAATTACTTTTTTATATGATTTTACTCATCTACGCACCACCAAAGCCAAATTAATTGCATTTTTATCTATCAATTTTGACAACTCAACTTGACAACTGTAACGTACAATAATTTAAAAATAACCACAATTACATTATAATGACATTTAATGTTTTTAATCAATGCAACCAATTTTGTTTCTTTATTTACCAACCAAAACCCTAAATTTGCAACGTTGCCGCAGTCCAGATAAAAAAAATTAACTTTACTTTTTTTTTCAAATTCCTATAGCATGGCGACATTTTACGTTACTGCAATTTAAATAGGTGCGATTTTTACATGATTGGATGCTCTTGTAAAGTACTTGCAAACAGTTTTACTACAATTCATATATTTAGATATAAAGGATATGTCACCAAAGTCATATTTTTAATTAAAAACCGTATTTTTGGATTTTACGGCAAAACTGTTAAAATTACAGATAAAAGGTTAATAAGATTTTTATAGAAAATTAAATTTTCCATAAAAAAAGTCTTATGCAATAATGCAATAAAATGCATAGTTTAAAAGATATAGAGCATTTAATAAATTGTATTGTCAAATAGCCTATGTCGTTTAACATAAAAACTGTTAAAGTTACAGTTAAAAACAAAAACAAAACTTTTTTGAAAATTCAATTTTCTACAAAAAAAGCCCTTTGGGTTAATGCAATAAAATGCATATTTAAAAAGATACAAAACATTTAATAAATTTTACTGTCAAATATTGATAAACTAATTGGTCTTATGTTGTTTTAAGGCACAAAGTTAAAGGTACAGGTAAAAAGTAAACCATAGTTTTATAGGAAATTTAATTTCCTACAAAAATAATGTTATGCATTAATGTAATAAAATGTATACTTTAGAAGATATAGAGAATTTAATACATTTTCTGGTCAACTATTGATAAAGAAATTAGTTTTATTGTTATTTGACAGTAACATTTATTAAATGCAATATATCTTTAAAACTAAGTACCTATGCATTTTACTGGATTAGGTAATACATAAAATCCTTTTTATACAAAATTAAATTTTTTATTTTTTTTCTTATTCTATGATAAATATAATCTAAAACCTGTTCAAGAATGTAAACCAAAAATAAATAATACCTTATTAAAAAAATAAAATTTACCTGAATCCTGTGGACAAGTGATCACACCTTGGTTGTAATATTTTAAAGCCTGTCCGTACATTTTCTTACGAAAGCAGTCATTGCCTTCGGTTCTTCTAAACTCCGCCTGTCTAAGATCCTTTTTTTGGTTAGAATAGGTGTTAATTAAGACCTTTTTTGCGTGTGGGTACAGACATCTAATCCTAGTGAGGCTATCATTGATGAGTTCGAAGTCATCGTCTGGTCCAAATCTGGTCGCTCCATCTTTACAGCGCGATTCTAAGTCGAATTTTCGAAAAGAATCCGACATGGTTTTAGACACTTTTAAATATTTGTATTGGTAGCGGTTTATTTCCGTAATCTCAGTCAGTCTAAAAATAAATTCATACGCTGTTGTAGTACGCGTATGTATAACATTGAAATTTGTGCTTACCTTTGATATATCACAGGTATAATTTTGGTTTTTACTTAGCAACTCACTCAAACAGTAGTTTAGAACGCAAATTACGGCGTGTCATCGAGAAGAAAGAGAAATTTAACGTATTTTCCATCGAATGTCTATTGTTTTAGCGACCATGCTTACTGATGAAAATATTACGACCAATAGTATTTCGGAAAGAGGGAGAGCGCGATATATCTTAATACGACAGCCGCATGTGTCAGATAAAGAGAGAGAAACACTTGGGTGCGCGTGCAGCGTTGCCAGATCAGCTTCGTGATCCGGCAGTAGATTTTCATGGGAAAACACTAGAGCCTACTGTTGTGACGGTAGAATTAATATTTTGGGCCTTTAAAATTCTTTTCATTGGTTTATTTTATCAAATCATTTATAAATACTACTTTTTTTATTGACAAATATCAATATTCTACTGTTTTTACACGAATTTTGGTGTATAAACCGTGGAATAATGGTATTTATTAATTAAAAAGTAGTAATTATCATAAATCGGTACTTATTTGGTAAAATAATTCAAATAAAATATTTATAAAGGTTCAAATCCAGTAGACGTGGCAACAGCGGGCACCTATCGACTTGGTGTGCGCATGTGCCTTAGCCGGCGTTGTCGTGTCAAGTTTGACGTTTCTAATATCGAAATGTTATTTTTCGTTTACACCCCTTTTAGTACGAGTTCTGAATTGTACATAATTAACAAACAAAAGTAACGACGGTTTTTGGTTTCTAACATTTTAATTAGTAGATTAGTCAAGTATGAATTGTGAAAGTAAAGATGTATTTTTTAATTAGTTACTATGGCCAGAGATAGTGCGGGAAATTTAAAACATCGAAAAATTAACAATGAAAAACTAACATCTAATAAAAGTATGGTAGAGGACGGTAATGATTTTGTAAGTATGTTTTGTTGTAGTTGTGTCATTGACAAGTAATCCTCTAATATGTAAACAAAAGATAAAACAGTTTTTATAAAAAAATATGTTTCGTTCTGGCGATAATTTAAAACCGCTTACACTAGGTTTTTAATTAAAATGTGTTAATGTAATTAGTATTAATTTCATCGTGATATCAAATATGCTGCAGCATGGTAAGAAGCCATAGATGGAATATCACCCTTGTGTTGATATTATTAAATTTTTATTAGAGTTTTGGGTGTTTTTAGTTAAGATAAAACATTTATTTTTAATCTTTAACAAATTCTACTCTAACCCGCACAACAATCCTGAGTTTATAAGAGCTCATGTTATTTTTTACGTTTCAAGCATTTCATAATATTATGTGCTTAAATGAGCAAAAAGTGTGAGATTTGTAAAGGTAAAGTTGAGGTTAAATTATTAAACGTCGCATAATCCTCTGTGTGAATGCCAGCACAACTAAATTTTCTTACTACCTCGACTGAAAATACGTTGTTTCGTCCCCGATTCCACGGCAGAAAGTTTACGTTTCTTGCATTGGTCAAGCTATACACGCACACTCTATAATAGCGGGAGTAATAGTATATTACACTACAAGGGCAGAAAGTTTGAGATTCCTGCACTGCGCGCCATAATGCCCGAAGCGAGGCCGAGGGCATCATGGCGCGCAGTTCAGGGCTCTCACACTTTCTGCCCGTGTAGTGTATACTATTTTTCTTACTACCTCGGCCGAAAATACAACCCGGCCGAAAATACGGGAAAAAATTAAATGTGTATTTATGTACCTATCTCCATTTGAAGAGCTTGATAAATAAATAACAGTAGGCCGTGAATTCAGCGGTGCCAATACAGTAAAAATAAAAGGTTGTATTTTAATTAACAAATTACTACTTTATAACAAATAAAAGTACCAATAAACACTTAAAATAACATAAAAAGTAAAAAAGTAAAAACATAAATTGTTTATTTGTTGTTATAATTGCAAAATTATGCTTTAAAACTGTCATATTTTTGTGTTTCTTATGTTGGCAGTACGAAATTTGAATTTGAAACACACGACTAAAAAATTTTTACTCCCGCTATTATAGAGTGTGCGCGTATAGCTTGACCAATGCAAGAAACGTAAACTTTCTGCCGTGAAATCGGGGACGAAACAACGTATTTTGAGTCGAGGTAGTAAGAAAAAATTTTTTACTCGTGTGCTCAACATTTAATTTTTTCCCGTATTTTCGGCCGAGGTAGTAAGAAAAATAGTATACACTATACGGGCAGAAAGTGTGAGAGCCCTGAACTGCGCGCCATGATGCCCGAGGCGAAGCCGAGGAATCTCACACTTTCTGCCCTTGTAGTGTAATATACTATTCTTTCGATATGAGCTCAGCTGAGAAATGCATGAGAAATCAATTCGTGAGGTAAACTGCGAAAAATGTGTGCTCAGGGATGCTGTGAGGGAAGTGTTATTGGATTCTAATTGGAGATGATTTTAGGAAGAAGATGAAAATAGTCTATCATCTGACACCTGCGTCCTGTTGAATCGAGGTGGAGGCCAAAAGACTGATGTAGTAATAGTAGAAAAAGAACCACTATGGGCGACTGCTATACAAATGTTCATACCGTTTTTGCTGGCCGGTTTCGGCATGGTGGCAGCCAGCTTGCTGCTGGATAAAGTGCAGCATTGGCCAGTTTATCAAAAAGTGACTGAAGTTTACATCCTAGTCCCGGCGCTGTTGGGCCTGAAAGGCAACCTCGAGATGACCTTGGCGTCGAGACTATCCACGCACGCGAATTTGGGTCACCTGGACACCAAGAAGCAAAAGATCAGCCTGATCACGGGGAATCTGGCTTTGATTCTCTGCCAGGCCACGGTGGTGGGTTTTTTAGCCTCGGTAGCCGCAGTTGTATTCGGTTGGGTTCCTACTGGCGTCATCAACATCAAGCACGCCTTGCTACTGTGCGCCAGCAGCGTGGTGACCGCTTTCGGCGCCAGTTTTATCTTGGGTTTAGTCATGGTCGGCGTCATCATGTTTTCCCGGTACCTAAAAATCAATCCCGACAACGTGGCAACGCCGATCGCGGCGAGCCTGGGCGATCTGACCACGTTGGCTTGCTTATCGTGGCTCGCCTCGCTGTTTTACCGCACCATGGAAAGTCACCCGTGGCTGACCACCGTGCTGATTATTTTGGCGTTGCTACTGGTGCCTGTTTGGGCGTACATCGCCAGTCAAAATCAGTACACCCACACTGTGTTATTCAGCGGCTGGAGTCCCGTGATAACCGCCATGGTTATCAGCAGTATAGGGGGGTTGATACTGGATTTTACTGTATCGCAGTACAAGGGGGTGGCTGTTTTTCAGCTGGTCATCAACGGGGTAGGGGGCAATTTAGTGGCGGTGCAAGCCAGTAGAATATCGACGGAATTGCACAGCATATCTCAGCCGGGTTATTTACCCCGGCATATGCAGGTGTGCATAAGCCCGTGCGCGGCATTTTGCGACAGCCAAGAAACTAGTCATGCAGGCACCGCCAAAATGCTAATGCTTATGGTCATACCGGGTCATCTCATATTTTCCTACACCATAAGTTACCTACAAGCGGGTCATACGTCGTTCACCTTCATTTTCATGGTTGTCTACTTATTCGCCGCATTACTGCAGGTCATTCTTTTGTTGTACATCGCACAAGTCATGACCTTGAGCATGTGGAAGCACGAAATCGATCCCGATAACTCCGCCATACCGTATCTGACGGCGCTAGGTGATCTCCTCGGCACTTTGCTATTGGGAATTGCTTTCCAGTTCTTGTATCTCATCGGAGACAGGGACAGCGATGTAGGAGACTAATTTATGTATTTTTTTTAACTAGTCATGCGTTAATTCTACCCGGTACAAAGGGCCTAAGGGAGACACCACTGTAACGGAATTATGATAAAATATATAAACATTAACATATTAATTTAGAAAGAACTTTACTATCATATCAATTGGGGTGATGCAATATAAATTTTAATGAGTACCTACAGTGGTGTCCTCTGTAGGGCGAGACTAGATAGTCAGTATTTTTGTTCAAAACTAGCCATAAGGGGCCATATTATTGTATAAAGAATTGTTATATTATAAATTTGTACGAGGTGCTATAATTGTAAATATTTAATAAAACATTTTATATAAATATTTTGTTTCATTGGCCCCACTTTGTGGTGGGCTTCACACGTACCAGTATAATTTATTTCTCTCTTAAATTTTTATGCCAGAGACATTTAGATATTAATTTCTTAATGATGCTTCTTCCTTTTTTATTTGTTAATCAGCTAGAATATTTGTTAAATTCAAGGTCATCAATCAAAATTGTTATTTATTAATATAATGTACGATCCTCAAAAATTACGCTTACCAAGTTTATAAATGTTAATGTAAACATTAATTTATACCTACAATTTTGCAATATTATACAGGGTGTTTAAGAACCGTAACTTATTGTTATCAAACACAGAGTGTTGAGTAAAATGTTTTAAAAAATATATACATATAACTAAAAAACGAAGCAATACCGGACATTCTCCCATCAAAGGCAAATTTTGTTGCAGCATTTTTTTTCGTCCATGTTATTTTTACATCAATAAAAATTGCGTTATTTTTATAGACAATTTTGTCTGACAATAAAAACCCTGAAATTAAATTGATTAATTTTGCCAACATTTGTATCAATTAAAAAATTATTAATTCAATTCAAAATGGGTTTTGTAGCGTATATAATTCTTTTTTATTGCAATTATACAAAAAAACGGAAATAAAAAATAATGTTATGTTACAAAAAATAATTGCACTGGTTAAGGTTGATTTAAACGAAACTTTGTTGCTTAAGCAACCTTACACCAATTGGTATATACAGGGTGTTAAAAAATAAGGCCACTAGGAGAGTGAGCACCAAAAATACATAATTATAAGTATAGTTTTTCTTTGTAATATTTTTTTTTAATCAGTGTGAAACTATTTGTAAGTTATGTCGAAGGGAAAACGTCAAAATTTAGCCTAAAGTCTGATTTATAGAATGACTTCCATTCTTTCCCCCGTAAAAAATGAACAATACGAAAACCGTAGTGCTGTTTATAGATTACCGTACGGGAATATATAAACAGCATATTGTTCTCAATCCACACAACAAGGTCTGTTCTATCTCGTACTAAAAATACAAAAAATCACTGCAACACTGCACAGTTTAACGGCGGCCATTTTTGTTGTTTACAATGTTTGTGCTTTGGGTTGTGCTCTGTTTATACAGATTAATAATCGTTTTAAACGTTGTGTTTCTCATAGTAAGCCTTAATTTAAAAGAGACCTTAAAGTGCTAAGAACAACCAATTTACTCGTCTATTGTAAAAAATAAATTTTATTCTATCAGGGCTGTCATAAAACTGTCAAATGTCAATTTTAAGGTTAAATTATAACCCACAAATAAACCTTCAGGTTGTCATTTGACAGCCCTGATAGAATAAGGTATATTTATTATAAAAGAGGAGTAAAATGGTTGTCCTTAGCACTTAAAGGCCTTATTTGAGGCTTACAAGTGCCTCTATAAGAAACACAACGTTTAAAACAATTATTAAACAGCACAAACCTAAAGCACAAGAATTGTAAACAACAAAAATGGCCGCCGTTTAACTCTGTGCAGTGTTGCAGTGATTTTTAGTATTTTTAGCATGAGATAGAACAGACCTTGTTGTGTGGATTGTGATATTGTTTATCTTTTACGGGAGGAAGGAAGGAAGCCAATCTATAAATCAGGCTTAAGGGTTCAAACAACTACTAATTGCACTACGTGCAAAACGTTTATAAATATTTAAAATATAATTAATAAAAAACAAAAAATGTATTCATATGGCCAGAGAGGTTAGGAAACCCTGTATAATATAGAAAACGAAACAGTTGTTTATTTTGTGTAAAATTGAGTTGATGCGTGGTGAAACTTAAAGATGCGCATCACGTAACTTGTAAAAAGTGCGGAAGGAAAGCGGTGTAGATAAAAAGGTCCGGATTAAAGTTGCAATTCAAGGTTCTTTATCATAGCAAATTCATGAACCATTTTCACGCATTTAAACGATTTTATGAGGGCGTAATAGTATAATGACTATAATAACTTAAAGCTATTGCTGCACAATTGCGCCTATACATTTTAGAATAAGACTCACAATTGTAAGGTGCAAAAGCTCCACTGTTTCGCATTTTGACCAAGTCCGCCGTCTTACTCGCCACATACGACTATCCTTGAGTATTTAGTGCCAGTGCTTGATTTTTTAAATGCCTCCCAACGCAAAATATGAATTTTAACGATGTTGCTATCAAAGGGTGCCATAAAATCCTATCTAGATGACCACCGGGTAAGTACCTACTTGATTTTTTCAAATAAATTTTATCATTTCATTTGCAAGATTCTAGAAACAGGAAATTTGCAATTATCTTCAATAAATTCAAGCCACTACTAAGGATTATATTAAGAATGATATTAAAAAACCTGCGGTGTGCATTTTTTTATTATTCGGAAATTATGCCTAATTGAGTTAATTGTTACGTTAATTTTTAACCGCGTGTTAACTTCCTCGTTTATTTCAAAAAAGCCGTACAAAAATAAAATTGAACGGTGTATTTCTGTAATGCCCTATTTTATAGTAATTTCTTCTTATAAGTATACATGTAGGTCAATTGTCAATAGACGCTATATCTCACTGCATAAAATGCATATTTTGTTATTATTTATACAAACTAAAGAATATATTTTAGGCACATCCATTTAATCAATTGAAAAGACCCTAAATTATGATTTATATTTTACAATAAATTTAACAACAAAATTTCCACGCCATAAAAAATGCTATGTAATTTAAAATTATGTAAATAATAATTTACAATGTAATTGTTTATTTTTAATAGTGCATTATTGATATTGTTATTAAACTACGGTTAAAAATATCACGTTTTACATTCTCAAAAAGTATTAAATTTATTTTATTAAAAGTATTAAATTTTTGAAACAAGAAAGTCAAAATTTTTTATGACTTACGTACCCAGATACATTTGGAAGTTTATTTTATCTGCATAGAGGGTTGCGTGAATCCTCAACTGACTGTGATTGGTTGACGTTAAACGTAAGCCGTAAAAGATGTAGACCGAGCTTTACGGCTTACGTCTTACGTCAACCAATCACGGTTTTAAATTATCTAAATAATAATAATTATTTACTTGGTTATTGTTTATTTTTAATGCTACATATTGTTTTTCAACTACTAAACTAAAATATAAGAAATCTATTTTATAAGAGCTCGAGTGGGGCAATAAAATCGATAAATAAACATAAAAATAATTCAAAAGGGCGAAAAAAGTTCTACACTTTCCCACACAGGCTGCCCCCGCGTTTGTTAGACAAAATTCAATCGATATTCGTTCAGTATATCGCATGATGTAGCCAGAAGAACACCAAAAAGGCTTTCGGCCTTAACAAAATCGTACAAATTTTAACTGAAAAAATCTAATCAAGGTAAATACCATTTGAATTAGCTATTAATAAGTTTTTTTAGCGCTAGACTATTTTTTCTAATGACCGGACATGATCAAATCATATATAATTATTTATTATACAGTTAGGTACTTGCTAAAAATGCTATGGTGATTAGTATAAAAAATTTAAATATATGCACTTGTTAATATGTGACTTTTATCATTTTAGTTTTGAGTTTTAATTTTTTTGGTTTAAAACTATTTGATAACAATGCCTTTTACAAAATTGTTTTAGTTTTTGGTTAAATATATATATATTCGAAAAATTGTGCAATGCCCAAGTAAGTGTTAAACAAAAATAAATATATGATGATTTAATTAAAACAAATATTATTTTAATTAATTATAGTAAATAGCAAACAATGATAATAATAAAAAATACTATCAAATTTAATTTGGCGCGACTGATAACATGTCAGCTTTAAATTGATGATTAATGTCACATTTTTTATTGCTTAAAATAAAAAATAAAAATATTAAAAACCTACTCAATATTATCAGGGTAACGAATTTATTTTTGTAAATGCAAATAAATTATTATAATCGCAAATGACGGAATTGATTTAAATATGTTTACTGATTTACAATTTAATTATATAAAAATGTATCAAATGTCCATGTTGTTTCCGCGAATGACAATGACAAATGTCACCACTGACAAAATACCGATTTTTGATGTTTTTCCATTGCCTACTAATTCGCTTGTTTTTTTTAATGAAATTATGTGGAGAACTGTATTCCCAGATCAAGAACTTAAAAAAAACACAAAAATTATGAGGATTTTTCCTCCAGTTTAAAAAACCCTAAAAGCTTCATAATAGTTATTTATGTCATTAGGTTAAGAAGTAAGGCTTTTTTTGCTAAGCCCAAGGTTTGAAGGCCGACGCGTAGCGGAGGCCTACAATTGAGCGAAGCACAAAAAGGCACTTCTTGGCCGAATGGCATACAACATTTTATCTTCAAAGCACTTTATATAGGTCAATTTAATTCAACATCAAAGCGGCCTAACCTCACTTTTTTAGAACCTCATTTATTTATTAGCTAAAGATTACAATAATTATTATTGCTTAGAAGCAGTAATAGTTTCACAATACCTAGCAACATGATTTAAGTAGAAATGGATTTTTGATATTACATTGAATTCAATTAATTGTTTAATAAATAGGTAGGTATCTAATTTCAATTTGTTTGGATTTTTATTTAAAAAATAGGTAGTTTGGAATGTTTAAGGTGTGTTTAACATTTAATTTCACTGAAAACTTAAAGCAAATTAAAACTTAAAGATAATTTAAATCATAGAAAAAAGAATCGTGCGTTTTCTTGGTTGCCTAACCTCACTTTTTGTTTTATTATTCATATTTAATTTTACAATAATTTAATAAAAAATATTAAACATTAACAGTAAAACAAACAAATGGTGCTTATTATAAATAAATTAAACCAGTTTAGTACGTTAATTTCTTAGAAAAGGATTAATTTGTCAAAACAATACCCCTAGCGAGAAAAAATCGAACTAAATACTTGCCTCATAAATTTTTTTATCGGCCTAGGCCATAACAAGGTATTTCTTTATCGAATGTTGACAACAATAAAGTTTAAATTATAGACCGCGTGGAGATAAAATCTTCTTTAACAACAAATTTAGTCCTGTTTATCAACCAATGTTAATTAACTTAAGCTATTTAAGATAAAATTTGCACAAATGCCAAATGTGCCGCGATGAAAAATTTTATATTGTAATAAAAAAATAAATTGACAATCAATTTACGAATGTCGTGCTTAGAAACATCAAATTATAAAATAGGCTTGTTACAAGAATAGATTAATCAATTAACTATAAAATATTTGCATAGTTTAGAATGCAAAATCGCCATGTAGGTATTTGTGTTGCAGAGAAGAAAACTATGGATCAAAAGCCATGGACAGTGTCAATATCAACAATGTGCAATCTTTACAAAAAAATTCCGAATCGCCGTCTCAATCGAGCGCCGTAGACATGGAAATAACGCTGGTGAATTCATCTTCCGCCCAAGAAAATAACAGCGGCGACAACGACAACGGCCGTTTGCCGGACCTCGTTGTCGCAGCCAAAAAATGCGACAACGACGATCAAAACGAGGAAACATATTTTTCTATCGCCATACAAGTTTTCATACCCTTCTTAATAGCTGGATTAGGCATGGTGTTCGCCGGTCTGGTCCTAGATAAAATACAACATTGGCCGGTGTTCGAGGAAATCACCGAGCTGGTCATCTTGATTCCCGCTCTTTTAGGTCTTAAAGGCAACTTGGAGATGACCCTAGCGTCCAGGTTGTCCACGCAAGCGAACTTGGGCCACATGGACACGGCCAAACAAAAAATCAACATCATCGTAGGCAATTTAACTCTCATTCAGTGTCAAGCCATCGTGGTGGGCTTCTTGGGCGCGGTAGTGGCGGTGGTGATGGGCGGAATAAAGAGCAACGATGTGGAGTTGGACCATGCTTACCTTCTATGTGCTAGCAGCTTAGTGACTGTGTCCATAGCCAGCTTTGTGCTTGGATTGATAACAGCAGGAGTTATAGTATTTTCCAGGCATTGCCACATCAATCCAGACAATGTTGCCACACCTATTGCCGCTAGTTTAGGAGACATAACCTCGTTGACTCTGCTCTCATGGATCTCGACTATTTTGTACGAGTCTATAGGTGAATACAAATGCATTTTAAATTTAAGTAATCACTCATTAAACTTATCCCCCTTAATTAGGTTCTAATGATTGGCTGGCACCGTTGATCATAGCTGTCTACATCATGGCTATACCACTATGGGTTTGGATTGCCAAAAGAAACCTACAGACGAGGGATGTCCTGTACCATGGGTGGACGCCTGTGATGGGCGCCATGTTGATAAGCTCCATGGGGGGTTTGATTTTGGACTTCATGGTGTCCCGTTTCGAGGGTTTGGCAGTTTTCCAGCCTGTCATAAACGGTGTAGGCGGGAACCTTGTGGCAGTCCAGGCCAGCAGAATTTCCACGTCGCTTCACAAGCAAGCCGAGTTGGGGATATTAACGTCAGAAAATAACGGGGACGAGGACGAAATATTTATATCCCCGGTTAAAGGGTTCTGTGGTAAAGGGGTACACGCTAGAACCACCAGGGTGCTAATGTCCATGGTGTTGCCCGGCCATATAATCTTTATTTACACCATAGATTACATGAAGGATGGAGATACATCACTAAGTTCACTATTCGTTGTTGTTTATTTGATGGCTGCCTTAATGCAGGTGGCTACCCTACTCTATGTCGCTTACATCATGATTCACTGGATGTGGAAACGAAAAATCGACCCGGACAATTCGGCCATACCCTATCTAACATCGATGGGCGATTTACTGGGTATTTCCCTTCTAGCGATTGCCTTCCAGTTTTTGTATCTCGTCGCTGACCGCGATACAGACGCCGAGTAATACGAATTTATGCCTTTACCGTTCCTTTTTTAACGTGTTGTTGTGATAATAATTCAAATGAAATGACAATAGATTTCAACACAAAAACGTATTTAGACAAAAATAAATTTATTTTATTATTATTAGGAGAATGAGATTACTATAAATATGTATTTTTCTTTAATAGAAATAAAACATAGAAATGCACACGTCTTTTTATTAACTACCACCGAACATGAATTTGTTTTAAACAAAATTATATTTACATATGTAGGTACCTAAAAAATCAATCATAACCCTTGATTAAACATTTTCCTAGCTTGCTGAATGAAAAAATCACCATTATATTGCTTACTTAACTTTTGTTTTTGCGATATTACGAAAACACCTTTTTGCTGCGATCTGGGTTGCATATATTCAGTTGATTTTTTGACCGCCATGAAGCTAGCTATGGGAGATATAATGAATTTTAAAAAAATATTGGGCTCGTGGTAATTTAGTTAATTGAGAAAAATAATATCCGCATTAAAGAGTTATAACGCGTTTGTGGACGATTATGTAAATTTACACCGCATTTAAATTTTGATTTGACGTATGCAACGTGTACAATCACTCCCACCAACTTTTCTAATCATATAATTTCGGAAATATGTCCAAGTCTATGCAGTAATTTAAAGTTATATTATTAGTTAGCGCAGTAACTGCAGGGCATCAAAATGTTTAGTTTCCTAAAGAAAGACGATAAACAGGAAGTTTACAACAGTGTGTTGGACGGTTTAAAGAAAATATATAGGACAAAATTACTGCCACTGGAAGAGGGTTATCATTTCCATGATTTTCATTCGCCGAAGTTGGAAGACTCGGATTTCGAGGCAAAACCTATGATACTGCTGGTCGGCCAATATTCCACAGGTAAAACCACTTTCATTAAATACCTATTGGAGAGGGATTTCCCAGGCATCCGTATAGGCCCTGAACCTACAACCGACAGGTTCATAGCTGTTATGTACGATGAGAAAGAGGGTGTAATACCTGGTAACGCCTTAGTAGTCGACCCTAAAAAGCAATTTCGCCCCCTGTCGAAATTCGGCAACGCTTTTCTAAACCGTCTACAGTGCTCGACTGTAAACACCCCTGTTCTCCAAAACATCTCCATAATAGACACCCCTGGTATCTTATCCGGAGAAAAGCAACGCGTAGACAGAGGCTACGACTTCACAGGAGTCCTGGAATGGTTTGCGGAGAGAGTGGACCGGATTATACTGCTGTTTGACGCACACAAACTTGACATATCCGATGAGTTCAGGAGGTCCATCGAAGCCCTTAGAGGGCACGACGATAAGATACGCATCGTACTCAACAAAGCAGACATGGTGGATCACCAGCAGCTGATGAGGGTGTACGGTGCCCTCATGTGGTCTTTGGGGAAAGTTTTGCAAACCCCCGAAGTGGCCAGAGTGTACATTGGCTCGTTCTGGGACCAACCGTTGAGATATGACGTCAATCGAAGGCTATTCGAGGACGAGGAGCAAGATTTGTTCAAAGACTTGCAATCTCTGCCCAGAAACGCCGCCCTGAGAAAACTAAACGACCTTATTAAGCGGGCCAGACTGGCCAAGGTGCACTCCTACATCATCGCGGAGCTGCGCAAGGAAATGCCGAGTGTTTTCGGCAAAGACTCCAAGAAGAAGGATCTAATAAAAAACCTGGGCGCAATCTACGAGAAAATCCAGAAGGAACACCAAATCTCCCCCGGGGATTTCCCGGACATAAAGAAAATGCAAGATGTCTTGGCCAATCTGGACTTCACGAAATTCAACGCCATCAAACCGAAACTATTGGAAGTAGTGGAGAGGATGCTCTCCGAAGACATCAGCAAGCTAATGGAACAAATACCGCTCGAGGACGACTCGACGAACAGCACAACGCAAAAACTGAAAGGGGGCGCGTTTGTTAGCATCGAAGACAACGCATCTCCGTTTGGTTACAAGAGAGGCGAAGGCATAGATGCTGGGGCTGGAGAACTCGACTGGATTGTCAGCAGGGATAAGGAGAAGTACATGAGCATATTCTCCAGCCTCAACCCCGTCGATGGCAAAGTCACTGGAATGAGTAAGTCAATAGTTTTATATGTATTATGCGACAAGTTTCATAAACGATTTTTAACCTCACTTTGTAAGGCTTTATTTTGACGTTTGTATGACATTTGACAACTTATAACTAACTTCAGAGTAGAAAAAATTAATTATTCAACAACAAAATACTATCGCTAACAAAAAAAACTCATACAGCTTAAAAATCTAGTGTTCCTGATTTTCTATCATTTCGTTGGAGTAATTATGGCTTTTAACATGATACGTCATATTTGAAATGTCTAAAATTAAATAAAAAGTTAGGTTGAAGTTTGAAAAAAAAATATATTTCGTCATCCCTCTGTTTTTGTCAATTATTGCCCGCAAACGGCAAAGCATGGAAGTCGCCGTCTTGCTTTATCTTGTTCCAAATGGCTTCAATGGCTTGCCAGGTTGAAAATGTTGTTAAAAAAGTCATAATGGATGTGACAAAGCTCGATGTCAGCTTGACATTGACGGTAAAGTTTTATTCACACAGCCACAACTATATTATAGCTGTATGAGTTTTTTTTGTTAGCGATAGTACCTATTAAATTTAAAACAATCAGTAACGTTACTTAATATTTGATCTATTTATTTTATCGCGTTCTTTAATCTTATAGATAAATAAGGTAAAGTGTCTAATCTATCCAAAGTAATTAAGATATTGACGCAAACAATGAATCATCGCGCTAATTTCTTATTAGTAATTTTCGTATTGTGACTTTTTTTCTGTCGAATCATTGATTTGTAAATAAAAGCTTAAACATTAAATAACAGTGACATCTGTTGAGAGAAGTGTCAACTCTTGTAACATTTATTGGGTTGGTACCATTCTCCACATCAAAAAGTCCCACTTTGACATTTGAGTAAGAAATCCAGTCCATTTGGTTTTTTTTCAAATATTTAATTTAATTTAACCGACTTTGTAGCTCTTCAAAAAAAAAAATACCCATAGAAGGATACCTGGTGCACCCTGTATATGCATGTTTTGTGTTACAAATTAAGACCTTTATACATAAAAAATACATAGGTATATTGTATTATTTTCAGAAAATAATACGAAATAAGCGTAAAAAACTTTTTTTACAAAATGCGCGCGGAATTGTGCTAAGCCACATTTTTAACGGTAACATTTTGGTTGCTGTTAATTTTTTAACTAAAATTAGGTTATGTGTCTGTAAACAAATAAATAAATCCCCCCGATTTTGTTATAACAATTTATATTTAATAGGTATTTAATAGTAAAAAGTTTGGTTAGAATAACAGACAGATAAGCGCTTTTTGACAGCATTCCAAAATTAGTTCGTTTTTATCAACCGCTAACCGACCAAAATCGTGGCATCATCAAAAAATAATTTCGGAACATAACTTTCTCTACTCCTATTGCATAATTTTGGTGCTTTTCCTTGTTAAGCATTAGAGATGCGACTTGAAAAAAAACGGTCCGTTTTTTTTGTTTTTTTTCAGGTTTTTTTTCATTGTTTTTTTTCAAATGGTTTTTTTTCACATTTTAGGTTTTTTTTCAAGATTAGTCCCATTTGCCAAATTTTTTATGTTTCCAATGACAATTAGTAAATGTAAATACAGCCTCGCGCTCTATGCACGCGCCACAACCACCGATTTGACCAATAAGAGCCGCGCTTGCTTTGATTTGGTCCTAAAAAAAGTAACTACCTATAATATTTTTGATTCAGCGCTTGATTTTTTAAAAAGCTACCAAAAGCACTTGCACATGATTTTTCAAATTTATGTAGAGTATGGAAATTTTTTTTTTCAAAAAAAAAAATAGCAAATTTTTGTAGAACATTTATTCATTGGTGGTTAAGTCAGAACATTCCGTGGACCAAAAAATAAAGCAAAAAAAAAATCGATTTTTTTTATTACGGTATTCGTTAGAATTGAGCGTTGCACGTTTTTCATCTAAAAATCTCAAAACTATAAACTTCAAGCTTCAAATTGCTTTTTTACGGCTCGAATACGACCATTTTTAACAAAGATACAGCTATCCCAAAAATCGCAAAAAAAATTTTTATCTTTTAATTTTTTGTATTAGTGTAGAAGTTTTACATTGCTATTGGTTTTTATTGTGGAAACTACCAAATAATAAGAAATCAGATTTTTTAGTCTTGGTCAAAATTTTCAATAATAAAAAATGTTATATATTTTACATTTTACTCAAAATTTCATTTTGAAAAAAAACAAAAAAAACCGTTTTTTTTCTAGGTTTTTTTTCATGTTTTTTTTCACATCTGAAAAAAAACCGTTTTTTTACATCTCTATTAAGCATTATAAATTTCGTGAATAATAAACTCAGTATTCACGTTGTTAGGCATCAGTGATTGGCCGATTTCAGTATTCACTGTGATTTGAACCAATCGGGTTTTAAATTGGAAGAAGGCGACTATAATAACATTTAAAATTGGTAAAAAGTAAGGTTAACCATTTGACATATGTCAAATTTTATTTATTTAATTTTGAAAATCATTTAATTATCTACTTATTGGAGTAGATAAAGTATAGTATTACACTCGAGATTATGCATTATGCATTATCTCTCGTATAATAATATACTATTAATTGACGCTTTATCTGACATCTGACAACTGTCTTTTTTTAATTTTAACTTATAGCTAACTTCAGCCCGTGGGCGAAGTAGAAATTCGAAATAAAATAGGTGTTGAATAAAATAACTTTCTTTTCAGCTGCCAAGTTGGAAATGGTAAAGTCCAAACTCCCGAATACCGTACTTAGTAAAATTTGGAAATTGGCTGATGTGGACAAGGATGGGATGTTGGACGAAGATGAGTTTGCTCTCGCAATGCATTTAATAAACATTAAAATCGACGGTAATGATATACCGTCCGAGTTGCCTGACCACTTGATTCCACCTTCAAAAAAGTAAACTCCGCAAGTGCTATTTATTATGTTATTATATTGTATTTGTGCCTCATACGTAAATCATTAACACACAAATTTCTACAGTTTTCCAGTAAGGAAGAAACAGTTCGATTTAAAAAAAAGCAAAGCAAAGTTGCTTCTTTTAAAAATCGAACTGTATAAATTGTATATTGATACAAATAATTGTATTTTTGACTGTGTTCACAGCTTTATTTTAAAATGTATGTATACCAAATAATTTCTACTGTTACAGATAAGTAGATAATTTTTATAAGCCGCAATATTATAGCAGTTTATTTGTACCAATATTTATTACTAAAACATGTGATAATATGTACAAGTGTATATTTGTATAGATAAATTATTTTGTTATTGGTACAATTTCATGTATTTTTATAAATTGTTTTAATTCAATACATGTGCACTTGTAGGTTATAAGTTATAATATATTATAGACAATTCCATATCATTTCCATGTAATGTATTTCATTTTATTTAATAAAAGATTTATTTACACACTTAATTTAATTTTCGAAAAAAACCTTCAAAATAATTTGTCATCCAAACACAATATAATCAAACCAATCAATATAGGAGTGTTACCAATTCATTTTAAAATCAAGGCAAGTATTTTAATGTTTACATTTGTAAATGGTATTAAGTTAAGTAAATATTTACAGGAACTTATTAGGTTTTTTATCTATAAAGCAGGCTATAAAATAACCTAATTACTTTAAACACATATCATGTTTGCAAAAAATATACAAACAGCACACAAAATTACCTGACCTAAATAAATTTAATTATAAATCCTAAACCAATTTATAATAATTAGCCAAAATACTTATTAACACTACTAACAAATATTACTCTAATTTAAAAAAAAATATTTTTTTATCTCTTAAAATAAATTTGCAATTTTTATTAATCCTTTAAAAATATATGCCAGAAACACCTAGCTGTAATTTTGGTTGCCTAAAAAAGATTTGAAATAAATAATATTATATGTATCAATTTGATAAACGCTTCAGTGAAAATGTCTAGAAAAGTTTATAAACGAGTTTTAAACTATACTTTTTTACGGCAATTATTTCAAAAATTGGCGTCAAGAAACTACCTATTTAATAAACCATGTGTGGTATAAGGAAGAAAAAATTAAACAAGACTAAAGCCATCTATCTTATAATGCTTGAACTACTTATTCAAAAATAAAGGAACCTGTAATAGATATTTAACTTTTTTAAACAAATAATTTATTATTGAAATAAATTCAAAAAAATAATGGCACAGTAAAAAAATAACAACAATAATAATAATTACACCAATTAAATACTTTTGTATTATTCACTCATTATTTTTTACCCAAAATCAAAATTATTTCCAGGGCCGGCCCAGGCTGTTTTGCCGCCCCAAACAAATGGATTCCCATTTCAAACCACCCTATTACATTTTTTTAAATAATCTTTAGCGTAAAAATTCACGAACACTACAAAATAAAGCGACTCACTTTTTTGAACAAAATTTAGAAAGATTTAGATTTTTTTTAGTATTTTCCTCGGCCAAAACAAACGAAATTCTAGCGTCAACAATTGTTTTAAAGTTAAAAACTGACAAGAAGTTTTATATTTACTTAATTTTAAGATTTTACCCAAATTGAGAATCGTGCTGGAAAAATTAAATAGCGTTCAGTTAAGAAGAACTTCTTTCACTCAACGGTAATACCTACGAAATATCATTTGTGCTAAGTACTGAAGAGAATACCAAAATACAGTAAATACTTGTAGCATTACTCAATGCTTGTAGTAAATACCTGCTTATTCCATAAATGAGTCATAAGCGTATATTTAAAATTTTTGGACATAAAGCAAAATAAACACAAGTGCACCATTAACTTGTGTCCTTATAAGCGCGTTTAAAAATATTTCGAATGAATTGACATAGCTAAATATGAAAACGCTTTAAATACAGTGAATCACATTTTAATAGACCGACGCTATGTTGTCACATTTATCCAGGCTACATTTAAAAAGAGAAATCGAGAATTTTTTACTGCGCGTAAATATTTCCATTTTATTAAAATGTTTATAAGATATAAATTTTGAATTTTAAATAGGCTATACATCCTATTTATACCTAATATAGCATTAAGAATAATTCAATTAACCCTCTAAGTTTAAAAAAAATAAAAATCAAAATTGGGTTTTTTTTTATCTTTTTGCACTCCACCCGGTGTACACATTAAAATGTAAATATTATTTAAATTAGAAGACTAAATATCGGTTTGTACTTATCGTATTCGTGCTTTAGGCTATTTAAAACAGTTATAAGGGTTTTGGACAATTTTAACACCTACCTATTATGACACTTTATGTCAACCCAATAAAATAAGAGTGCGTGTACACTTGTTACTTTCGCGCAGGTTTTTAAAAGCGATTTTAACTTTTTCGCCATTTCGGCTAAATAAGGTTAACATCGGCAACGGCGTAAAGTGATGTATACTGCGTGTATTAGTCATCAGTCCGAATGTGATGGCGCATGCGTATTAAATGGGACATCGTGTTTCGTTGTCCAATGAAACGGCTTGTTTTCCTACGGAGACTGAATGGTTTTGGATCGGTATGACTCATATACAAATCTAATAGCACAGCGAGTGTAGTGGATAAAATTTGTTGTTTTAAAAGCGCGTTTAGTTGATAAGTTCCTTGACAGAAATGATGTATGAAAATTTTTGCAGATTTTAACGGGTCTGCATAGGAAAATGTTGAGTGAGGTATTCTGTGAAGTTCCTAATAAATTGATTATGTTTAAAAGTACCTGTTAAAAGTTGGATTACCTGCCCTTAATTCAAAATACTGGTGAGTAATAAAAACTTTCATTTATTAAATAAGTTGTTTATAAAAATAAGTGATTTGCAAATTTAATATAATAATAATAATGCAAAAAAATTATTAATTATTAAAATAGTGTCCTTTAAAAAATCATTAATATTCAGCTTACGAATTTTATAGTGAAGTAAATATTTAAATATTACTTAAATTGTTTAGTTATTTGTCATAGATCAAATTACCAAATGTTAACATATTGATGACACGGAATTTTAAGTTGGCCATTTAAAATCTAAATCTATTTTTTTGTTTATTTTTTTTTAATGAGTAAAAAATTGTTACATAAATAACTTTTAAATTTAAATTAACAAGTCCCCAATTGCTACTTTACGTACCTACCTACTGATAATAAGTAAATATAATATTATTTATCAATTTTAATATTCTTCTGAAGGACGTACATACTACATTTAAATAAATACGTGCATTAATGTAAATTTACATAAAATAATATCGACAAGTCGTTCGAAAAATCATTATTTATGCGGCAATATTGATTCTTATTTTTATTCTTTTTCAATGACTTTAAATAGGTGTTTAATATTAATTTAAATAATGAAAAGTTATCTTATCAACACAGTAAAAAATATTGTTTTATCGTTTTATAAACAATGTCAGGTACATGTGTATGTACATTATTAAAGCATAAGCTTTAAGTAATTAGTTCAAGCTTTTTTATCGCTAAAAATGTTTATTTTGGAAAATTTTAGGTTAGAATTGCAATTTTTATTTTAAAATAAAATTGAAAAATGTAATTTTTAATTCAGAAATTTTTACAGTAGACAACTAAAATATCAAAATTTTTACGCCAAATTTTCTGTTTACGATACGAAAAAATAATACAAAAATCATTTTTTATGCAAGTTTTCATTATACATAATAATTTTTTTTAATTGGGACCCTTTTTTCGGGCTTTTAATTTAGAAGTTTGTTGGAGTAAATTATACGTGTCATTTTTTTTGCATTGTAAACGAAAAAAAATATTTCAAGAAAATTTAAATTTTGACTAAAAATTTGACTTAAAATGATACATAAATTGAAATTTATACCTATTTCAAATTTGAGTGGATAAAGAAAAAAAGTTATTATTTTTGTTTTTTTAATATTAATAAAACTATTTAAACATTAACAGGGTAACAGATCGGCCATTCCAAGCCCATGGACAGGACACATCAGAAACATGTTTAAATATATTCTTGTTACTTCCTTAAGTTTACTTATTTTTTCTACGAGTATTTATGAGAAGTATTAGCCAAAATTGGCTAATACTTCTTATAAATACTCGTAGAAAAAATAAGTAAACTTAAGGAAGTAACAAGAATATATTTAGACATGTTTCTGATGTGTCCTGTCCATGGGCTTGGAATGGCCGAGATGTAAAAAAAATAGTTTTTGTTTCATAATTTTTGAACACTGGAAGACATTTTGTAAATACCAGTTTTCTACATTAAGTAGGGTGAGTTTTTTAAAGTGTTATTTCAAAAACGGTTTGATTTTTTTGTGAAATTTTGGTAAAATAATGGAGAGGTGGGGGAACATATTTAAACATATTTTTGACATCTACTAATTTTGGATGATATACTTTTAAATATATACAGTGTGACCCATTTGTTTGCGACTCACCTTCGTAAAATCTTTATTTATTGTGCGATTTTAACCGGATTTGTTTTAAACTCTAGATCTTGGTAAACTGTATTTTTAAAGTAAAAACGCCTTATTTTTACAAAATACAAGGCCTACTATGTCAGTTTTTAAGAGTAAATTTTTATGAATTCATACTAGCGATTTTTTTAAACAAAATCTAAGCACGGCGCTGGATTCACCACCCCTCAAAACGACCCTATACTAAATTTTATTAAAAAATTTTAAGAGAAAAAATGCACAATAATAACTACAAAAATTTATTTTCTCAAGTTATCCATGAAAAAACATTGAAATAAAATTAAACTTATAGTAATAGTACCATGTTAATATTAGTTCAATTTTTTTTCAATGTTTTTTTCATGGATAACTTGACAAAATGAATTTTTGTAGATATTTTCGTGCATTTTTTTTCTTACAATTTTTCAATAAAATTTAGTATAGGGTCGTTTTGAGGGGTGGTGAATCCAGTGCGGTGCTTAGATTTTGTTTAAAAAAATCGCTAATATGAATTCTTAAAAATTTACTCTTAAAAACTGACATAGTAGGCCTTGTATTTTGTACTAATATGGCGTCTTTGCTCCAAAAATGCAGTTTATTAAGATCTGCACTTTAAAACAAATCCGGTTAAAAACGCACAATAAATAAAGATTTTACAGGGGTGAGTCGCAAACAAATGGGTCACACTGTATATACTTAAAAAAAATCGAATCTATGTAAAAACGGATTTTTGTTTCATTATGAATATAAAAAAGTGTGCAAAACTCATCTATAAAAAGAGTGAGAAAGTGTTTAAAAGTTGACAAAGAATTTCTCAGACATGACAGATGATAAATTTTGTTAATATTTTTTACAATCTTATAATTTACCCAGTGCGCATATCAAATTATTTTTTTTTGTAAATTTGAATTTTAAAAGAAAAAGTAGGTACATCATTCCTATTAAAAATCCAAAGTTACGCTCAAAATAGAAAAAGGGGGTAGGTGTCAAAAATATGCTTATCTACTCCCACATTGACAAGCTGTGACTTAATGGCGTTTTAGTCACGGGCTGAAGTTAGCAACAGTGGCTTTTGGGCATTTTAGTCACGGTCTGAAGTTAGCTTTATTATAAATTGCGAAAAAGTAAGGTTAAATTCTTCAAATGTCAAATTTGTATGAAATAAAGTTGGCAAAAAATTGTTATTTCTGTTCGTCGGAGATAAAGTAGGTATAGTATGCAACTCGTTTTATAAACTTCTCTAGACACTCGTTTTTATTAAACACTCGCTCGCAAGCTTCGCTCGTGCTTAATAAAACTCGACACTAAAATGGCGTTTATAAAACTTGATATACTATTAAATATGATCCCCACTAGGGTGGGCCGATTTTAATATTTTTCAAATATCAAATTGTGCAATGGTGGAAAAGTTGTGCATTTATAAGGCCAGAAAAATATTATAATTTTTTTTTTTTAATTTTAATTTCTTAAACTGCCGCAAGGCCTTGAAAGATCTTAATGTAATTTAGTATCGTTCTAAATACGAAAAAAATTATCTGAGAAAATAGGGTTAAAAAAAGTTTTGAATGATAAATATTTATTAAAAAAAAAACAAAAATAAAAATGAATTTATCATTAACACAAATTTAATTCCATTTATAATCTTGTTTTACCTGCCATTTTTCACAAACCCCCAAAAACCACAAACAGATAGTACTTGTAAAAATTTCTATTATTCAACTAATTGACGATGTCAAAATATTATAATTTATATAAACAGTGAAGCCAACTGTCATTTGTCCTACGTCAAACACAAAAATCTTAAAAAATATTTATTCTTCATTTTACGCCGTCTCTCCAATACCTAATTGCAATTATTGCAAAATTTAAAATTTACAGTTTGACTTCATACAGTTCAAAACATTAAAAAAGAAAAAAATATTAAAGGAAAATAGTTTACTTTCCTATTTCACAACTTTCCCGCTTATGAAAAATTTTAATTTTTTTAAAAATTACTTTTAAATTTTTAGAGGCGTTGCGGCAGTTCAAAACATATAGATATCAAAAAAAATATTTTGCAAAAAATGTTTACTTTCCTATTTCACAACTTTTTCTTAAATGCAGAATTTAATATTTTTAAATTTTAGAAGTTAAATATAAAATCGGCCCACCCTAATCCCCACCTCTGTATTAGTTACCAAGATGTCATTAAATATTTTAAACTGTTTTGGAAATATCACTTTAAATAAGGTATAAAGAGTGATATCTTACTGGTGGGGGTGTGGGTAAAAGGTAAACGTTTTCGAAAAAAGCGTTTGTTGTGAAAACTTGGCACTAACCGGTCTATATCGTCGCTCTTCCAGATTTAGAACGTGACGGAACGCATTTGTGTGTTGAAGTGCAAACGCCAAGATGTCAGTGCTGCTAGAGAGTAGCCGTACGCGCGAAGGCTTGAAACTGCCTCTCGACCGAAGCATCAGCGAACCCGGCCCGTCCACCGCGACCCATCTACCTTCGCCGAACACCGCCAAAAGATTCAAACTGGAGCCCGCCAGCGTCAGCCTGCCCACCAGCCCTTGCGGCGAGAGCGGCACCCTGAAACGCAACTGGGTGCTGAACAACGTCAAAACCCTCGACTCGGACGATCTCAAAGCGAAGCTGCTGCAGAGCAAGCCGCAGTTCGTCATCATCGACACCAGGTCCTTCATCAGCTACAACATCAACCACATCAACGGCGCCATCAACGTCAACTGCACCGACAGGTTCAACAGGCGCCGCTTGCAGCAGGGCAAAGCCACCTTGGCCGATCTGGCCACCACCTCCAAAGGCAAGGAGGTGCTGAAGAAGAGGTGCTTCCGCGAAGTCATCATCTACGATGACTGCACCTGCGAGAAGGAGCGGATCAACCCCTCCCTCCTCCTGGTGCTCACCTCGTTGGTCGAAGACCACAAAGAGCCGTCGCTTTTAGTCGGTGAGTCATTGTTTTACTCTATTTATATCAATTGGTCATATAAACAGTTTCATTTTTTTTGTTTCGTGCGTGTTAGCATTGAGGTTATTTTTTGACCGTTTTATAAATAGTTTTGCATAATTCCGAAAATCTGGTCAATGACTGGCCACAACGCAGAAACAAACAAGTACCGATTTATCGTTATCGCGCTTTTAAAATACATCAATTTTATTATATCGATTTCCACAGTTGAGTTTGAGTCACGCTTATTTTTAAATCTCAAAATCTACGATATTTTCAAAATAATCTTGTCTCCTCATTTCATTATTTTAATTGATGATTTCATACTTTATTTATTTACGAAACATTTAACTATAGCGAGCTTAAGGAAATTTTTATTTTCACACTCGCAATGTCGTTTCCCCCAAATTTTGGTACGATGCCATCATTTTGTTTTCGAAATGACTAACACCTCATATATATATATATATTTCCAGCCGTTCGTTTTTTTCATCTTTTAATTTGTATTTCTATACAAGTATTTAATTGAAATAATTTTTTAGATAATATTAAGTATTTGTCATTTGTCAACTTTAATTAAGCACTCGCTCGTGCCTAAACTAAATTCGTGTCTAAAATGGCGTTCATCATAATATACTATTATCTTTGTAACTAAGTATTAAATTTAATACCTTTGCTACCGAGAAAAACGATTCTGTTAACTAAGCTCTAAATTTTCACCTATTATGCGCAATTTGACTTTTTTACCAATTTGGATTAGTAACTTTTACTCTATGTATTGAGTTACAAAGACCAAAAATACGAGGTGTGTTCAGAAAATAACGGGAATTGTTAAATTTCGCGAGTTCGGAGGGTCCGGTTGTCATAAAATTTTCTTTATTATGTTGATATACATGCCCCCGAAGTATGATAAAAACTTTAGATGTTTTCATTGTTTACTTTGTCTGTAGCAGCCGCTAAGGTTAGACGTGTTTTATGAGCTCGGCGATTTTTCGTTCGTTAAAAGAAATGGATCAAAGAATTTGCATCCAATTTTGCTTAAAAAATGAAATAAATTCTGTGAAATGTTAACAAAGGCCTATAGTGAGTCTGCTATAAGTAAAACAAGAGCTTACAAGTGGTATAAGAGTTTCCAAGATGGCCGTGAAGACGTTGAAGATGACGAACGCCCCGAACGCACAAGCACATTAACAACCAATAAAAACACGGAAAAAGTGGAAGAAATGGTTATAAACCATCAGAGAAGTCGCTGATGATGTTGGTATATCGATTGGCTCATCCCATGAAATTTTTTCGAATGTTTTGGGTATGAAACTCGTGGCAGCAAAATTTGTTCCAAAATTGTTAAATTTTGAACAAAATTTTTGGCCAAAAACAATACTGTAATGATGCCCCAGCCTCCATATTCGCCAGACTTTTTCCTATTCCCAAAAATAAAGAGAGCCGTCGTTTTGCAAGCATAGATGACATTAAAAGCGCATCGTTGAAAGAACTATAAAAGGCTATCCCAAAGATCGAGTTTTAAAAGTGTTTCGAGTATTGGAAGAAGAGCTGGCACATGTGCATAATTTCCAATGGGGACTATTTTGAAGGCGACAATATTAATGTATACGAATAAATAAATATTTGTTTCAAAAAACGAAAATTCCCGATATTTTCTGAACACACCTCGTATGTATCTGAATATTTGAGATTATCAAAAAAAAATTCTGGACATCGTGAAAGCCACAATTGAACTAATTTTTACCGTAACATTTTTTTTGCAATTAAAAGTTTAAATTACCTACTTTTTTGCACAGGATGTGCGAATTACTGAACTATGAATGAAAAATATTAATTGGGTTACTACGAAATAAGTCCAGTCATTCAGTAATGCATTTCGAAGTAAAAAAATTTCATTCGACATATAACGCAATATTACACGTATACAGGGAGGTTTTTTAATTATTTGTTGGTCAATTTTAAATAATGTTGTTAACATGGAAAATGCTTCACTATCGTCAATAATTATTCTATACGTCATTTAATTGATAATTCCCTTTTATATTATTTGTGATATGGCTGGCGCTAAACAATTTCTTTATTGTTTGTAATATTTATAATATCAAGTGCCTTGGTACGAGTAAATTAAAAAGTCAATTTTTCCACTTTTTTTGTTGAGTCTTTTCGGATTGAAAACAAGCATTTTAACTTCATTGCTAAACATTTTTCGTTCGGTTGTAAATTACAAAGTTACTTGACGTAACCAAATTTCAAATTATTCTACTGAATGCGTCAGTAGGTAAATAAACATTGCTACAAGATAATAATCACTTCATGTATTTGCTCTGAAAAAAAATGTAAATACGTTGCAATTTTTTAAACAAATGATGATATTTAATTCATGGAATCGTCATCAGGTTGGCGCCTAATAACAAGAAACTTGCACGAAAATAGAGTTTTCATGATTTTAGTATATGTCAGTTAATCATGTCAAATTTGCAGAATTTGAAAACGTTTAATAATAACTCGATGAATTTGGAAATTTTGTGACATTAGGGGTTAAGACCTTTTTCTGATAACAAGAAATGAGTCATTTGATAAGTCAAAGCGTTTTTGAATGGTTTGTGTTAAAGTACACGAACTAACAAAATAGATTTTCCTACATAATTAAAAAAATCAGATTTTAATTGTTAATTATTTAAATTAGTCATCTAGATACATACGTATGCTTATAATAAAGTCAACCGCATTTTATGACACATCGCGTCAGGTCAGAATTTTTGGGTACCTATATGATTAATTTTTTAAGTCATTCCAAAGGAATTTCCTTTAGAACCTTTAAAGAAAATTATGTGTAAATTTCCACAGTATGGTTTATAAACAAACATCTTTTATTACACCAGTGTACTGAGTCATAAGATCTGATTTGAAGGAAAATTTCGTACGGTGGGACGAAATTTTTGGGTAAAAAATCTCAACTAAAGTCTATTCAAATCCAAGCTGGACTAAACAAAAACGCCCAGACGCGTGATAACTCGTTTCTATTGGTCGATTCTGATGGTGTGACTCGGATTGTGAGCTCTTATTGGTCGATTCGAAGGATTGTGTTTACATTTAGTCCAGCTTGGATTTGAATAGACTTTAACTTAAAAAACTGAAAACCTGTCAAAACAAAAAATTGTTATCCTTGGGATTTTTGAAAAAAGTAAGTTTCCCATCTAAACATACAAATTTATCTACATTTTTGTCGAATTTGTAATTTTTTTGCCCACCAGATTTATTAGTAAGAACTTATGCAAAAAACTCAAAAGAAATCGTAGTAAAACACCGTGCATAGCGTACGCCTATGCAAAACTGTTTGTAACATTTGAATCTGGTTCGCACGTGACGTGAATTGGTAAAAAAACGCTCGGGCAATTTTAAAGCACACCTGCCGGATTTTTCATCAAATTGTCATTTAATCAGGTCCACCGTGAAAATACGGAAATGTCTCTTGGTTGCATTGTTTACAACAATCTAATTAGTCACTGGTATAATAAGGAATTGAATTTTTTTGCGATGGGAGTTTCGTCGTTGTCCTTCAGACTCTGTGTTGTGACGCAGGACCGGCCTGGTGTATGAATCACCTGCCCCCCCACCCCGCCTCTCTCGGTTGTTCCAGCATAATATCAGTGACCGAGTGTACAGTACAGCTTGTGCTTGTCATTTAGTAAACAACCAGAATTTATAGAGACCCGAGCGTGCAAATGGTTCTTTAGACTTTTCAGTGTTAACTCACTTCAGTGCTGCAGTGCGTTTAGTGAATAAAACTTTCTAAACATGAGGATTAAACGACCGAATACTTGCCTTGTATTAAGATTTGTTCCCATGCAGCAAAATCAAAGTAAGTCACTTTCTATTCCAATTACTTATTCAGGAATTTGGCGCCTTAAAGGCTTTGTTTACATAACATGGACAATTTCGATAAAGGTTATTTACAAAAGTGACAAAAATCAAATATTAGTGAGTCAGACGCACTTACCCTATCTATCTGACTAACCATTTATTTTTTACCTCAATATTAGAAAGAACTTAATGTGAGTCAGCATTATGAGTAGTACGGGGAAAAAACTGTAAAAAGTAACTAATTGTTGAACGTCAAATCAGTTTGATATCATTAATGAAAACCAAAAATGATATAGGGCACAGAGCACAACCTTGTGGGATATATGTTTTTAAAGGCTTCAATGTAAAAAAATGTATGCATTTAATAAAAACGATAAATTATAGTTAACTAGGCTTATTTAAAAATACGTTATTTTGTATTACCAATCCAAACTAATTTTTAAAAGGTTTTTCTTGTTAAAAAAACAATTATTGATGTAATATTTTAATAAAAATCGATGTGTTTAATAAAAACCATGTATTATAAGGGGCAAAGGGCAGAACCTTGCGGCACATGCCTAAAAGTTTCAATTACAACTATAAATTATATAGGGCAGAGATTAGAACCCTGTGGAATCTTTTAATTCTAAATAATAGTAAAAAATGTAACTGACTCATTTTATTAGTAATTCAAAAGAAAAATCGTGAAAATTCGAGATGACTAATCATTGTTGTTGTCACCCTCTCTAAGTACCATTTGGGCTGATGCATAATACCCTCATCTTAAAATAAAATGAGTCATACATTAAACACAATGTGTTTGGAATTTTAACAATTAGGGTTTGTTATGAATCACTATAAGGGGTTTATTGACGGTTATGATTCAAAAAATTGATTTAGCATTCATGAGGGGCTTCGCCATAATCTCTGACCCAGTAAACACGTGTATGTCCGTTGAGATTATTCTATGTTTATTTACCAATCAAAATTAACTTAAAGGCCTTGATTTTCCCATTTTCTTAGAACGAATTTTATTGTTTACACACAACCATAATTAAATTAATTCGGCAGAAGTTAGTTAGTCATCCTTGGGAATCTCCTAAGAATTCGTGAGGTAACTGTTGAGGAATTTCGGTTGTTATGACTAACTCCGAATAAAGTGCGTTAGGGTGTCGAAAATGCAAACAAACTTTGAAATCAGCTGTCCGTTACGGATTCGAGCATTTTCAAAACAGCTGCGTGACTCATGTAATTCCGATAATACAACATCTGCCAAATGCAATGGTCAAGTATTTCATTGCAAACTTGTTGTTTTAGGGGGTCACAAAGAGTTCCACAGAAAACACAAGGATCTGTGCGAAGACACGCTGGTTTCCGGGATATCGTCCCGCGGTCTTCCCACATCTGCCTCCTGTCCCGCTCTTGCAGATGTGGATTCCTACCCCGCCTCCAAAGTTTTACCCTTTTTGTACCTGGGCAACAGCAAGGATGCAGCGGATTTGTCTTGTCTTCAGGGCCTTGGAACCACCTGCGTATTAAATGTCACCTCACAATTGCCAGGCTACCACGAGGAATGCGGCATCACCTATAAACAGATACCTGCCACGGATTCTGGACATCAAAACCTTAAACAGTATTTCGAAGAAGCTTTTGAATTTATCGGTAAGTTTATTCGCAAACGTGACATCATTTTTTTTACGAAGAAATCGCGATGTAACATCTAATTTTCTTGTATATAACATTGTTTGTATAAGTGAGCTAAGCATAAACAATGTTATTATGTAAGATTTTATACAGGGTACATAAAAATACAAGCGGTTTTGTTAATTTCGTTCGTGTTCCTCACCAGCATCGATAGACAGCTGATCGCTCTATTGGAGCTCATCAGTACCGAGAAATTATTAATTGATAACAATAAGGTTTTTATGTGGCACCATTAGCCTATTTTGCAGTCTAATACTTATCGATGAAATCGGAAAAAGTAAAAAAAGTATGCGTGAATCACATCGCCAAAGCAGGTGTGTAAACAATAACTTATAAAATTGTATCGTGCGAGAGTGAAAGAGAAAGAGATATCTGAAGGACGTGCAACAATTTATTTGATGCGAAAAGGATATTTCGCCGGCTTAAAAGTGACTCACAACGTTTGTGAATAAAAAAATACGCAACCTCGTTTCGAACAGGAAGGTAATTTTGTTGCTTTGGTGTGAAAAAAATTTAATTCAATTATTCCTTCTATGGCTTCGTGTTTACATTGTGCAACAATATGCTTTCTATGTTTTACTTGGATGACAAAATAAAACACTAGCGCTCAAATGGGGCTGCATTGGGTAATCAAAAAAAAAGGCGCGTACGGGATAAAGCAGTGTATGAGTCATGGGATGCCGTTCAATGGCCCTCAAACAATAACTACACCGATGAGTAATGGTTGCTGCTGACTCAAAACATTCGGCAAGGCCGTAAGAGCGCCATTCATAAGAACCCAACATGTTAAAGTAACCAGTAGCGGCGGTTATCTGTTATTTGGGTTTCATTTCGTAAACACCAAGTCTTATCTGCAGTTTTTGTAACATTTTAACTTTATTACGCGTTTGTTATGAAAAATATGACGTCCCACCAGTTTATTACCTTGTCATTTTATAATTAGCAACAAACTTTGAATAAATTTTAATATCAATGTCCAAGTATGTAACCAATCAGTGGCGGTTTTTGCAAGTTTTTTTAGGACAAAGGTTATCCTACAAAGTATGCCATAGTTATAATTATATGCAACATAAAAAGCTTGAAACACTTTGAACAAACTAATAAAAACAACATGCGTAATTTAATTGTCTGGAAGGAGAGTTGCTGTAGCCAAGAGTGAAAATATGCAATGACCAGTAAAAATTAATTTTACATGCAATATGCAAATTATTGATGCAACAATGGCAAATACGCAAACATATGTCAATAGTAAATTTTTGCGGAAGCGGATGCGGAAGTATTAATACTAAAAGAAAACCGCCGGGCATTCGTCCAATAAGCTGGCTTATCGTCAATCTCACTATTTAAACAAAGTTTCGATATAAAAGATGCAGAACCAGATGCGGAAGCGGATGTGAAAAATTTGCAGAACTTCCGCAGTTGCAGAATCACAGGTATCTAGTAATAAAAAACTAATATTTTCGATAAAATTTTCATTTGCAATATGCAAATTCAACAAAGGCGGATGCGGAAGTATTAATACCATAAGAAAACCGCCAGGCATTTGGCTTATCGTCAATCTCACTATTTAAACAAAGTTTCGATATAAAAGATGTGGAACCAGACGCGGAAGCGGATGTGAAAAATTTGCAGAACTTCCGCAGTTGCAGAAACACAGGTATCTAGTAATAAGAATGTTAAAACTAATATTTTCGATAAAATTTACATTTGCAATATGTAAATTCAACAAAGGCAGAAGCGAAAACATACGTCAATAGTAAATTTTTGCGGAAGCGGATGCGGAAGTATTAATACTAAAAAAAAACCGCCGGGCATTTGGCTTATCGTCAATATCACTATTTAAACAAAGTTTCGATATAAAAGATGCGGAACCAGACGCGGAAGCGGATGTGAAAAATTTGCAGAACTTCCGCAGTTGCAGAAACACAGGTATCTAGTAATAAGAATGTTAAAACTAATATTTTCGATAAAATTTACATTTGCAATATGTAAATTCAACAAAGGCAGAAGCGAAAACATACGTCAATAGTAAATTTTTGCGGAAGCGGATGCGGAAGTATTAATACTAAAAGAAAACCGCCGGGCATTTGGCTTATCGTCAATATCACTATTTAAACAAAGTTTCGATATAAAAGATGCGGAACCAGATGCAGAAGCGAATGTGAAAAAGTTTGCAGAACTTCCGCAGTTGCAGAAAAAGAGTAATAAGAATGTTAAAACAAATAATTTTTGATAAAATTTATGAAAACAACAATAATAAATCGTCATTTCGGTAACTGTTAATTTTACATTAGCTGTATCAATGTTGTTTTCCAAATTAAAAAATTCTATTTGGCGGTTAATGATGGCTTTGCAATTGTATTTTACACGCCACTGTTAACTTTCTCTTGATTTTCCTGTATACCAATGTCGAAATTTAATATCACGTAACTAAGGAATCAATTTTTATTTGTGCTTGGGGATACTTGAAATCTAATATTAATTTTGTAAACCTCAAAAAAATGTAATAGAGTAATATTTGACGCAAACCATTGTTTCAATTACATAATTATAAAATAAAATGAAATTTACGTAACGCTTGTAAAGAAGGCTTAAAGCACGCGTTCACATTAACTCGACGGCAACTATAAAAGTAGATTGAAATAACTAACGAAACGTCATTACACAGATTTAGTTTGGATGACTCACTGATTCCCTCTCTCACACAACGGATTTAAAACGATCTATCAACCCTAAAGTATTTTTAGAACGCGCTCGAACACAAACACTTACCGACCCAAAGTTAACAACGTATTTTTAGATACCTTTGCGTGAAGGATTAAACCGCAAAAATAGGTCCTAAATAAGTTAAATTTCATAACGAATATAGGCAACCAGCTATGTCAACAGTGGGAGTCACTTTATATCAATAAATACGAATTATTTTTGATAAGGGTCATGTAGGTCGTTCCTAAATTATAGACAATTGAAAGTGTATTACACATAATAATGGGTATTAATTGAAAATTATTGGCCAGTTGAAGAAATTAGATAATAGTAAAATTCCAAAGGAACTTGGGTTTTGTGGTTTGTTGTTTATCTAAAAATGATTCATTGTTTGTGCTGGACATTCTAATGTGTATTTTCCTTATTTATTTGGACAATCTTTAATAAACTTGATAATTGATTAAGGGGCCAGAACAGAACCTTGTGTTATGTACTCAATAATAGTGCATTCAATTCATAATACCATCTTTAAAATGAAATTTCCATCTATTCCCAACGTTGTTATTTGGGGGGACTCGGCGCATTGACTTAATGCAGATTATCTTTAATAAATACCATGCATCGTAAGGGTCCAAGGGCGGAACCTTGTGGAATACTGTTTTGATTAAATTAAAAATTAGTTAAAAGCTAAAAAAATAAATAAAGAGAAGGTTGCTTTGAAATTAGGTTAACCTTGAGGTTCTTATCTATGGAAATTCGGCACAGACGGTTAGAAAAGTTCTTGTCGCATCGCAAAATCTATTTGGCCTTGTTTTAGATTGTTTTGGTTCTCAAAACAGTAATTTAAATTATCTTTGATGAATACTATAGATCATAAGGGTCCAATGACGGTACCTTGTGGGATACTGTTCTAATTAAATTAATAGATTGGTGGTTGTGGAACTTATTGTATTTGGGGGTTAAATTTTTTTCTGTTTGTTGCAGAAGAGGCAAGAAAAAACGGTACGAGAGTACTGGTGCATTGTCAGGCAGGTGTATCAAGGAGTGCGACAATCGCCATAGCGTATATAATGAAGTTTAAGCAGATGTCGATGGTGGAGGCGTATAAGAAGGTGAAGGAGGCAAGACCAATAATATCGCCGAATTTGAACTTCATGGGTCAGTTGTTGGAGTTGGAGCAAAGCCTGAGGAGCAATAATAACAACCATCAGATACGTTGGAGTCAGCAGTCGAGTGACGAGGTATCTCAAGGTTGTAGTGTGTAATTTTTTCAGTGACTTTAACTGGTGGTGTTATTGACGCTAAGTTATCAGAATTATCAGCTCGCCATAAGAGTATCCAATCTAGTCTTACAATTTGGAAAATGGCTGTGTTCACTTTAACAACAAAATTATTAGTGGTTCTTATAGGAGTGTAATAAGGCTGTATAAACTGTATATCGTACAGCTGTAGAGAGTGTTAATGGAAATTTTGGCAGCAACTTGTAAATAAATTAATATATATTATTTATTATATTTCAATGTTTGTATTTACTTATTATGTATAATATAGTTTAGGTTAGTTTGGATGATTTTTTTTTTCAATATGTTGCCATAAACTTTCAATGACAATATTTGTCCATTGAAACTAAGTCAGTTCTTTTAGTTTGTCTAGTTTGTTTTTTTTATTTTGTTAAATAGATCAATAGAGAGCGATTTTTGAAAAATGGTATAAAATCTAATTGTGATTTAGATAGTTTAGAAACCAAGTATAGGTGCATATAGTGGGTGGGAACACCAAACAATATCTTACTCTATTAGTGAGACTTACCGTATATATATCTTGAATAATGTGCCTTTACTTTTACACGTCTATTACAATGTAACCTTCAGACTGTAAAAATATTCTACAAATTGTAATGTGAATTTTTCTGTTCAAGACTTATAAACTAATTAAATTATATGTTATCAAACAAGGAGTTTTATTTTTTATGTCCCACCATCCATCATTAAAATTAATAACTGCAATTAAAAACGGTTAAATGTTCATAAATTTATTTTCATAAAATTTGTAATAAAATAACATATTAATATAATATATTGCGTAATATATCTCTCGAAATAGTTTCAAATCACTCTAGTAACTCTTTGGAATTTAAACAAAATTATCACAATACAAAAAATAAAAGCCTTAACAATTAATGCCCTAACTAACAAATAAAAGCACAATAAGGAATCCCAAGTCTTGCATTGTCAAAAGCACCATTCTATAGGATTCCCCTTAAGTAACAAAAATAAAATATATTGTACCTACTAAATAACAGTCTTCACCATTCGGCGTCTCCATTGGCTTTTTGGAAAACATAATCCTCCCCTTCTAAATTCATAATGCCATCTTTAAAATGAAATTTCCACCTATTCCTGCTTCTAGTAATCTATAATAACATTAAGTAGAGAATAATAATTTCAAAACATCAATACTAACTTTGTCGTACTGACAAACAATGACATTTTCGGTTTCAAAGGAGGAATGAGCTTCATCTGCATCTGAAACATCGTCTCCGGAATTCAAAGGCTCTTCCTCCAACCTGTTGCTCGCCTCCTCATCCTCTACGTCCTCTTGGGGATCCTCATCGTTATCCTCGTCGAGATCTTCATCTTCCGAGGAATCCTCATTCCCATCGCACTGCGTGATATCCTTCATCATATGCGGCATGTATTGAGAGTCTTGCTGGACAGAGTTCATAAGATGCGGCGGCATCATCGCCATCATATGTTGATGTTTCACGAAAGCCTTATTCACATGGTCCTGCAAGTATGCGCATGCGTTGTACACCGATAACCCCATCGTCGTGCTAACCACATTCGATGTCAATATGTTCTTCAAGTGATTGCCTTGCAGGAAAACTTCCGGGACCTCTATGGCCAAAGTCCTTTGACCCTCCTGACTGCCCGGCAGTTGCGGGATTGTTAATTGTATAGGAACTCTTCGGTAGTCACCCGACATCATCGCCACGTGGTTATTCGGCGCGACTTGACCCACAACTTGGCGCATTTGGTTCTGGACTTTTTGAAAATCGATTTGGTCTTGCTTTAGTTTGTTTTGGTGCTCTAAAACAGTAATTATCTTTAACAAATACTATACATCGTAAGGGTCCAAGGGCGGAACCTTGTGGAATACTGTTCTGATTAAAATAAAAAATAGATCAAAGCTAAAAAAAATACATAAAGAGAAGGTTACTTTAACCTTAAAGTTCTAGCAAATTTTTCCATAAATTTCCTTTTTTAATTTATTTTTTATTTAAATAGTTGATATTTTAAAGATTAGGCATTTTACAAGTTTTTAAATTTCCTGAGTTCAGTTTTGCTTATTTGTTAAGGGCTGGGATCGTGCGGTAAACTCAAGACTAAATAAAATAAAAATTATTTCTTTAAATTTAATTTCATAACAATAGTTATTTATGTCATTAGGTTAAGAAGTAAGGCTTTTTGTGCTAAGCTCAAGGTTTGAAGGCCGACGCGTAGCACAAAAAGGCACTTCTTGGCCGAATGGCATACAACATTTTATCTTCAAAGCACTTTATATAGGTCAATTTAATTCAACATCAAAGCGGCCTAACCTCACTTTTTTAGAATCTCATTTATTTATTAGCTAAAGATTACATTAAATGTACAATAATTATTATTGCTTTTAGAAGCACTAATGGTTTGACAATACCTAGCAACATGATTTAAGTAGAATATTACATTGAATTCAATTAACTGTTTAATAAATAGGTAGGTATCTAGGAATTTCAATTTGTTTGGATTTTTATTTAAAAAACATTTGAAATGTTTAAGCTGTGTTTAACATTTAATTTCACTGAAAACTTAAAGCAAATTAAAACTTAAAAATAATTTAAATCGTAGAAAAAGAATCGTGCGTTTTCTTGGTTGCCTAACCTCACTTTTTGTTTTATTATTCATATTTAATTTTACAATAATTTAATAAGAAATATTAAATTTAACAGTAAAACAAACAAATTGGTGCTTATTATAAATAAATTAAACCAGTTTAGTACGTTAATTTCTTAGAAAAGGATTAATTTGTCAAAACAATACCACTAGCGAGAAAAAATCGAACTAATTACTTGCCTCATAAAATTTTTTATCGGCCTAGGCCATAACAAGGTATTTCTTTATCGAATGTTGACAACAATAAAGTTTAAATTTTTATTTTGCTATCAGCAAAGTAAAAACAAATGAATACAGTCCTGCGAGCAATGACAAACGTAAAACAAATAACAATTAAATTATAAACAGCTTTGATAATTTTGTCATTCTCTTAAAAACTAAATAAACAACAAAACTTACGCTGCATTTTTTCCATTTCTTTGGCATCCTCAACGGCCTTAGTGGCCTTTAATTTATTTTCCCAAAGTTGTTTGAGTTCTTGCAAAACCTGCTCGTCGACACCGTCTTCTAGAAAATGATCGCGAATATTTGAAATAACATCGTTTATGACATCTTGGTAGGTTTTTTGCTAAAATATGTAAATAATTTATGTGATAATGCAGTGTCGAAATTTAGCCCAATTTTTTGGACAATTGTGTTGTGTATGTTTGGTGGAAAAGTACGGGTTATTAAATATAATTTTATGTAGGAAAAATAATTAGTAAATGACGCTATTTACTCCAAAAAATAACCGGTGATGATGACTTAAGTCAAAACAGTAAATAAATAATAAATAGGTATACTCACTACCGAAGATTTGCATAGAGAATTTGCCATTTTTGCAAAACAACAACAAAAACACAGACAGCAGTTTAAATGCAAGGCTTTGTAAACCTGCAGTGTTTTTAGTACTTTCTCCTGCTTTCCATTTGTTCAACTGCAATGCAACCGTAACGCTAAAGCGACTCTTGTGTACTGAACTCAAAATCGCAATATAATTCTCGTGACGTAGTACAGGTACTACCTGTATTTTAATTCTTCAAGTATGCGCACTCTGTACATGCATTTTATTCATCTATAATAATTATGTATACCTAATTAACACGTTTTTATTTCATCAAAATTAGTTTTCGATTTGTATAAAGGGTTTTGGTTTAAAAATTCAAATTCAATTACTTGTCTACGGTGAATTATTGTCTATATCTAATCAGGTTTTTATAGATTAGTCGAGACCGCGTTCTATGCAATAACCCAATACAGCACACTTTTGTTCTAGCATTTGTATATTTAACATCCAGTATTAACAATTTGGTAAATTTTAAAAAAGTTGCATTAAGAATATGCAATAGGCACCAAAAAAATAGTAATAAAAAATAAAATACCATAGGTATGCGATATACGGGTACTTGTCTAATTATTTTTAACTGCCTAAAAGTCCGGTCTCTATATATTAGTTTTGCATGCTTTAATTTAGATATGTACATGTTTTACCACGATATAGACATAGTTAATTGATTAGGCTGATAATGGTTATTATTGCTCACAAATAAACAAGTAGTATACAGGGCGTCCCGGGTTATCATAGCATTCCTTGGTTTATTTGAAATTTTTTCGTTTTTAGAGTTTTTTTATGTCTTGCTTTGTTTAAAAGTCATAAAGTATTAATCGTATTTAACAGAAAAATTTAAAAAAATAATTTTTCCAAAATCTTTGCTCCAAAAACATGTTGATTTGAAAAAGGGGGCAATATTTGGAAGCCCTGTATAAGAAAGTATTTATCTTAAAAAAGCTAATTAAAAAAATTCCTCATTCAGTTGATATTATTATTATTTTAAATGAAATAAACAACAACAAAAATAATTTTTTATAGTTATTATAATATAATAACATATAATAATTATTAATTCGTGATAATTTGGCGCCCAATAATTTATTATGTTTATTATTTATATTTTTAAACAACAATTCCATGAAAGAATTATCTCATAAAAAAACAAGCTTATATTAGATATATTTTTTATATTAGGCTTGTTCCTACCCAGCATTTGGGCTGTCAAATGGACGTCAGAAACATGTGCGTAAAATTGCGATCATATTTTCGTATTGCGCGTGTGTTTTTGGCTTTTGACTTGACTTTTTTGTTAAAATTGTCATAATATTCATTGAATAATTTTATTAAATGCTCTATATCTTCTAAACTAAACATTTTATCGCATTAAGGTAGTTGTCGTGCTATAAGCATACCATCAGAAAATTTTTGTATACTTATTAAGGACATGACAATACATATATCCTTAAAATTTGAAGTCGATTGACCGTCTATAACCCGAGATAAATTCAATTAAAAATTGGATAATTAACATGGATTGTATAGGCTTTCTGTAGTTCTGTACCAGTTTCTTAGTTATACAGAAAAAACTAACTGTCAGAAGCTTTCAAAAAACTAACATTGTTTTAATGTATTTTTGCTGAGTTTAAAAAAAATAATTAAAAATTTTTGACCGTCCAATTGTTTATAAATAACCGTTTAAAGTTCAACAATTTGTCAGATAAAAACAACTTGGCAAGGCTGTACGCGAGTATAGATATAATTTCCGCAGTAAATTCAAACGTCTGATTCAGTCTCCAATATATCTATTGGTTGAGCATAAGCGACGTTGCCGGATTAAGACTTATGAAAATATTTGAAAGTATTACGTAAAAATAACGTCTCCAGGGTACAGTCTTGCGAACAAATTATGAATCACTTAGCTACCAGCTCGTATACTTTTACGGTGCGTATAATCTAAAAATTTTTGACAATATTGTACCACGACAACTACCTTAATGCATAAAACTATTTTTGTAGGAAATTAAATTTTTTATAAAAGTATTTTTTACTTATTACGGGTTCCTTCAACCGTTGTGCATTAAAAGTACATAGTTAACCAATATTTGTCTGTAAAAGTTATAAATCGCTTTATATCTTTTTAACTATGCGTTTTATTGCATTAATCAATATGACTTTTTTTGTAGGAAATTGATTTTTTTATAAAAGTTTTGTATACTTTTTACCTGTAACTTAAACCGTTTTGCCGTTAAACCACATAGGAGTCATTAATTTATCAATATTTGACAGTACAATTTATTAAATGCTCTATATCTTATAAACTATGCATTTTATTGCATTAATCATTGTGACTTTTTTGTAGGAAATTGAATTTTTCATAAAAGTTTTGTATACTTTTTACCTGTAACTTTAACCGTTTTGCCGTTAAATCACATAGGAGTCATTAATTTATCAAAATTTGACAGTACAATTTATTAAATGCTCTATATCTTTTAAACTATGCATTTTATTGCATTAATCAATATGACTTTTTTTGTAGGAAATTGATTTTTTTTAAAGTTTTGTATACTTTTTACCTGTAACTTTAAGCGTTTTGTTGTTAAACCACATAGGAGTCATTAATTTATTAATATTTGACAGTACAATTTATTTAATGCTCTATATCTTATAAACTATGCATTTTATTGCATTGAATTTGAGAAATTGTGACTTTTTTGTAGGAAATTGAATTTTTCTTAAAAGTTTTGTATACTTTTTACCTGTAACTTTAAGCGTTTTGCCGTTAAACCACATAGGAGTCATTAATTTATCAATATTTGACAGTACAATTTATTAAATGCTCTATATCTTATAAACTATGCATTTTATTGCATTATTCAATATGACTTTTTTTGTAGGAAATTGAATTTTTTATAAAAGTTTTGTATACTTTTTACCTGTAACTTTTAGCGTTTTGTTGTTAAACCACATAGGAGTCATTAATTTATTAATATTTGACAGTACAATTTATTTAATGCTCTATATCTTATAAACTATGCATTTTATTGCATTGAATTTGAGAAATTGTGACTTTTTTGTAGGAAATTGAATTTTTCTTAAAAGTTTTGTATACTTTTTACCTGTAACTTTAAGCGTTTTGCCGTTAAACCACATAGGAGTCATTAATTTATCAATATTTGACAGTACAATTTATTAAATGCTCTATATCTTATAAACTATGCATTTTATTGCATTAATCAATATGGCTTTTTTGTAAGAAATTGAATTTTTCATAAAAGTTGTATACTTTTTACCTGTACCAATATTTGACAACAAAGGACTAATTAGTTTATCAATATTACACTTAAATTTATTAAATGAGATATATCTTTTAACTATACATTTTATTGGATTTTTTATAGGAAATTGAATTTCCTATACATTTACCTACAACTTCAACCGTTCTGTTTAAAGTTTAAATGATAGAAAAATAGGACATTTTGTTTTGACACTATAACTTGAAACCGGGTATGTTGTTAAACGAATAGATAAGAAATAGTAGGTTTATATCTCTTTAAATTACTGCACTTTTTTGTTATCTTCCAAAAGTGGGTTTTAAAAATTAACCATTATGTAAATGCCACTCTACTACACTGGTAAAAAAGTTTTACAGTATTTTTAAATACTGATAATTACATGCAATAAATTAAATTGTATCATTGAAAAAAATTAGCTTACCTTACATTATTGACGTGGATAGAAAATAAAAACCAATCAATTTTTGTAGTAAAAATCTATTTATATAAATATAAAACAGCGTAAACCCATAGAAAAATCGTAAATTAAATTAAAGTTCATCGTGTATCGTCCAAAACTTCTTTGCCACTGCGTTATAGAGATTGTAGAAAGCGTATACACTAACGGCTATTATGACGAATAGAGCTGTACCAAAAACGAAGCCCAGTAGACTTCCATCGATGAATCCGTTGCCTTTGTTCCGAGAACTGCCGTCTTCCTGGATCAATCTGCGCTCGGCCATCATTTTTTTCATGTGGTCGAGCCGCTGGCGGAGCTCGTCTACGTTTTCGTCGGTGGCTAAAAATTTTTTTAAGTTATCGGTGTGGTGGTGTGAAATGGTTCTTACTCTTGTTCATGTTGTCCATGAGTCCCAGTCGAGAGCGACTATCGATTGGAAGAGGGGAGAGAAATGAAGTTAACTGGACCAAGCGGCAGGAATCTGGATCGAAAAGACGGAAAACCCTAGACCCACCCTACAAAGCGTGCGCATCAGTTGTGTTGAAATTTTGTGTGTCACATTACTTTCCAACAGTGTATTTTTGAGAATACTTTTGCAATTTCAGTATAATTTTTTTCATTCAGTACCGAAAAAGTGAACAAAATTTTTCGGTTATTCTTTAATAAATTTTGGTGTAAGTTGAGCTAAGACGAAATGGAGTTGTTGTACTTTGTTTAGCACTAATCGTTGTCAAAATTTATGTTACACCTCTCTTCTGTTCTTCATTATCCGTATAGGATCTTTGAATTGTTGTAAGCCAGTTTCGTTTTTTTATTGTTTTAATTTATTTGTCTCGATTGAATCCAGTAGAACCCGATAATACAATTTTTACGTATACAATAGTGCAGTATGTTAATTCGGTTGGTGCAATCAACGAGATGAAGTTTATCGATTCAAAACCACGCAGCTTTTTTACTGCCGCTGTGTTAACTTAATAATAACAATAAGTGACTTGAGATAAAAATTAAAATCTATAATGTATGCAACAGGTCAGACACAATATAGGTCACGAGCTATAATAGCCAATGATGAATGTAAGTGAAAGTAGATAACGTGTCAAAAAACGTTCCCAGGCAAGATGGTGCTGGATTTTAACCACGTGTCCATGCTCCCATGTTATTATTATTACTGTAGATTATTTCAGTTGTCCCTTATTTTTACAACTTATTGATCTGTTATGGAATAACGAAGCTGTTCCCCATGTTGAAGATTCCCGCACGTTTTAAACAATGTGACCTCAGTGTATCCCTTGCCTTTGATTATTGTGACTGCATTGTCAACATGGGTACTCGGGCTGCTGCATGTAAGGAACATTTTTTTTTCTCTCACATCAATACTAAATCAACCAACAAACATGACAATTATACAATTGTAGATACTAACAGCATACTTAAGTTATAAAAATGGAAAACTCGTCAAAAGTTTTTATGACTTCAGCACGCTGTTATAGCATAAAATGAAGACCCTATACATAAAAAACTATTTGCTTTACTAATTTATAACACTAAAAAATTCTCTTTTCCTAACTCAACTTATTTATAATAATTATTTATCGATTTCTACATTCTTATTTTTTTTCAAAATAATAACTTTATATACCTTAATAAATAAAATGTAAGTACATTTACCAAACTAGTACAAATTAAGTCTTTATTTAAAATATCAAATGAAATTGCTTAATAAATACTTTTCGGCAAAACGGTTAAAGTTACAGGTAAAAAGTAAAAATAAATTTTATGGAAAATTTAATTTCCTATAAAAAAGATAAAATGCATTAATCCAATTAAATGCATATTTTAAAAGATATAGAGCATTTAATAAATTTAAGTGTCTAATTTCAATAAATCTAAAATGTATTAATTCATAAAACCATTTTTGTAGAAAATAAAATTTCCTATAAAAGTATTATTAACTTTTTACCTATACTTTTAACCGTTGTGCCGTAAAACAACAGGACTAGTTAGTTTTTCACTAAAATTTATTAAATGCTCTATATCTTTTAAACTATACACTTAATTGAATTATTGCAAAAAAAACGTTTTTATAGAAAATTAAATTTTCTTTAAAAATTGTATTAACTTTTTACCTGTAACCTTAACAGTTTTGCCGTCCATTTTTCTCGATATAATGACATGGAGGAAAGGATTTATAAATTTTAATCCCGGAGCATCCGCCATTTTTAAATAATTAACCGGATGAAGGATTTGAATAAAATTTGGTATGAACGTTGGGCCGCCCTGTATAAATAGATGATTCCATATTTGTATTTGATCAAAAACTATTTGCTTTACTAATTTAACACTAAAAAATTCTCTTTTCTTAACTCAACTTATTTATAATAACTTAAGTTATAAATTTATATACCTTAATAAATAAAATGTAAGTACATTTACTAAACTTGTACAAATTAAGTCTTTATTTAAAATATCAAATAAAATTGCTTTAATAAATGCTTTTCGGCAAAACGGTTAAAGTTACAGGTAAAAAGTAAAAATACATTTTATAGAAAATTTGATTTCCTATAAAAAAGATTAAATGCATTAATCCAGTTAAATGCATATTTTAAAAGATATAGAGCATTTAATAAATTTAAGTGTCTAATTTTAATAAATCTAAAATGTATTAAATGCTCTATATCTTCTAAACTATACATTTTATTGCATTAATTCATAAAACCATTTTTGTAGAAAATTAAATTTCCTATAAAAGTATTATTAACTATTTACCTATACTTTTAACCGTTGTGCCGTAAAACAACATAGGACTAATTATTTTTTCACTAAAATTTAATAAATTCTCTATATCAATTAAACTATACACTTAATTAAATTATTTCAAAGAACCTTTTTTTATAGAAAATTAAATTTTCTTTAAAAATTTATTAACTTTTTACTTGTAACCTTAACAGTTTTGCCGTAAAATGCAATATAGTTTTTTTATTAAAAATATGACTTCTGTGACATATAGAGGTCTAAATATATAAATTGTGGTTTAAAGAGCACCCAATCCATTTTTCTCGATATAATGACATGGAGGAAAGGATTTATAAATTTTAATCCCGGAGCATCCGCCATTTTCAAATAATTAACCGGATGAAGGATTTGAATAAAATTTGGTATGAACGTTGGGCCGCCCTGTATATATAGATGATTCCATATTTGTCTTTGATCAAAAACTATTTGCTTTACTAATTTAAAACTAAAAAATTCTCTTTTCTTAACTCAACTTATTTATAATAACTTTATATACCTTAATAAATAAAATGTAAGTACATTTACTAAACTTGTACAAATTAAGTCTTTATTAAAAATATCAAATGAGATTGCTTTAATAAATACTTTTCGGCAAAACGGTTAAAGTTACAAGTAGAAAGTAAAAACAAATTTTATAGAAAATTTGATTTCGTATAAAAAAGATTAAATGCATTAATACAATAAAATGCATATTTTAAAAGATATAGAGCATTTAATAAATTTAAGTGTCTAATTTCAATAAATCTAAAATGTATTAAATGCTCTATATCTTCTAAACTATACATTTTATTGCATTAATTTATAAAACCATTTTTGTAGAAAATTAAATTTCCTATAAAAGTACTATTAACTTTTTACCTATACTTTTAACCGTTGTGCCGTAAAACAACATAGGACTATAGTCCTATTATAATTAGTTTTTCACTAAAATTTAATAAATACTCTATATTTTTAAACTATACACTTAATTGAATTATTGCATTATAGAAAATTAAATTTTCTTTAAAAATTGTATTAACTTTTTACCTGTAACCTTAACAGTTTTGCCGTAAAATGCAATAGTTTTTTATTAAAAATATGACTTCTATGACATATAGAGGTCTAAATATATGAATTGTGTTTTAAAGAGCATCCAATCCATTTTTCTCGATATAATGATTTTTAAATTTTAATCCTGGCGCATCCGCCATTTTTGAAGGATTTGGTTTAAATTTGGTATGAACGTTGGGCCGCCCTGTATATATAGATGACTCCATATTTGTCTTTGATCAATTAAAATAGATAATCACAATATAAATAGTCCTTACAATATATGAAATAAGAATGTAAAAATCAAAAATATAATTAAAAACTTTATCTATATACTATAAATAATTTTTTTCTATTTGCACTTAGCACCTTGTAAAACTGTATATTATATGTAAATTTTCTTGTAAGTTAGTGTATATACATACATAGTTCAACTAAATTTTAAATAATTAAAAAATATATATTATTGCTAGTAAATGAACAAATTTAAAAAATATTACTTCCCAGTAAATAATTATTTATTATTATGTCTTTTTGCAAGGATTTACTGTTGATGGGAGAACTTTTATCTTCCATGTTACCCACACACTTGTTAAATGACATGTAAATGTTATTTTTGTAAATAAATGTTTAAATATGTTAACCAGTACGATGTTTAAAAAAAATGCTAGCACCGCAAAATGTAGTCATTATTAATAATACAATACAAGGTAAGTTTATATGTTTGGCATGACCCATTTATAAAAATAATAAATAAAACAAATACACATAATAACAATATTAATTTTTATATATATTTTTACACTGAAGGGTGTTCTAATAAGAGTTTTACAGAAAACAAACATACTTTTATTGCAACACCATTTAAAAGAAACATCGTATTGGCGAATGTACTTTGATTGTTTTTACTGATAAACTGTTTGCAGTTACAGCCAAAATACGCAGCTTATATGATTATCAATTACGGCTTATGCAAGGGGTCCAACCCCCTCCATCTGGAGTTGACATAGCAAATACCCTTAAATACTTTACCACAACTCTTCTCAGTAAGTAAACTGTCAAATTGGCTCGAAAAAGTACCAACCAGAACTAAAATGTTCTGGTAGATACTTTACTATTTCCGATCAATAAATCAAGGACAAATAATGTGGTATTTTAGCTGTTCTTAAAGATGTACCAAATTCACCCTTCGATCTCCTAAAAAATCCCGAAATGGATGCCGTACGTATGGGCCTTTTCCCTTCTCTAGATTATAAAGCTCTTTACAACGCATTGGTACCGTTAATTGAGGTTGCGCCCTTAATCCAAATTGGTCTTCATAGTAAGATATCGCCCTTTAAAATATCCATTTGGTTTGAAACGTTGTTTTTAGGTTTTGGTCAACATATTCTTCAAGTATTAGGCTGTATTCTTCCGTTTTTAGAACACGATTTCATCGATAATTTACCTTATTTAACCGCGTCTTCCATAGCGGTGCTTCCAAGCAACCTACATCAGGAAATAGTGAACACCCTGTGTTTCTACATTCTTCCCTTTACGATAAGTACGAGTTTCTAAGACAATGGAAACCCGAAACTAACAAACTGATCATTTTAGCTCGAAAAAACGAAAATGAACCGGACATATCTCAGTCAGTGTCTGCTGTAATAATGATGGTGTTCCAATATTCGGCAAATCCAGCGCATCATTGCCAACTCCTCGAGTGTCTTATGACCTTGAAGCAAAACATCCTGAAAGATATTTTAAGCGTTATCGCCTATGGAACTTCATCCGCTCGCTCTTCAGCTGCCAAGCTTCTTTTCTACTATTGGCCTACGTTCAACGCCAACCTGTTCGATAGGAAAAATTTAATTTGCAAATTCGCCGATCCAGCACCTTTCGTCTGCCAAAGGGACATGTGCCCCAACTCAGGAAACGCAGAGGCGGCCAAAGTTTGCTACGACCATTGTATATCTATTACTTTCGCTACCGATTCACCGCCTCCTTTGTATTTGTGTATCGAATGCGCCAACGAAATCCACAGGGAGCATCCCAATCAAATGTTTTTCGATATTTTACATCCCATGCAACAAGTTTCTATGATCTGCGAAAATAAGGTATGTCATGTTGGGTACCTACTCAAAAAGTCCTGACCTCTTTTTCATGTCAGGTCATGATGCAAACAATTCAGTATTACTCTGCAAAAACTTTTCGAGTAGGTACCTAATCTGTCGCTTCAGCTTATACACATTGGTTTATTTTTTGATAGAATTGTAGATCAAGTGATAAATCGGCAATATCCATATGTTTTTCAACTGAATGTGCTAGTTATAACGGTAATCACCCAATTAGATATTGTGAACAATGCCATAATAATAGACATAATAATAGAAGAGGTGGGGACCATATTGTTCACAAAAGTTTACCACCCACTTGGAATATGGATGCTGAAATGCAAACCTACATGGTAGAAGCTATTGTTAGGTAAGTGCTGATGCACACGGTGGCCCATAAGTCTTAAGAAACTGATGTTTGAAAAAGTACAACTTTGGTGATATGTTAAACGAATATTAGAAATATTCCCCAACACCAAAACAAAACACAAGGTGCTTAAAGTACTTTTCGCCAACGATGTTGGCATTTTCAGAAGCTAAATGCCCTAACTGCTAAATATTTATAATTATTATGAGCTACCGTAAAGGGACACAGTTTACTAAACCTAAATAAGTTTAAGGTTGTCAAATCCTATTCTATGACCATCATCAAGTATATGTTGGGCAACACTCGATTTCTCTGTCCTACCAAATCTAGCCTGGGCCAAGTGCTCTTATCTTATCTTTTGGGTTGCCTAAACGGGTCTGAGGTGTGTTACTGCTTAAACTCAAAGCAAATTTGAAGTCCAGTTTTCGAAAAATCCCTTCCAGATCTCGAATGGCCATAAAGTCATAAAAGTCGTTAACCTATTTACCAACTTATCTACTAGGGTGGGCTTAAAGCAATGTCTTTGGTGTTGGGGGATATTTACAATATTTGCTTAAGAAACTGAGTCAACATTGGATGATGAATTCTGGAGATTTATAGGCCACCATGCAAAGGGTTTTTCAATAGAAGTTCAAGAAGAAATTTTGATACTTCAAAACTTAAAATCTACCATCAAGATCATATCACTCCTGTTGAAAACCCCTTCAGAGGAAAACTGTAATGATTGGAAAAAGCAATTTGTCCTTGTAGTTTGCTGAAAGAGGCGAAAACTCCGGTAGTGGAGAGTAAAGAAACGACAGAAGGTAAAGCTCCACTGCCTAGCATGGATAATATAACTGTAGAAGAGAGACAGCTTCTAGGTAGATATGGAGTGTGGTTGCTTGTGGGGAGGTGTTCGCCAGCTGAGAACACCCCTGTAGAAGTGCTAGGCCGCCTAATAGCAATGCTTTTCCATTGGTTTCATATGACAGCTTACTCATATGATGGTAAACCGAATTGTTTTCAAAATCTAGCATCCTATTATCTTGCATTTTGTACAGGACAAGAAGAAAGTACCTTAGAGAAACTTAAGACTGAAAACGTATGTGGTTGGCTGAGGGAAATCAGCAAAACACATTATAATCTTTTTATTTCTTGTCTTCTGCCACATCCGCCTGAATATGCACGAATCGGAGGTCATTGGTAAATTAGAAATTAAATATTTATTTCATCGCCTTTCTACAAAATCATTTTAGGGATACTTTATCCTCCAGAACATCGCATTTAAAAGATGGGTTAAATAGATTATTTTGTTTGGTACCTTACGAAGTTATAACTCAGGAAATTTGGGATTACATTATGCCCCATTGGATGGAAGCTATAGTTAACGATGTCCCTGAAAAGGAATTGTCAGAATTACGCATTATACTTAGCAAAATATTGGATACAGAAATGAGTCCTCTAGGATTTGATTCCAAAAAAATGTATCAGTTTGTGGCCTTTCGATTTCAAAAAACAAGTGCCAAAACTCAAGAACAGGCCCTAAAGTGGCTATTGGTACGTCAAAACATTAGTTCTTATTCATCATGATTCAGTCCCTTAAAATATTTTATTTTAGATCTTGACGTTGTTGGAAATCGTTATCCCTCTTCACCTATTATTTAGTATATTCGAAGAAGGAGTATCTTACATGAAAAACGGAGCAGATGACCTGTTGGAAATGGAAGGAGAAAATTCTTTTAAATATCACGACGAATCTCAAACCTTCGAGGGACCAAAGGAATCAATTGGTACACAACATTTTGTAAATCTTGACATCAGTTTTGTCCATTGAGACAGGACTTATGGCAAGAGGGGGAACTTTAATTAACTTAAAATTTATTGAAGCTCACCTTGTTGAAGACGAAGATTCGGCTAAAACATCATTTTCCGATGAAGAAAACCGTTTATCGCAGCAAACCGATATAGAATCCGACGCAGAACATAACCTCTCCGGGTGCATACTCATGTTGGACATACTGTTGAAGCAGATGGAGCTTCAGGACATCGACAAACATACAGGTCTAGGTTCTTCCTTATGCAAGGACGTTTGTTGGCTGCTAAAGTGCATGATAACGGCTGCCTGGATCGGAAACCACACCTGTCACCCCAAATCCGAATGCACCTACTGCGAATCTAGCATAATGTGGCACCAATTGTCTTTGCAGTTGGTGAAGTATTTGTCGCCCATCTATCCAGCGCACCCGCCAGATGTAAGTGCGATGTCGGAATTGTAGATTAGTTTTGATCGATTTCTTTCAGCCGCCAATGGAAGACAGTTGGGAGGAGTTTAACCGGAAAAGTCCTCCGGAAAGCGACAAAAAGGAATCGAAATCCGACGTGGTGTTGAGCATGCCGATACCGGAAGTACACTCAGTTGGGGGCGTTCTAGTACATATGCCTCATGTGTGTTCTGTACGAGCCGTAGATTTTCTCAAACCAAAACTAACTTTGGTTTGAGACAATTAACTTTTCTAAGAGCTTTTTAAATGTTTCTTATGCACCCTTTCACTTTCTCAGTGTTTTTTATATGTACCTGCTTGTTGGAGAGATGTTTAGAAAGCTCTTTCTTATTTATTTTTTACTATGTCCAATTTTAGATCATGACTGCCACTGTGGAAACTGTTTCCGAACAATTGGATCTAGCTGCTATTATACCTGCCGAAAAAGTCGTTTCTGCCGTTGCTAGGGCCATCACCCTGTCAGAGTCAGACGTTGGTAAGGTTTATTCTTTATTGTCATGTTTAGAGAAAATGATCCGTAAAATCAGTTTCTCTAATCTACGAGATACAAAACTGAACTCTTCCAAAATTGTAGCAGTGGCAGCAGCTACAACACTATCAAAACCACAAGTGATAGGGGAAAATGATGAAACTTTCGAAACCGACTCAGGGGATGATATGGACAATTTATGGCAAACTTCAGTGGGACAATTTAAATTTTCAGTCGAAGATTTGCCACCGCCTATCCAGTACATACACCAATTATTGCAGGAACTTTCGAAAGTCAGTAAACCAGACATTTTATACTACATGCTGCAATGTCTCAACATTCTCATTTTACATGGGGATGCCTGCACGAAAGCTTCCAAAGAACACCGAGGTTTTTTCATTTGGTGTCAAGAAAATTTAATCATCAAAAAGTAAATTTTTGTAGTGGTGAAACAATCATTCCAGTGTTATGTTTTAGTTTGTGGCAGCTATGTAACTCGGAACACTCCCATATCTGTCAAGAAGCAGTACCAATTCTTCTGCATTGTATAACCTTACCAGCAGGCTCTGATGTCTTCTGGAGAGTTATCCAAGAAGATTTTCATAGCTCTGAATGGTGTGTTAGGTTTACTGCAGTGGAAAGGGTAACGGTCATTGCCAGATTTATGGATTCGAGTCCGTTGCGAAACGTTATCCAGTTACAAGCTGCTCTAGCAAATGCATTTTGCTACTTGATATCTTCAATGGATGATCACAATGTGTATGTAGCGCAACGAGCTACACTCTACTTGGGTACGATACATGACTTTGCCATAAAAGCGTTGATAATGTGCTTGGAGACGCAATTCGATACCGTTATAGTGGATAGACCTATGGTGCTACAATCTCTATACCAACTACACAACTCTTTGAGCGAACGAAAAATCCTGAACTGGGATTTTTTTCTGAACAGATTTGATACTTTGTTCATCGAAGCCCAAATAAGTTTGGAAAGATCAGGCGATATATCATATTTACGAGGTCAGTATTAATTATTTCCAAATTGCAATCCTGTGAATGAGTATTTTAGATTTGAGAAATTCGGAGTTAAACAGCGAGCATTTAATAAAAAAGATTCAGAGAGCGAACGAGGCTCTCTCGCAATCCGATGGTAGTGCTGCAAGTTCCATAAAAACTTTAAGTGCTAGTTTCGGGACGAAATGGCCTTATAAAAGAACAATGTCAGCGCCTGCTTCAATAGTACCGAGGCATGAAAGCAGAGGTAATTTGCATCCCAATCAAGTGATTTGCAATAAATTGTGCATAGTTTTTGCAGAGACAAAAGAGAAGGTCTATAGCAGACAATACTCGGCGCCGATATTAAAAAGAAAAAGCTCACGTTTCGGACTGGGTCAGTTTTTAGGCACTAGTAACAGCATTCCAGGTAGAATCTAGATGTAGTGTCTTGCTGTAGTGTGGCATGAATGTACGTAAGTTTATTTTTTAATCCAAACATTCGCTTTATATTCTAGCGCATGATGCGATGTAAAAATAGTAAAACTTCGAAAATCTCGTTCAACTCTGTATTTCAGATGGACAAGCCCACTCGTTGAACACGGTAGAGGACCAGAACATCACAACTTTTTTGCAAAGAATCATCGACTTGGAGGAAACCGACAAAGAAACCATGCATTTGCTCGTTTTCCTTCTGATGCAGTTTCTATCGCGATCGGATCAAGCGTACCCAACGGAAGATAAAAACCTCTCCAAAATACAAAACATCGTTTTAAGACACTTATATCTACTTCTTGGTTATAACCAAACCGATAGGGGATTGTATCTACCACCGCAGAGATTAAGATCATCGCCAGCCTTCAGCGTTTTTTTATCAAACTTACCGCAATTAATGGACCAAAATCACTTGATGGGAAGATTATTATTACCAACGTGTTTGATAATATTGCAATACGCGCCATCTCCGTACTACATGCAAAATTCGGTCGAACTTCCACAACCTACATACAGTCTATGGGCTCTTGAAGCCCACTTTAGAAAAAATTGGCTCATGTCCTTGGTGGTACTCCTGTATAAGGTATGTACACACATCAAGAAGGAAAAAAAACAATTGGGAGAATTATGAATTATTTTAGTATCAGTATAACTCCCAACCATACTCAATGCAGTTGGTATCGTTGATAAGAATAGTCCTGAACACGTTGGATTCGCAACATCATCATTGCAGAAGAATTCCGGCGACAATAATCATGGGGGCGCCACCGTCGAGATCCAGAGGTATTTATTTGAATCAGCATAAGTTTCTTTTATAAATATTTTTCAGATGTAAGTCAGCCTTCTTTGGGTACAGAGGCGGATCATCCGGAAAGAACGACGCCTCCTTTATCGCCGATGTATTCATCTGATGGTCAGTCCATACAAGTATCGGTGAGTTCGAGAGGAGGTAAGGCCCAGGTGGCTTATGCGAAGCCTTCATCGACCACCAGCATGGAGACGCATTGGGAAGAGCAAATTCTGGCTTACCCGGAGAAAAAATGGGACAAGCCGGTCAAATTAAAACCGGACACAAGCATTGACAACGACGACACGGAATCCGAGTTGATAGCGATTCCTGAGAGTGATATGTCAGACAGCACGTTGCATGGAAGTGTTCAGGATTCGTTTGAAGAAGGCAGTGAACCTTGTTGCAACAAGGATAAATGGAAGGAATACGATACGTCTTTGATTAAATCTCCTAAGGAGTCCTATGTTAGTTACTTTGTGAAGAAGCAAAGACCTACTTGGATAATAGGAAGTGAAGACGACTCGCTTCGGTCTTGTGATAATAAAAAATCGCCGGAGTTTTGCTCAAAAAATTCTACCTCATCTTTGAATTACATCAATGGTTCGCACCACACGAAAAGCGATACGAACAGAAGCAGCAACACTACTAGCTCTAATGGGGATTCGAAGTATTCCGACAAAGCGACCCCGCTAGGCAAGCACAAAAAGGTTATAGAACCAAGTATAACCCCTGTATGCACGCCTGTTTCTGATTGTGACGATTGCTACAAAAACCACCAAACCTTACTTCCTACACCTTCCATCGAACGACTTCTTCCCATCGGTGCTTCTGCAAGAACCCCAGGTAAAACCATTTGTTCATTTTAATATTAATCCAAACAATATTAAAATAAAAAACATGGTTTTAGATTCTCCGAAAGAACTCACTTTCGAAGCGCAATTGGAAATACCCAGTCAAGAAAGACTCTTACCCATCGGTACTCACACCAAAGATGTATCTCAATTAATTGAAAAAGTACGGCATGCCTTAGGAATAAACGCACAAGTTGTTAATAAGCAAGACAATAAAAAAATCGATAAGCCCAAACACGAACACCAATGTCACAGTCCTCGAAAACTAATCAAGCAAGTGGCTTTAGAGAGTCCGCCAAACAATTTAGACATGGACGATAATCTGTTCAGGACTATGAAGCCGGACAACCAAAGTAATCAAATTTGACTTTGAAGCGCAGATAAATCTAAACGTTTTTTCTTCAGTTTTTTTAGGAGATGCCATGGCTAACCACAGACAAAGGATTCGAAAAGTCGGCCCCTTCACAATGGGAGCCTATTCGTCGCAAGATCCAAGACGACCTGGCTCGTGGCTAAGTCCGCAAATGTCACCAAAAATAGGAAACCTAGATATCAAACAGAGTTCATTTAGAATAGGGGACGAATGCGTTAACGACAGATGTTCAGAATGCGGAACAGCCAGGGAAGAATACAGCGACGAAGAAATAGGGCTGTGCATAGTGACATTGGGTACTTTTATTCATAGAGAACCGGTCTTGGCTGCCCCCCTTCTACCAGACATCTTGAGCATCGTCTCAAAGTAAAGCCCGCTGCTCAATAGCCCGGTAACGGGAACAGGAATCTTAACATTAAAGGTGGGAGAGACTAAAAAGCCACTGTTGATAGATAGGGTTCGCTGAGTCTCTCCCACCTTTACCGTTTGGGTTCCCGTTACCGGGCTGTTGTGTTGCCTAAAACCAAAGGTTATACGAGTATCCAGTGATACTGATGTGAAATTTGTTTTTCAGGGTGGCAACAAACGCCATGTATCCATGGCAAAGCGAGAGCAATATCCATCTACCTGGTGGGGCTGTGAGTGTGGCGCATCAATTTTTGCGATGCGTCCTGCACCAGCTGGCCCCAAACGGTGCCTTTACGCAAATGTTTCAGACAAATGCTAGTGAAACTGTTAGAGTACAATTTTTTAAGAGTGTAATACAAGCGTTAATCGATTTTAACGAATTGAATCCTGTAGCACCCCTTCAATTATTATTAGAAACTCTAAATACTAATAGAACTTTACCACTAGAACATTTACCCACTATTTTAACGAATATGGCTTGTTATCTCAATTGTTTACCCATCGAGGCCACTTTAGGTGTGAACACGCCATTATGGAGCACCGTACTACAGCAACTCGAAATTTTATATCGAAAAGTTTTGTTTCTACTTCACGCGAAGTACGAAATCTTACCACCCCTCATCAAGATTATGTCTTCAATTTTTAAAGTTCCTTTAATATCACAATTTAAGGTAATTTTTGAAATTGAGTCTGTGGCTCCCGTCCCGAGGAGGGACTTAACTTCGATCCAGACTGACGTCACACACTGTAAATCCGTTTTTATTCCCCGAGCGTTATTAAATTAATGTTAAGCTGGATGGCTCAAATGGTAGGGCGGTCGCTTAACATGCGAGAGGTACCGGGTTCGATGCTACTAGAAGTTGTCGAACTTTTTTTATTTTATAAATTTGTTGTTCCTTTGTTAAAAGTTTTGGGTTTGGTTGGTTGGTTTGTTTTAGTTTTATAGTAACATAACAAATCTTAAAATTATGACGTCACTCGGGACTGAACTTAAGTCCCGCCTCGGGACGGGAGCCACAGCGATTATTATTTATAAATCATTTTAATTCCAGGGCATTTTGGAACCGTTCTCAAAAGTACTAAGCTGGGCTATACAAAAACAAACCCTCGAGTACAATAATTTAGTAGAAATTTGCTATCTTTGTAACAGAGCTTTCACAAAGGAAAGAGACAAATTAATACTAAGCCGAATGATTGTGTTCGAATTAGTGCAAGCGTTGAAGTTTAAATCCACCATGCCCGACTCCAATCTGCTGATGATTATTAACCTTATTTTACAAGTATTCAACATTACCATCAAAATTCGCAGTATATTTAATAGGGTATTTTTCAGGATGTGGGAGGTTCCATTCCGTCAAACATTTCAATTAAGGATTGTCCAGCATTTTCCTTGGAGTACAATCCAATAACCACTGGCATCTCAGAATGCATGAAGATGAATTTAGGGGATATCTTAGAGTTCCTTACTGATTTCCACACCATATCCAAAATGAAGGTGCGTCTTTGATAAAACTTTAAGAACGCATCAGTACAAATCTTTTATGTACATTTTAGAGTTACTGCAGAGGAGTAAATGTAGGCCTTAACGAGGACACGTTAGGAGGAATAATAAAATGTAGCGTAGCCCAATACTTAGCCCTGGAAATAACCAAGGGAAACGGCAGAGACAATAGAGCTGTAACGCGCTACTTTCCCTGGCTTTATAACACCACCAACACACAACAGAGCCCTAGGGAATTTTTGGAGTGCATTGCCCACATAAGGCTTTTATCATGGCTATTATTGGGCTCTTTGACGCACACGGCTCTACAAAATTCCAGCCACGGTCAAGGTACCAGCACTCCGATACCGCAGGAGGCTTCCTGCCAAATAGCTGACCATATATCCGTTATTATGGCCGGATTTGGAGAGCAATCCAAAGTTTCCGTCCTCCATATGTCGTCCTTGTTTCACACATTCACCCTATGCCAGGTACAAGTCCTTCAACAATCAGAATTAATATTGTAACTATAAAATTAACTAAACACTTAACTACTAATTATTTATATATCACTAATGTACTAGAGTCTATTTATTTGCACGTATATTTATTTATTTCGTCGCGAGTACCAAAGCTTGACTGACTGTTCCATGCTGCGCTGTTCCTTATATATTCAGTGCCTACGTGACACTAGTCACGCAAGCGCCTTCTCGAACATTTCAGCGAGCTCCACACCGCTCTCGATTGTTCGAGCGATGAGATCCAGAGCGGTACTCGCTACAATATTACCAAAAATGATTTTATTGCAGTTATGGACAGTGTATTTGGAACAAGGCCTAAATCACCATATGCCTATAACTGAGCCCTATAACGTTACAATGAACATACTGTTTGATTTTTGGGGTAAAGTTACACCTTGCATATTGAATTTGGTGCAACAATCTAAAATGGTAAGGTATTTTAAAAATTACAAAATAAATATTATTAAAATTTGTTTTTAGTTAAGTGAAATAGTAAGCTTACACTTTTTGAGTATGCTGGAGGCACTTTTGGAGTGTCACTCAACATTTGTGGGGAAGTTATTACCCCTGTGGACCCCAGTGCTATGTTCGAATCATATTCAGGTATATTTTTTGGTGTTTGATTTCAGTACGTATAAAAATCAAAACTTTTTAGTTACCTGGACACCTTCAAGTGAGGCTGCAAAATTGCCGCAACTTTCCTCCGATTTTGTTTACGGAAGTGCTTCCGGAAAAACCGAAAATAAATCTTCCGAATCCCGTGTTGCTGAAGTGGCTCCAACGACTGCAATTCAAGATGGGCCAAATAGAACTGCAATCCTCAACTGCCACCCAGTTTTATTCATTGTAGTTAAAAATAAACATTCTATCGGTGAAAATAATTGAGAATAATTTGTTAAAACGGTACATAAATTTATTTAAAAAATAATAACAATTTATACATGAATTATTGTTGTAATAAAATATAAATTTATCGGAATTTTATTTGTTTGTTTCTTGCCTTAGCTTCTCCATTGATGCCTTTGCCCTCTCTCCACCCAAAGTATACAACTTAAAAAAAATCATCATCATTATCATAAAAATTTTAAAAAATTTATCTCACAAACCTTATCAATAAAATATCCCACATCCAGTCTTATTTGCTGTCTAATTTTCATCTCATCTGAAGTACTATCAGTACTACCAGAATCATCAGAAGCATTAATATTTCGACTTTTTAGTCTCCTCAAAGATTCCTCTGTCTTACAAACCGACATGAGCACTTCCTGCACCAAAATTAAATACCTAAAATGATAAAATAAGCTGCTGACTCTTTTTCACTATTTTATGAAGGCAGAGGTAAAAAATACAGCATCTTGAATGGTTGGTAAAACAAAAATCATGGAGGGACTAAACTTTAATCACCCAACAGTTTTAAACAATTTGCTATAGGCAGACTAGTATGTACAAAGTTGGTTTTAAAACCTGGAGATACTTACTGATTAGTAACTTCATAAATAATGTTGTCCATAATTTCTCCCAATTCATGCTCTATAATTTTCTCGAATTTTCCCTTAAAACTGACAATAGGTGTTACAGCTTGCAGCATATAGGAGCTAGCTTCCTTAGGAGCGCTCCTATTGGTCCTTCTGTACAATCTAGGTATAGCACCTACGTGATGAAGCTGAACCAAACTCTCGTCCAGCTTCAACTTCACCAAATAGCTCGCCAAATCATTAAAATTATTCCCAATGTGTTTCCTATTACTCTTAAACACCTTCAGAATGACAGGTTTTATTTCATTTGGCATAATACTATAGACTGTGTGGTTTATTGTATTTATATCCTCTGTGTTAGGGGCTATAACATTCTTTATAACCGATAGATCTATAAGGGACTTCAATACAAAGTCCTCAAGCTTGGCCTTATTTTCAAACAATTTATCTTTGAGTCTGGTTTTGAACCAAAGTAAATACCGCGTTAATAAAAGCATGGATAATTTCAAAAACTGATCTGCTAAATGTTCTATAAAAACATCAGGTTGGAAGCATTTCGTTAACACCGCCATAAAACACTGCGTTAATTTTAACGTAACATTCAAATCGTTTTTGGGGGCGTAGATATCTTCGTTCAAATTATTCAACAAATCTGTCTCAAATTTTCCGGCTATCTGTTGAAATCTTATTTCAAAATACACCGGTAGATTGAAACGTTTTATGTGCTCCTGAAAAGATTCGTTCTGTTTAATAAGACTTTTGTCGCCGCATTTCGCAGCGATTTTCGCCAACAAATTCCATGTGAGGTTGAAGCGTTTCTGGAACAATTCTGGATTTCCTGGAGCTGTTATGTACGGCAAACCTTCCCTGGATTGCTTATCGAATTCCGTCCAAAAACTGTTCAGCGCAAAATTGTATGAATCCATATCAGGGTTTCTAAAACGTTATACTTCAATTTTTTGGGAAATTAAAAAGTGAAGAGTATAATTTACCTTTTTAATATATCAAATATAACTCCCATGGTGTTGTCCATAAAAAACAAGGCTTCCTCATATATCTTACTGATATCATGATCACATTGAACCAAGTGACTTTCGGTGAATAAAGGCTCTAAGGCAGGCTTCACAATATTAGCTTGGAAAGTTTTTTGTGCTTCGATTTGTTTTCCTAAATTATCAAACATTCTCAAGCACTTTGTTATGGTCTCAACGTCATTTTGCTTCACTGACTCCAAGAATTTCTTATTTATCATACTCAGCAATTGGCTTTCGACTCTTCTCAATATATTTTCGGTCTCAGGTGCGATTATTTCAAGCTCGTCCAAGTAGTTTCTTTGGAATGAATATTTATTAACAATTCTTTCAAGTAACGTTAAATCATCAAACGATTCTTTTTGCGACGAATTTATCATGTTTTCAATATAAAAAGCTGAAGATATTATACCCAGAATCAAGCTTATATTGTGTTGTTTTGTATTGTTTGATTTTAAACATTCCAACGAATTGCTATAGGTGTCTTCTGCTAGTTTAATTAGCTCATACAAATTCTAAAATTTAATATGAATAATAATACCAAAGTGACCAAAAACAAGTACCTTAATTTCTTCACGAAGTTGATGTATTGGGACAGATAAATCCTCTATTTTTGACGATAAATTAGTCAAATATTCAGCCAAATTCACAATTGCTTCCGTTTCTAACTTTAAAATTTCTGACATTTGTTGCTGTAAGTGATTTCCGTAGCATTTTAACTCTCTTCTTAAGGTTTCCAAGTCTGATTTTACAGTGTATTGAGAAAGGCAATTATCCACACTGAAATTGTCCTGGAAAATACTATTTTAGCATAGAGTTATCACAAAAGTATGTATTTACTTTGAAAAACGATTCTTTCCACATAACATCCTCCTGTAAATCCATTTTTTACGTTGTTTTTAGTGACGTTGACATCTACCCAAAAGTGAGGTTAGGTAAATGTCAAAAGCGCGCCTGTTGGTGTGCAACCCAGATAACACACATTTAAATTTTCGTGCAAATATAAAAAACAAGACCAAAAAACGGCATTACAATAAAAAATTGGCATAAAAACAATTAACTTCGTTAGTTAATCTGTTAAAATCCTTCCATTTTGTGTTTAATATTCGTTTTGTGTGGTGTCTGTACATATTTTAGGAACAATGGTCAACATACTTGACGATACTGACGAACAAGAGACTCAAATCGGGGCCTTATTGAGGTCCATAATTTGTTTATATGGAAACGATGGCCTTCCATTATGCGACGCAAATTCAGAATTCATGGTATACGTTGGAAAAACGATTCCATACCAAAAATTCGGCTACAAATCTTTGAGAGATTTCGTACAAACCTTACCTGATATTTATATTGTAAAAGATGGACAAAATAACGATGTTCTAATAGAGCAAAGCCTTAAATCAGCTCACATAAAGGATCTGATTCTCAAACAAAAAAAAAGCTACCCCAAAAGACGGTACAACTACTCCTGGGAATCGAACAGATCAAGTCCAAAAAGACCCAGGATGGTTGAAAGAAATATCGTTCCTGAAGGTAGTTTTTATCATACTTCGATTAATACGCTTTCAATGAACAGTTCTGATAGGTTTATACAATTTGAGCAGCTTGTAAGTTGGAATATGTTGCTTTAAATGAGTACTAATGTTTTTTTGATTTAGGAGTCTATTCTGCCGGTTTTTTACAAACACCAAGCACTGGGAGATGAATTTTTTCTTGATATTGCAGACACCAAATATGGGTACTATGTTCCTGAAAAAAGTACGTTCTTAAACTTTAAAATAGTAAGCCATCAATATAATTTTTTTTGTACTAGGTCGTGAAATTGGACTATGTTGTGAACAAACAATATCCGAACTGACAGAAAAAGTAAAATTCGCGGACTATATCGCCCCAAGAGTGATAGTTATGATTGGGTTTGTGGACTTATTAAGAGTAAGAAAATACGTTGGAAATGCGATTTTGTTTAATAATATTATTTCAGGGATCATCTGTAAGCCAGATGATTTCAGACTTACGGCAACTGGTGAAGGAGTTAAAGAAAAAAAATTGCAGGGTAACTTTGGTCACTTTAATACCCTCACCCAAGTTGCCTTTTTGCCAAAGATTGCAAAGAAGAATGGACATCTTCAATAATGCAATTCTTGATTATACTTCAGGTAAATAAGGGTCCAAGCAGTATACCATTGTCTTTAATTATTGTTTTTTTTGTAGATAATGACTTACAATGCAATGTGATAGACATGAATTTGATATTCTTGAAGGAAGCACAGGCTTTCAATCGAGACTTGTAAGTAGTAGAATACATACCTGAGGTTTGTTCCTACCGAGCATGTGGTCGCCATTTTACTATTGCGCATGCCCTGTAGGAACAAACAATATTTTTATATTTAACAATAAAAAATATATTTTGCACGTTTTTACTTATTATAGCATATTGTAATTAATGACATTTTTAGTGACAGATTTCAAAAAGTGGCCAAAAAGGATCCATATAAGGTATTTTCGGATTATGGAAGGAAAACCTTCATGGCTGCTTTAAGAAAATGTTTGCGAGAGCAAATTGAAGCTGGTCATTAGTTAATTTAAATTTAAATAATTAATTTTAGTTTAGCATTTATGACGTAGTTTTAAATTATTGCGCATGTGAAGTGTTTTAGTGCAGTAAGTTAGAATAAGTAGCATAAGATCTCCTGTGATATTTAATAGTGTTTATTTATTTATTAATTTGATTTATAGGAATTGTGGCCACAATTTAATAAATTGTTTAGTTATTATGAAGGTTTTATTTATACTCCAAAAACATCAAATCAAAAATATTTATTATTAATTAATATTACAAAAAATAAATAAACTAACTCTACAATTAATAAATTTTGGTTCATTGTAAAGTTCTAGCTGTTTTGGCTATAAATTGATATTTTTTTACATATAAATTCTTCTTAAATCTGCTGGGGACGTAATCATATTACATTGAGGGCAAAGTTTCTTAGCTCCCAAGGTTTGCAACCAGCACTGCTCGCAATGAACATGCCAGCAGCAAACAGAAATAACCGGCGTATGATATCTTTCCATACAAATTAAGCATTTATAAATCTCACCGCGTTCCCTAGACTCAAGTTCTCTTATCCTATTTTTTAACACTTGCAACACCGGGTCACCGTTGCTTTTGGTCTCACTCGCAGACTCCTTCTCAGAAGAGAGCCTTTTTGGATCGGACCCTGTCACAGCTTTCCTCAGAGCCACATCTTCCGGATCACTGCAAGGAAGGATGACGTCTTTTTCGGAGTACTGGGGGTTCCCGTACACCTGAGCATCATCCTCATCAACGTTCAAATCCTCGTCATCGTCGGCCATCGATAGAGACGTCCCCAACGCGGAAACCCCCCCTTGCAACATCGATGTGACTCTGACTCGGGACTGCCCAGCCCACTCGTACTCCTCGAACGCCTCCACGTCGATATTCTCGTCACTTTCGCTGCCGTTATTCTCGGACCTCCTCAAACACAACTCCACGTGAACTGTTATATCCTCCGTCACCTCTTTGTTGCATATGGGGCAAACCGACTCGTCTGACTTTCTTTTTCTGGTCTTCCTCTTGCGGCTCTGCCTGTTGCTTCTCACTTTCTGATACGTCTCCCAGTTTTTATCCGTCGTATTGTCACTATTGCCATTGCTCGAGCTGGATGGATGGCTCTTGCCACCGTTCACCTTGTGTTTCGGAGTTGGCAGTTTGTTCAGCTTTTCCAGCTCGGAACTTAGGTGCGATTCCACCTCGGAGTTTCTCAGGGTGACGCTGCACACCGGGCAACAGGCCGGGTCCACTTGTTTCTTCTTGTTTCTGCACCCTCTACCCTCTTCAGAGTTGAAACTGGTACTGGCTATTTCACTGGATTCACTAGCCTCCTCCATGATAATACAAGTGTTTTCGTTTATTTAACGCTCCTCTCTTATCAAGTTTCATAGAATTTTCAACTAAGTAACGCAGTACTTTGAGATGTTATTGGATTTTACTTATTTTTTGTTTACATTTGCAGGTTAAATTCCCGAGCTTACATCTTCGCCTTAATATGCCATAAAATCCAACTCCAGCCCTTTAGATATTCGAGCTGGATTAATTGCTCTAAACATTTTAGAATTATTGAACGAAAAAGCAGTATTTTTCGCGAAATCACAACAATCAACAAATCTTTTTAAACAAAAACAGTCAATAACAGCAACTGCTGCCAATCTAATAAGAAAAAATTGAAAGGACACCAACAATAACCAGGTCTTCTTCTTCTGCTGTCGCGAAGTCGCCAGCGTTGCCAGATCTACCAAAATTGTACAAATCCATTATTTTTGTATTTACATTATTTAAACCACACCGTTAAATCCTATTTAAAACAATGCATGGTTATAGTACGTTTTTTATTATTTGGAATGATTTTGACTCACATTTAGTACTTCTAAATTAAGGGAATTTTGACTGGCAACACTGCTAGGCCCCATTTTCAAACTGCGAAAAACAATTGAAAAACTAAAACAGTTGAACAAGTGGAGTTATAAAACAAAGTACGAAAATGTTTTGTTGTGTGTTTTAATGTAATTACTAATAAGTATATTAGTAAAGGTATATTTTTATAAATGTTGTCTTTCAAAATTAAAATAGCCAACTTCAACCTCAAATGGTCGTTAATACTGCAAACATGTGGAAAATAGGAAAAGTGGTGACAAAAACCAAGGTGAGTTTTCTATAAATTTATTTATTAAAACACTGAACATAGCCAAAAATTATCAACAATTGAGCTAAACAAGAACTTTATTGCAAGGTAGTTTACACTTGAAGGCTGCAAATCCAGCGCATTATTTTTGTATTTATATGATTTATACCACACTACTACATCCTATTTAAAACAATGCATGGTGATGGTACGTTATTTAAAATCTAAAATGATTTTGATTAAAATTTAGCACTTTAAATTAAGGGTTTTTCGCCTGGCAACACTGCTAGGCGCCATTTTCAAACTGCGAAAAACAAATGAAAAAGTAAAACAGTTGAACAAGTGGCGTTTTAAAACAAAATACGAAAATGTTTTGTTCTGTGTTTTGATGTTATTACTAATTATTATATTATTAGCGGTACGTTTTTTAAAAATGTTGTTTTTAAAAATTAAAATAGCCAAACTTATTCAAAAATGTGGAAAAAGTGGTGACAAAAACCAAGGTGAGTTTTTTATAAATTCATTTATTAAAACACTGAACATAGCCAAAAATTATCAACAATTGAGCTAAAAACAGTTATAATTTAAACATAAATAATTTAAATGAGTCGTTCAACGTGAAAAAATCATTTTCCCCATTGCGACATTAATGTATTGCATTGTTCCTGACCTAAGACAGCATGTCCTTTGGGGTTTTCAAGTACAATAGTGCCTTTACCGCCTTTATAATCGAAATTAAGAACTTTGCAGCAAGGTAAACTGGCACTTGAAGGCAGTTTTGGCTTTGTGTTTAATGGAGTGACAAAAATAGTTTCAGAGTTAACTGATAGTACGTCTTTGTTGCTTTGTATTTGTTTTTTGTCGGTGAATAAGTCGAACTTGTCGACACCAAATAGAGTGAATATCGATTTTCTTAAGTTTTCAATGGTAATGGATTTTCCATTGATGTCCAACAAGATTAATCCCTTGGTTGACGTTGTGTATCTCGGTTTAACTTCAACTAATTCAATATTAGCCCATCTTACAGCAGGCATTTCAACATCACAAACTTTAGAAAGCAAAATGTACAAAGTGCAGTCCTTCAATTTCTGCTCCTCTTCGATGATAAGATGATGGGATTTGGCTTTTTGATCCGCGTGTCTAAACGGGGCCTTAATCGACTCCTCAACGAACCTATTGTACTCTTTGGCGACCCTATCCAAACCCCCTGATGCTCTGTAGTACACAGTGATCTCATCTGTGGGCACCAGGCGGGCCTTCTTGCGCAACTTTTGAATTCTATTGATGATTTCCCTGGCCGTGCCCTCGTCTTGCATTGAAGAATCCGGCGTGACATCCAACAAAATCAAAACGTCATTGTCGCTGTTCACTTCGTATTGGTCCGTATTCAAACTCTCAGCTTTGAATATGAGTTTTACTTCCGATATATCGATACGCTGTCCGCTGATTTCCCTATGGCCGGCTTTCACGAACTCGTTTATCTGCGCATCAGTTAAACCTTGCACACCCTGAGTGACGGCCTTCAGCTCTTTCTTGAGCCTCGCCCCGAGGATTTTATAATCCGGCTCTGCGCGCAGTTTGATTCCGAACTTGCTCTTATCGGTGGTAGTGCTGATTTTTTTAACGTTCAACTCGGAGATGATGTAGTCTTTCAAAGATAAAATATCGTCGATGTACTGCTGATCCTGGTGGATGACTATTACTTCCGGTAGAGGGTATTTGATGGGTATGGTTTTTCTGTCGCGGAGAACTCTGCCCAACTCTATGACGCTCTGCATGCGGGAGACGGCTCTCTCTATGTTCAAGTCGATTAATTTTGTGTTTGGAGTTGGCAGCATTAGGAAGTGAACACTTTTTTCGGCGGACAGAGTCAAGTCTTTCAAAATTAAATACATGTGCTCTGACAGGAAGGGCACGAACGGTGCCATTATTTTCACGATGTTGAATAATACGTTGAAGAGAGTTGTTAATGCGACTTTGGAATCTTCCACACCCCCACTACCGCCGAGGCGTTTCCTATTCATACGAATGTACCAGTTGGTAAGGTAATCAATGAATTTCGTTAAATGGGGTACAACGTTGTATAAGTGGTACAGCGCCATTTCTTTGCGTACGTAATCCAGTAGCGATTGCGTGAAGGAGAGAATCCAACAATCCATCACATTGGTACTTTTTAAGTCTGACTCCTTATAGTAGAACTCTTGATTGTTTTTCTTAACGTAAACCTGAATATTCTGCGTCAAGAATTTGAGAGAGTTATACCAGGGTAAAAATACGTCCTTGATTATATCTCTGACACCCTCCTCTTTGAAACGGAGATTTTCGGCCCTCACAACGGGCGAGTTGATGAGGTACAGCCTCAGTGCGTCCGCGCCATATTTATGAACCACCTCCAGAGGATCAGGGTAGTTCTTCTTGCGCTTCGACATCTTTTGACCGTCGCCGGCCAACACCAAACCGTTGGCAATCAGGTTTTTGAACGGCGCCTTGCCGAACAAAGCCGTCGAAACGACAATAAGGGTGTAAAACCACCCCCTAGTCTGATCGATGCCCTCCGCGATAAAATGAGCGGGAAACAGCTCGTCGAACTCCTTCATCCGTTCGAACGGGTAGTGCTGCTGCGCGTACGGCATGGAACCCGACTCGAACCAGCAATCGAACACTTCCGGGATCCTCCTCAAGGGCGGATTGCCCGGAATCCGGCTCGGAATCTCCAAATGATCGATGCTCTCGCGGTGCAGGTCCTCGATTTTCTCCCCTGTCAGCTCTTCGAGCTCGGCTATGCTGCCGATGCAGCGTATCTCGTCGCCGGACGTCCATATCGGGATCGGCGTGCCCCAGTAGCGGTTCCTGCTCACCGCCCAATCGCGCGCCTCGCTCAGCCAGTTGCCGAAACGCTTGTCTTTCACGAAGTCCGGCACCCAGTAAGTCTCGGACGTCGATTTTGCCAGCTGTTCGCGCATATGTTCGACGCGTATGAACCACGACGGTACTGCGCGGTAGATTAGGGGCGTGTCCGACCTCCAACAAAACGGGTAACTGTGTTTGACCTAAACAAAATTTCTTATTTATTGAATATGTTTCTAACGTCGCAAATTATAAAGAAATTAAAAATAATGAGTTTCTTTCTAAATTACCCTGAACTATGGCACGCCGTTTTAGCATTTATTATATACCGTACCTTCATTTGCAAGCTATACATAGGGAAAATACATTGTAGGTGGACCAGACAAGTCGAAGTCAGCGCAAAGCGAAAAAGTTCTCAGAAATTGTTAGGAGGTAATAAAATTTTAATCGCCAGTAAACAAGGTCACCTGTTACGTCGCATGTTAGTCTACTCATCCACTCGTCAAAATAATTTCTGGGAAATTTTCGTTTCGCGCTGACCGGCGCGACTTCGACTTGTCTGTTCCACCTACAATGTATTTTTCCTATGTATAGCTTGCAAATGAAGGTACGGTACAGTGTGTATTAAAACGAATATATACACTTAAATAAAAACAAGTGCCAAACCCCGCCCACTGTGGTAGGGATTGAATTATTATTTTATAATTATTTTTGTTTGAGAATTTATAGGTTTTATTTTTATCGAATTCGTTTTGTTTTAATGCATTTCTGCAAATAAAAACTAAGTATTGTTTAAAATCCATTAAATTCCAGTTAATGGCGAAAATGTATTTCTTAAAAACTATACACATTTCCCTACGACAGCGTCGGAGCTACTGAACAAACAAAATAGATCAAACTGCATGCCCTTGTATCTGGCTGCATGCCGCGCAGTTGCCATATGCTATTATTGTTTCCTAAAAGGGTTGTTTTTCTTATTTTTTAATATTAAAAGTAAGAAAATTAACTAAATCAAATTATTTTTGACATATTATTAATTTTTTTGTTATTTTTAAAGTTTCAAACAAATAAAATTGAACTATTTATTAAATAATTATAATCGTTCTCTTCTGATTTTTAACAACCTGGCAACTATGGTTCGCAATTACGAATGGCTTGGTTTAAACCACGCCCAATTAAAGTTTGTTTCTTTTTCTCTGATCAGAATATAATTTGTCATCCTTGTCTCCAGCCTTACTTACTTGATTCTATACCATCGTTTATTAACCTCGGGTCGCGACCCAAATTTGGGTCGCGGGCCTTATCGAGATGGGTCGCGGGACTTGCGGGACTTTTTGAAAAAGCGCGCCGTAATCACAGCATCCTTAATTTAAATTAAGAAAATGTAGAAAATTGGTGATTTTATTTTTTATCGGGTCGCCAGCCAAAAAGGTTAAAAACCGCTGTTCTATACAGTCTGTATAATAGTTTGAAGATTCACGTTTAGCACTAATTATAAAACAATTGATGGTCAAAAAATATTTTAAATATAAAATGTAACTGTAAAATTTTAAGTTTATATTTAAAAATTGTAGTTCTAATATTTTATTCTACAAAATTATATAAATTTTTAAAGAGTCATTAAAATGATAAATGACTCTTTACAAATTTAAACCACAAATTTTTATTTTTAGCCATTTTAATTGATACCTACATTTTTAATTTACAAAATATAAACGTAGCTTTAGCACGCGTATTTCATAGTCGGTGAAACGTCTGCAGCGTGTCATGTAAAGCCGCGTTTACACTTTGTGAATTAAAAATGATCGACTTTCTTTTAAAGGTAATGTGAATATCAGGGTGTTTAAAAAAATCAAATTGTTTTTTTTATTGCAAACAGGCTCGAAAAAATGAGCCTGTCAGTATTATAATAACATTTTTTTTATTATTTTACCAATAAAAATAGTTGGTTTTACACTCAGCTGGTAACACAATGTTTTTGTCACTAGATAGCGTTATGGCTGGTTTATAATGGCATTAAACTTATTCTCTACTCTGCAATCCGTATTCTATATTATGTACAATTTATAGGTCCGTTTTATAATCAAGTTCAAAAATTGAAGATGTCAATAATTCAGCATAGCTGCATTACCGATATTTTGACATAAATTGACGTCTGTCATGAAATGTACGGAACGTATAAACTATGAAAAAAAATTATGTTTATTTACAATTAAAAACAATATTTAAACTATTATTTTTAGTTTTTTGAGTTTTTGAATTAATTAATTCTATTTTAGGAAATATTTTTTACGATTAAGGAAACTTTTTTTACGATTAAGGAAACTTTTCCGCCAGGCTAATTAATTTGATATCCATGCTTGTGCTTTTGTAATTAAAATCTAAATACGGACAGAATATAAATATATACATAAATAAATATATATATTACATATGTAAAATTTAGATCTTCAATTTTTGAACATTGTGTTACCAACTGAGTGTAAAAACAAATATTTTTATCGGTAAAATAATAAAAAATGCTGGTGGCATATCGAGTTATCAAATACTGAAACTTCAGGGAGCAAGTTTAAAATAAATGTCAAATTTATTTTTCGCATAAAATTTCGTGCTCAATTTTTTGATAAAATTGAGTAGTTCCAATACAATACCAAAAAATCGGCAAAATTGATGGTTGAACTTTGATATCTAATAACTTTTTAACCAATTTGTTTAGCAAAAAATCATTTGAAACCTTTTTTGTAGAGGGTTTAATTCTCTACAAAAATATCCAAACACATTTTCTGTATGACCTTTGGTTGGTGAGTAACAACAATCAGAAGGAACAAAACAATTCTTATTCTTTAAGAATATGGAAAATCAAAACAACATTTAAACGTAATGTAAGAATTTTTGTATTAAAAATTTATGACTATTATTTAAATGACTCTTTATAAATTTAAAATGATAATTTTGTTGAATATATTATAATAATATTAAAAGTACAATTTTTAAAAATCAATATTTTTAAATTTAAACTTTTACAGTACATTTTATATTATTAAATTATTAATTGTTTTAAACTATTTTGGTAGAAAATGTTTTATTTTTGTTTTTATTTTAAATGTCTTGATTCTATTTTTAATAATTTTATAAAACATTTATTTAAGAATTACAAAATTATACTTGGAAATGCTTGCAAAAATTGATTGAAAATAATATTGTTTAATACAGAAGAGAACTGTTAGTAAATTTTGTCTTTTAATAGATGATACCTAGTTGAAAATATTATAAATTTATAAATGTAAACCTAAATTTTAAATTAAAAAATCACTTACTTGTGACTGATGAATGAGCCTGCCATTTGCCTTCAAATGCGCGATGATGTTTTTGTCAGCATCCTTGACATACTGTCCCAGAAAATCAGAAACAGGGGCTACGAATTTCCCGCTTGCGTCCAAGGGACAAATAGGGTCTTGGTCTTTGGTTATAACCCCATTTGCCAAACAAACCCTGTAATCGTCTTCTCCAAAGTAGGCTGCTTGATGTACAACCCCTGTACCTGCTTCTGACGTTACATAATCATCCACCAACACCCTAAAGGCGCCTTTGGCTTGCATTTCCTTGAAATACGGGAATACAGGTTCGTATTTTAAATCCTTCAGCCTGATTCCTGGGAATTTCAACAGGATTTCGTAGTCGCCAGCTTGGAAAGTGGTCTCAATACGATTTTCAAGCATTATATAAACTTTGCCAGTGCTTATTTGCCTAAATTTGACATATTCCAAGTTTGAATTCACACAAGCTGCCAAATTACTGGGTAAAGTCCATGGGGTTGTGGTCCATACCAATAAAGCAGCGCCATCTTTATCCCCAATCAAAGGCAAAGACACTGTCACAGCTGGGTCCACTACATCTTTATAGTTTTGACCGGATTCAAAGTTCGATAAAGGTGTACTGCAAGCGTTCGAGTATGGCATTACTTTATTTCCCTGGTAGACCAAACCTTTGTTGAATAGTTGCTGGAAAACCCACCAAACCGACTCCATAAACCATGGGTACATGGTTTTGTAGTCCTTTTCAAAATCTAAACAAATTGTGTTATACTCCAATTTAAATAATAAATAATATAACTTACCAATCCATCTGCCCAACCTCTCAACAATATATTTCCACTCCTCTGAGTAACGAGTAACAATCTTTCTACACTCTGCATTGTATTTGTCAATTCCCATTTTCATTACATCATCCGGTCCCTTTATATTAAGAGCTTTATCGATCTCAAATTCCACTGGAAGACCATGACAATCCCACCCGAAACGCCTCTCCACATGAAAACCTTGTTGATGTGCATACCGAGTCACAACATCTTTAATTGTACCCGCCAATATGTGTCCGTAGTGAGGCAAACCTGTTGCAAACGGAGGTCCATCATAGAAAGAAAATCTGGGAAAAACACGGTTATTAATATAAACAGAAATTCTTTAGCTATAAAAATCTTACTTTGGTTTGTTCTCGGACTGTTTTAAACATGTTTCAAACGCTTTAATTTGCTTCCAGTAGGTTAGGATTTTTTCTTCTTCCGCAGGAAAATTAATCATAGAGGAATCTCCTGCTTCGGATTCATCTTGATCGGGTTTATTATTCGCCATTATTTAACACCATAAACTTATGCCAAAACCTATTTATTTATTGCAACAAAGCAATAAATACATATGCCGGATAATTTCAACGTGTTTGACATATGGTATTTGACAGCACAGATTATAAAAGTGCCAGTGGTGCAGGGGTGTTCCTGAAACTTTGCAAATTGTGCAGCCATCTAGCGTGAAATTGTACTAACTAAGATCAAATTGTACTAACTTATCGCGAAAATTCAAAACTTGTCCAAATTTGGTTAATATCAGATTTCTGCTCCCAGAATCACCATTGCATATGTAAAATTATAATAAATGAACAAGTATACTGGCGCTTTGGTTTTTCCTATAAAAAATCTACAAACTGGGTCGGCGTCAGCAACAGGATTTATAGGTTAGGTTAGTGATGACTTGACGTTTGAGTTTTGACGTTGACATTTGACTCCTTGCGCCATATTCCCTCCTTAGAAGATTATATAATAATATAATCTTCCTATTCCCTCTATAGAGAAACTTTCTCTATAACGTAGGCTCAGTTACCAACAGAAAAAAAAAGTTGATAGAAATTTTGTCCCAATTTGGGGATTCGATCGAGAACGATCGATTTATTATTTTTTTCAAATTGAAGGAAATTTTGAAAATTGTACTAGAATTGCCGAAGAGGTGCTGACGTACTAGAAGCTATTTTTTTGTACTAGAAAAGTACAATTGTACTAAAAATCACACCCCTGCAGTGGTGCCAACTTTGTGTTTTATTAAATGTATGCAACCAAGTATACACGCTTGCTGTTTTCTTGCGTATATGCTGGCGTTATCTATCTCTAGAACTTTAGATGTCTTTTTTTAATTGTTTTTGATTTGTAAGGGGTATAAATAAAAATGGGTTGTTAAATAAGTAAAATAGATTTATTTATGGTTGTATAAAGGCAAGATTATAGTACATGCAGTTAAAAAACAATTTTTTTTGTTGATAAACAATCACAGCCTGTTAAAAAAATAATGAAATAATTTATTGAAAAATGTTCGGTTAGGTATATTGATTAATTTTGATTTGCACATACGATTTAAATGAAAATAAATATAATTTGAGTAATAAAATAATGTTAATCTTACATCTACATTCTTAAATGCTGTAATATGTAAAAAGGCAGTGAATTTTTTGTACTAACCATTCTTTGAATTTTCACAAGATTCATAGTGAAATAGTGTGAAATAAAGCATTATATATACAGGATAGTTGAATACCCTTTAGCCACTTTTAAATAATAATTTTATTTAAATAATATAAAAATTTCTATGTACAATATTTTCCATTTTTAATAGTGACAAGAAAAAATGACTGGTTTAATACTTAGAATATCAAGTAGTTATTACAAGAATCGTAGGCAAGCGATAAAATAGATATTTCGAAAAAATTGATTCTTATAACACAACCAAGATAGGATTAGATCTGTTCGTAGAAAAAAAAAACGCTCGGGCAATATTAAAACAGAAATTATCTACGAACATTAAGGACGGTTCACACCAACGTGGACAACTCGTGCGGCGAATTCGTCGTGCCGACGCTGCTCAATTCGAGCGTCGTATTCGGCATACCAGGGCTGACGCTGCCGCTGGCTTCGCGCGGATGCGTCAGCTTGTTGAGGTTCATGTTCTCGCCGCTGGGCGGCGTCGTAGTCGACGGTCTCACTATGTACGGCCCGTTGCCGTGAATCGTGGCCATCGAGTGCGCATAACTGTTGTAGTTGCTCGCGTGCGGCTGCTGCGCACTGAGACTGTGATAGGAATTGTGGTGCGCAGACTGCTCGTGCTGCTGCAACGCTAGCTCTTTCACCGCGTTGGTCTTTTCGCGCTGCCAAATGAAGACGTTGTGCACCATCGCGCAGCCGCAGAATATTATGCCCAAGCCTATGAACACGCTGGTCACTATGGCGGGTGTCGAGTGGAATTGTATGAACGTGTAGAGAATTATACCTGTGAATAAATAATGGGATTTTAGCAGGTAGTGCGGAAGGCAATAGGATGGTTTATTACCTGTTAAAAATACGGGTATTGATATGAAGAATCCTCCCACAGCGCATACTCTGCTTACCGACGACTTTTGAAGATATTTGTTCGTTCTAAAAGAAATAAACAAATCTCAAACACCTAAACAAGACATTTACCAGAAACGTAAAACAAATAAATTACTCCTAATTTAAAGCATTGCAAAGCTACATATTTTCGGTTACACACAATAGATTTACCGTTATATAAATCATGGGATTTATAAAACTTAATCCTAATTCTGTTTACCTAAGGGAATGTAGGTAAACAAACTACGAACCCTTTGATCTAGCGATGCCTTCTATTTATTTACATTCGTCAAATAAAGCACACGTTTTATTAAGTAAAATTTCTTTGGTGCAAAAACTCGATTGCATAATAAATATATCATTACTAACTTACACATATTGTATTTCTCACAGGAAGAACTAATTACTCAAGTTACTTGGTATCAATTAATTTTTTTATGGTTTCGTTAATTCTAACTGAGTATCATAGTCAACTGTTCGCATTAAAATTGCCCTAATAAATATTTAAGTTAAATTTTTTATCGATTATTAATCGAGTGCCAAATATGTACGAGGTGTGTTCAGAAAATATCGGGAATTTTCGTTTTTCGAAACAAATATTTATTTATTCGTCTACATTAATGTTGTCGCCTTCAAAATAGTCCTCATTGGATATTATGCACATGTGCCAGCTTTTCTTCCAATACTCGAAACACTTCTAAAACTCGATCTTTGGGATAGCCTTTAGTTCTTTCAGCGATGCGCTTTTAATGTCATCTATGCTTGCAAAACGACGGCCCTTTAAGGTTCTCTTTATTTTTGGGAATAGGAAAAAGTCAGACAGAGGCATGTCTGGCGAATATGGAGGCTGGGGCATCATTACAGTATTGTTTTTGGCCAAAAATTTTGTTCAAAATTTAACAGTTTTGGAACAAATTTTGCTGCCACGCGTTTCATTTCTTAAGCAAAATTGGATACAAATTCTTTGATCTATTTCTTTCGAACGAACGAAAATCGCCGAGCTCATAAAACACGTCTAACCTTAGCGGCTGCCACATACAAAGTAAACAATGAAAACAGCTAAAGTTTTTATCATACTTCGGGGGCATGTAAACCAACATAATAAAGAAAATTTTATGACAACCGGACCCTCCGAACCCGCGAAATTTAACAATTCCCGTTATTTTCTGAACACACCTCGTATACGGAATGCTAATCAAAAATATAATTAAAAAAAAAAGTTTTATAAATTGATATTACACAAGGTTTGTAATTTAATTAAAAAATAATTTTCCGAAAAGCTCAATTATCCATTTATAGGTTTAAAAGGACCACTTCCGTTGCATTCAGTATATTTGCTATTGTTGTTGATTTAGGAAATTAGGAGAAACTTATAATAGTGGGAACTTTTTACCCAACTCAAACATTTACTATTGTAAAATGGAATGCCAGATTAATGAATGAAAACATCTACCTAAAAGATCTTTAAATATTAATAGAATATACCCGATTGTAATTAATTAAATAATTAAGGCAGATATGTTTTGATTCGATATTGACACACCTGATAAGATGTTAATATTAGCAGTTAATAGAAATGCCAAGGACACAAATTAATAAACGCAGACATTAAAGAGAGTTAATAAACAATTTAACACATGGTATGTATGTCGAAATAAGTCTAAATATTGAATTTATAACTTTACAAATTATTTAGCATGTCTATGGAACGCCGTTGTATTTTTTAATCAGGAATTTTTGTTCCAACTCCAACTGCTAGTCATATTTTTAATTGTATCGATTATTTTAAACAATATTTATAACTCAACTAATTGTATACTCAAAAATAATGTGGAATTAAAAATATCAAAGTGTCACTAAAATTAAAGTCAATTTTTAATTCAAAGTGATATTTGTAATTCACAGGAATTATCGATATCAAAGTGACCAGATAATTCAAGTTAATTTTTAATTCAAACTGATATTCATAATTCGCATGAATTATAAATATCAACTTGAATTTTTAATTCAACTTATTTTCAACTAAAAAATGATGTAGAATTAAAATATTAAAGGGAAACTAAGAATTATTTGATATTTTTAAATGAAAGACATATTTTTAATTCCCACAGTTTGGACACCCCTGGTAATGTTGACGGTCCAATTTATCTACTACAGTAGGTATATTTGCTTTAATCTCAGTTAAATTATTTTGCGGCACTGTTTGTTTATATAATACCGTTTTTATTAATAATAGGCATAATAATTAATATTAATTAAATTACCTAATATTTTAAATATTTACACAGGTATTCTCATAAATCGTTAAGTAGGTCAACTGAGTCAGTTGAACTACTACAAATTTGACACTGCGAGAATTTCCCGCCGGGAAACCTAATCTTCTTTATCTCCCTAGATAAATCTATCTAGGTTTATCTCTGCCGGGAACGAAGCTAAAATTGTTGGTATATTTACTACATAGGTAAGTATTAATAAAAACGTTATTATATAAACAAATAGTGCCGCAAAATAAGAATAAGAACTGAGATTAAGGCAAATATACCTACTGTAGTAGATAAATTGAACCGTCAACATTACCAGGGGTGTCCAAACTGTGGGAATTAAAAATATGTCTTTCATTTAAAAATATCAAATAATTCTTAGTTTCCCTTTAATATTTTAATTCTAGATCATTTTTTAGTTGAAAATAAGTTGAATTAAAAATTCAAGTTGATATTTATAATTCAGGCGAATTATGAATATCAGTTTGAATTAAAAATTAACTTGAATTTTCTGGTCACTTTGATATCGATAATTCCTGTGAATTACAAATATCACTTTGAATTAAAAATTGACTTTAATTTTAGGGTCACTTTGATATTTTTAATTCCACATTATTTTTGAGTTTAAAATTAGTTGAATTATAAATATTGTTTAAAACAGTTGACACAATTAATTGTAATTACAAATATGACTATTAGTTGAAGTTACAACAAAAATTCCTGATTAAAAAATATTTTGGCGTTAACGGAACGCCAAAGTACTTTTTAATACCTATAATTTTAGATATCTGAAATTAATTTCAGATATCTGAAATTCAAAAGTGATATTAGAAATTCCTGATTAAAAAATACAACGGCGTTCCATACATGTCTGTAAGGTCAACCAGTCAATCTTGATACCTATTGTTTTCATATTGGCCCGCGCATACACATTTTAAAAGTATTTCGTTGATTTACCTCGTTTAAAGCAATTAATTTTTCCTTCCTTCAGGCTGATTTTTGGCCATGAAAGTCACGAAAGAATCTTGCGTTATTAATTTATAACTAACGGAAATAACAAAAACATTGAATGTGTATATGTTATGTAACAATTAAATTCCTATCCTAACAATTATGGCTTCAATCGATTTTTTTCTTTAGATTCAGCTTGTCAGCACATTCCTTCTAATTAATATTAAGAGCGCCATTACACTTATTAAAAGCTATTAAGATACCACTAAGTGTGAATGAATATAAAAGTTGGAGCCTTATCGAAATTCAGTTTTTGGCTTTTAATAAAACTTAACAATGCCTTATTTGTCGATGTGAATAATAAAATGTTTTTCTTAAATAAGTGAAGACATGTTAAAAACCGGTTGTAAACGAATTTGGCACTGTGACAGCCATTAGTGCGTATTTATTACGGAACGAAATTTCAAAAATGATACAGTTTATTAAAGAACGGTATATGCCTGTTTATTATTTCTTGTTTGGTTAATTTTTATACCTTAGCTGGCTAACGGTCCATGTTAAAAATCAGTTATAGAACAAAAAAGAGAATAAATTATTATTATTTTTACCACTGCACATTGAATAAATTAATTATATGACTAAACTAAAGATTTTTGGTTGCAACCATGTTTGGCATTTTTAGGTTTGTTCCTACCGAAAATTTTGACTGTCGAATGTCCCGTAGGAAAACAATTTAGTTATGAAGTTTGATTTAATTTAGGTTTCATAGTCTAATAATGCTTATAATTCAGTTATACAACAAAAATAAATGATTGCTATTGTCTTTTGGAGCGCAAAAATAGAAATCGTCATTGATTTGTAAGAAAGTGACCGAAAACATGGTTTTACTTTATAAAGATATTAATTTATGCGTGTAATTTTTTTCGTAAAGGAAATAGTATATTACATCTAGACAGCATTGCTGCTGTATTATCAAAGATGCGAGCTAAAGATAGTCCGGTGTGAGAATTCTTAGGAGGATGCTATTAAATTAGCATGATGGTGAAAAGTAATAATTACTCACCGATCGTTCCCTCCGTGAGGACTTTTCACTAACTTCACTGCAAAGAGGAATTGTATGGCGCATACAAGAAGACAACACAAATTCAGGGACAATGTTAGCGCGCACAGGGCTAACGTAACCTCGTACACCACCACATACTCTTCAGCTGTGATAACAGTCAATTGTTCGGCCCTTAGCAACTCGCGTATATCGTTCGCGGTCACAGGCGATATTTTCAGTAGGAAAATCAGCGACAGCAGCGCTAGCAGCAAACTCACTAAACACAGTAGTCCCAGACTCACTAGCATCTCCTTCACCCCGACTTCCTTGGATTTAGCGATGAACTTGTTCACCGTACTCTGGTTCCTCGCTCGCGAAATATTCAAGCCGCCGTTGAGGCTCTTGTTCGCCGGAGATAGCACCGCGGTGCTATATATCGAGTGCTTGGAGTTGTCCAACGTGGCATTGTGCAGCTGCGTGACATTCAGGGGGTACTGCTGCGATATCCTCGACGTGTTCCCGTTCGGAGATCTGTAGCGCGACGGCTGGTCCCTGGGTTCCATCACAATCGAGCTATCTGGTCGCGAGACGCTGCGATTGGCCAGCTGCCCGTTCGTGTTCAACATATGTTTCAGCATGATTTTGATCGAAAATCAAAATCATCGGAAATATTGCTATCCGGTGGAATAATCTCATATTTAGTTTATCTTATGTCCATTTTAAGACCCGTTGGGCCAACGTTCTCCCAATATGTTACATGGTGTTAATCATCGCTTAAACCATGAACCTGAAACAAATAAAGGTAGTAATTATTTTGCTCATGTAGACTAAAACTAACAATTTTTTAATTTAAAATTTTATTGGTTTAAGGTTATCGGTTTAAATTTGTAAATAGTAATTTAAATGATGTTCCATAAATTTTTAATACAAATTTAAAACGATAAATTTTATTTTTAACAATTTTAAATCGATACATTTTTAAAACAAAAATATTCACATTAAATGTCGATAATTTTTAATTCACAAAGTGTAAACGCTGCTTTAGCTGACTGCATACGCGCTTTGTACGTTTCACTCTTTACAAATTTAAACCGATAATTTTGTGGGATAAAATATTTACACGACAATTTTTAGAAATCAATATTTTAAACTCAAAAAAATTCCATCATTACCATCATTTAAATGACTCTTAAGAAATTTAAAACGATAAATTTTATTTTTAACAATTTTAAATCGATACATTTTTAAAACAAAAATATTCACATTAAATGTCGATAATTTTTAATTCACAAAGTGTAAACGCTGCTTTAGCTGACTGCATACGCGCTTTGTACGTTTCACTCTTTACAAATTTAAACCGATAATTTTGTGGGATAAAATATTTAAACTACAATATTTTTAAACTTTTTAAAGTTTTAAAGTTTAAATTTTAAAAAAATTTAAATTTGTAAATTTAAGAATTCTGTTAAAAAATAAAATGTATAAAAATGCAGTTTTTCTAAACTTGAAATTCTGTTAAATCACAAGGTTTTTTCTTTATAAAACTCTTTACACCATCTGAAAGTACTCTTCCCATTCAAAATATTTTTCTCACTTTTCCCATAAATTTCAGCTAACTATATCTCGGAGAGATAAAAAGGATTTTAAAGAGGAAAGTACCATAGTACTTTAAGATGGCATACCCAGCGAGTTTTGGTTAAATTTCTCAAAAACCTGAAATATTGAAGAAAGTACATTGAATTAACAACGAAAATAGCCGTTGTTTTTTTTTTTAACAATGTAGACCCTCATTTTTTACCAAATTTGTAAATTTACCTATAGAAAATTAATAAATATGTGCTTAAGGATTTGTAAAAAGGCACCTGACCGAACCACCCTAACATTCCTATTTTTATAGGTTTCCTCAAAAGGTGGGTGTTCATTAAAATAACAATATGTTCTTTTGGAGACGGCTGGGCATTATGAACAGGTGTATATAATTGGGGTAAATATTTCCCGCCATTGGAATATTTTTAACGTATTGCTGGAGCACTAATTAAGGATATTTAATGCATAACATAAATATTAAATAGGAAATTAGAAAAATATTGAACCGGTAAAAAGTATGGAATTGAAGGTGCAACTGTGTATACGTTCTTTGCTATGCACCTGTTAAGGAACTGAATTGTGGAGATATATAAAACCGCTACATATGACAAAAATCTTATTAGTTATTGGTGTAGATATAGATTTTTATTAAATGACGTATGATGATGTGTGGGCAAAATACTATTAATTACTGCGACAAATAAAATAAGCGAAGTTTAGTAGCAGACTTGGTGTTAACAATATCAAATTAATCAGGTAATATATCTGGTCTTCTCCTAGTAGACTACAGGTAGTGAGATTAATACGTGGCCGTAGGGCCTTAACAATCACAAAACCGACTTACCCGAGAAAAATCACTGCTCCTTTAAGTCATCAAACCACTTTGCACCACTTAGTACACCATGTTTACGAAAAATTCGAATTTAAAGCGTTTCTATATGCGTACGCACTGCACTTTGGTTGTAAATGAAATTCCTGTCACATTGTTGTAACGGACACACCGACTATAGCGGCTCCACAGAACAAACCAGCGAATGGTTTATTTCAGAATCATTCTAAGGTTCAAGAGGAGTGGCCAAAATCCACCGCACCAATCGCATTCCACACAAATAGCGCCAAACCGTTCAAATTTTTCCGCCATCAGCTAATTCGCACGTTTTCAGTTATTTTTAGTCATTTCGGTAGCGCGTCCAAACTATTTAAAAAAAAATTAAGTCATTTCGGTAACGCATCATTAAAAAATACACAGATTTTAACTAATTAGTATTTGGTATTCAGTATACTAAATAATCAATAATAATAATAATAAAAGTAATCATATGATTACTTTTATTATTATTATTATTGATTATTTAGTATACTGAATACCAAATACTAATCAGATAAAATCTGTGTATTTTTTAATATAATATAATAATATATATTTTGTAAAATGAACAATATCTGTGTCAATCAGTGTGAAACAACGGTATACCGTTGTATAAAACAATTTTTAATAATTTTTTCCTTAAAAATACCAAATCTATATTACCTATAGAATATATGAATTCTTTAAGTAACGTGTTATAAAATAAATGGTATATTGGTAGGTATAATAGGCGTTTCAAGATTTACGAATGAACCAAATTCTTTGACAGTTATCGTCTTTGTACTTGTTTTTAAAACTTTTAACATCGTATTTCGCTATAGTTCATACCATTATTTTTAAATTTAATAGGTAGTTATATTAATAATATAATTAATAAACTTTTTGCTGTAAAAAGTCATTTGTTTAATTTAAGACTTTAATTTGCATGTGATATTAGTAATAATGCTATTATGTTAAAATCTTGACTAAATATTTATATGTATGTTGTATTTATACCTGTTATAAACATTTATGTTTTTTTGGGCTTAATAAATAAATAAAAAAAATATATTCGCGCCTCTATACACTATATATGTAAGACCGTGCTAGGAACCATGTCCTTCCCTATTCAACAAGCAATATAGGATATATTTATGCTAGGAACAAATGTTGAATTCATTCGTAATTCTTGACACATCTGTTACGATATCGTGACGTCACGCGCTCTCTTCAAGGTCATGGAAGCACAAACGATTATTTGGGCTTTTAAACTCATTTTTGCATCGAGTAAAAATTGTACATATGGTTGGTTTATCTATTTTGTTATAACATATATGATAATATTTTTCACAAAAACGATTTATAACTTATTTTGCAATGAATCACACTTCTAATATTATCTTAATATTTGTTACCATGTAGATATTATAAAAACGTTTTAGGATCTTTGAGAAATACCCTGTCTTTAAAAAGTTTCATATTTATGACTTTTTCAAGGTTTATTTGCGCTTATAATTGTCGTGTCTACAAAAATTGCGTTATGTTTGTATGATATAAATAAAAAGCATTAATGGAGATTTTAATAGATTATAATTACTATGCTATGAAGGGTTTATTAACTTCGCATTCACTCTCAATTTAACCGAAAAAAAAATTATGTTTTGTTTCTTTTTTATCATCACTAATAATTTTTTATACAATACAAATTTATAGTACTATAAAATGTAAAAAATAACTAGTAAACCAAAAATTGTATGTAAGGGTGTTAAATAAAAGTTAGGTACTCCTAAAAAATGTTTATTCTTCTAATAATCAATTTTCACAAAGATAACAGATTAAAATTACACAACTGTATTAATTAATAGTGCATATTTATGTAATTTATTTTTTTTTGATGATTTTATTAAAAAGAAAACTACCACATAAATCCGAAAACTTTGTATCTCTACAAAAAAATAACCTGGTAAATCATAGTTACATGTTTGACCATCACATACTAGGTTATATTAATTAAATACACCCATATAGTTAAATTATTAAAAAAGTGATAATTTTGATTAAAATAAATATTTTTTTTTAATTGAAAGAACATTTAACATACAAGATTATGATGCTTCTTGCAATTTAGTGTATATCAAATCCTAACCAACATCAAGTGAAATTTTTCCCAAAAAATATTTCAAATGATTACATTAACTGCGCAAACTTTTTAAAATATTTCAAAGAATTACATCCAACAAAATGCCAGAAACTTTCCAGCACTATTTATTCTTATTGAGACTACATGTAGAAACAACTGCAACACAAAATAAAACTTTACCAATAATAATAAAATTTACTTAAATGTAAAACTACATAATTATGAAAGTTTGGCTTTTATGATTAAAAAGTAGGTTCAAATTGCAAACAAAAATGGAATAAAACATTTTGAACTCAATTATTACAAAAAGGTTAGCTCATGGACAGTTGACCGAGCGCTAACAGCTTCTCGACTGCCGCATTTATGTCTCCAAATGTCGAAATCAGAGCCTGCAAATTCGCTTCTCTGTTCAAAAAACCCATAGCTGTCAGCTGCTCCAACTGAGGCTGATAGCGCTGCTCTGGCGGCACGGAATTATCCGTGTTCTGAGACATTCCGGCAACCATGCGGGCCATAAACTGAAAAAAATGTTATTATTGCAAAGTGACGTAGTTTAGTTTACGGGGTTTTATCTTCTAATATCCAGGATTTGGAAAACATGCTTTTAAAATAGATGTCAGGAAAAATAACATCAGGAATGGATGATAGCATTGTTTCTTCCTAAGATGGTAACCCAAAGAATATCCAGTTTTCAATGGAAAACCCTGATTCTTCTAATATCCAGAATATAATGAAAAATAAGACATTCAAAATGGATATCATAGGAAAAACAACATCATGGATGGATGATGGCAATGTTTTTTCCTAGGATATTAATCCAAAGAATATCTAATTTTCATCTTCTAATAACCAGGATTTGAACAAAATGTCATAGGAAAAACAACATCAGGAATGAATGATGGCATTGTTTCTTCCTAAGATGGTAACCCAAAGAATACCCAATTCTCGATGGAAAACATTTATTCTTCTAATATGCAAAATATAATGAAAACCAAGACATTCAAAATGGATATCATAGGAAAAACAACATCATGGATGGATGATGACATTGTTTCTTCCTAGGATGGTAACCCAAAGAATATCTAATTTTTAATGAAAAACCCTTATTCTTCTAATATCCAGAATATAATTAAAAATAAGGCTTTCAAAATGGATATAATAGGAAAAAACAACATCATGGATGGATGATAGCATTGTTTCTTCCTAAGATGGTTTAATATCCAGAATATAATGGAAAATAAGACATGGTTATCATAGGAAAAACAATATCATGGATGGATGATGGTATTGTTTTTGCCTTGGGTGGTAACCCCAATGAAAGACCTTCTAATATCCCGAATATAATGAAAAATAAGACATTCAAAATGGATATCATAGAAAAAACAATATCATGGATGGATGATGGAATTGTTTCTTTATAAGATGGTAACCCAGGGAATATCTTATTTTCGTTTTCTAATATCCAGGATTTGGACAAAAGAATGCTTTTAAAATAGATGGCAAAGAAAAAACATCAGGAATGGATGATGGCATTGTTTCTTCCAAAGATGGTAACCCAAAGAATATCCAATTTTCAATAAAAACCCTTATTCTTCCAATATCCAGAATATAATGAAAAATAAGACATTCAAAATGGATATCATAGGAAAAACAACATCATGGATAGATGATGGTATTGTTTCTTCCTTGGATGGTAACCCAAAGAATATCTAATTTTTAATGGAAAAAACAACATCAGGAATGGATGATAGCATTGTTTCTTTTTAACCCAAAGAATATCCAATTTTCGATTAAAACCCTTATTCTTCCAATATCCAGAATATAATAAAAAATAATACATTCAAAATGGATATCATAGGAAGAACAACATCATGGATGGATGATGGCATTGTTTCTTCCTAGAATGATGAACCAAAGAATATCTAATTTTTATCTTCGTATATCCAGGATTTGGACAGAAGAATTCTTTCAAAAAATATGTCATAGGCCTTATTCTTCTTTTCAGATATAATTAAAAAGTAAAACATTCAAAATGGATATCATAGGAAAAACAACATCATGGATGGATGATGGCATTGTTTCTTCCTAGGATGATGAACCAAAGAATATCTAATTTTTATCTTCTTATATCCAGGATTTGGACAGAAGAATTCTTTCAAAAAATATGTCATAGGTCTTATTCTTCTTACATCCAGATATAATGAAAAATAAAACACTCAAAATGGATATCATAGGAAAAACAACATCATGGATGGATGATGGCATTGTTTCTTCCTAAGATAATGAACCAAAGAATATCTTTTTATCTTCTTATATATAGGATTAGGACAAAATAATTCTTTCAAAAAAGATATCATAGGAAAAACAACATCATGGATGGATGATGGCGTTGTTTCTTCCTAATATGGTGACCAAATGAATATCTAATGTTCATCTTATATCCAGGATTTCGACAAAAGAATGCTTTCAAATAGATGGCATAGGAAAAACAACATCAGGAATGGATAATGACATTGTTTCTTCCCAAGCTGATAACCCAAGAGGAATATCTAATTTTCAATGGAAAACCCTTATTCTTCTTATATCCAGAATATAATGAAAAATAAGGCAATCAAAATGAATACCATGGAAAAACAACACCAGGGATGGATGATGGCATTGTTTCCTCATAATATGTATGAATTTTGAAAATGGAAACTCTCTCTCAGACAATTTTGACATTTCAAAACATTCATAGCATTACCTCTGAAAACGGGTCTCCTGTTCGCGGCGCGCCGGTCGTAGTAGGCGCAGTGGTAGTGGTGCCAGTGGTGGGGGTAGTAGTGGTACCGGCGGCGGCCGCGGGGGCGCTGGGGCTCTGCGCAGACGCAGGCGGCGTAACGCCCGGCGGCGTGAACGTGTTGATTAGACTGGGAGCGGTTTGCCTTAAAGTTTCCATGCCTTGTTGTATCTGCATTATGGCATTTATTGCTTGCGGATTGCTCATCAGGTTGTGTATTTCGGGGTTTTGCATTTGCTGCAAGAATTGCGGCATCATCGTTCTCATTTGCTCTTGCAGAGCTGGGTTGGAGTTCAGTAGAGGATTTTCCGCGAATAGTGATGACGCCATGTTGGGATCTGCAGCTAGTGCCTCCATAACCGATTGGGTGTACGGTGCCGACAGCATGTTCTGCATCAGAGATGGGTTCTCGGACATTTGCTGCAGTAAGCTCGCCATTGGCGGATTGTTCACCACACCTCTACCGGGCGAAGTGGCCGGCGGATTGCCCGGCCTCTGTCCGCTCCATGGGTTCGGTAGCGGCTCCCTGTTCTCCGTACCTTGCTGAGGATTATTGGTCGACGTATTATCCACCAGACTAGCGAACGGATTGCGGCTCAACTGTTCCGCCGTAGCCGATAACATAGGTTCCTGTATGTCCCTATACATGCGCTGCAAAGCATTGTACCCCCCTGGTATGCTCTCCAAGTTGCTTATTGCTCGATCGTGACTCCTCATCAACTCTTGGAGCATCGACGGGTTCCTCGCCAGCTCCATAGTCTGCCGCAATAACTCCGGATTGTTGAGCATGTGGTTTATCTCCGGGTTCCGCTCCATCAACTCTTGCATCTGAGGGTTCCTCGTTATCAAGTTACGCATGTTTTCCGGGTCGTTCATCAAACGTTGCACCAAAGGATTGTCCATCACTTGTCTGAGCATGTCTGGGTTCGAAAGCAGCTCGGTTTGCATGCGGTTCTGCATCTCCATGAAAGTCGAAGAACCTGCCCCCATATTACCCAAACCCACTAGACCACCCAAACCACCCAAATCGAACGGTGTCGCACTAATGTCCGCTAGAAAAGACATAGTTTATCAGTTCTCATTTTTATTCCCCTTGATATTTTTATTGTTTTTGCTATTTTACCATGTAGGTATAATGTTTTTATATCTGTGTACCCTATAAAATTGTTAACAGCAATCCATTAAATTTAATTAAAGGCAATTTTAAATAATTTCCTAGAATTGCATAAATTACAACCATTTTAAACAAATGTTTGGTAAATGTAAAAATATCAGTTATTTATTGGAAAACCAAAAGGCTACCAACCAAGTTAAAAAAAAACACGTATTATAGTAAAATTAATGAGTTTAGAAGTCATTTACAGACATGAAATAAACCATATTTTTTATAATAGAAAACTGTAACGAAAATATTATTATTATATTTAACCAATATGTCAAATTAGACCTACTGACTTACCTGGTGGTCTCTGAGGTGTAGTATCGGCCCTAGGAGCAGCCCTGATTACGAGATGAATAGTTAAGCCATCCTTAATGTTATGTTGCTTTAAGTTATCTCCGTCTTTCATTATTTTTCCCGCGAAAATAAGGCATAATTGTTCGGGTTCGGCACTGAATTTTGCCGCTATTAAGTCCTTGAACTAGAGAAACATTGGTATATTCATTAACTTATCATACCTTTTTTTATTATTTATTTTAAGTGATGGGTGTTTCTTAAAATTTGCGACTTTACTTTCTATAGAAAACGGTCTCTATAGAAAGCCATACACCAATCAGAAAACGGCACCAAGTGTGCTGTGGAGAATGCTGTACTCTAATTGGTTTATTGCTTTCTATAGAGATTAATTTCTAAAGAAAGTAAATTTGCTTCAAAAAGCTGTCACTATTATTCAAGTGATCAGAGATAAACATTTTGCCATGCAATAGAGATAGTATTTACAGTAGAAATTGTTTTAATTGGCTAAATTAAGGTTATAGACTTACTTCTTTGACGCCCATGTCCTCGTTAACTTCTAAGGTTTCCTTTTCCTTCGGCGTTTTCACTGTTACTGTAATTTTCGTCTCCGATGCATTTTCCTCGCTTTCTGATTGTTTTTCCTCCGAATTTCCAGGATTTACCGGAACATCGTCAGCCATATTTGCTACAATGATGACTAGTTATTTCTATGTTTTATTGAACTAACACCAATATAAAACCACGTAACGCGATATTGCGGACGTGTTGCACTTAAAATAGGTATAGGGCACTGCGAAATTATTTATTACCTGACAATTTTCGCGAATTCACAGGAAAATTTCAACTGTCAAATGTAAGGATTTCTTGGTTAGGATAGCCAACTCATGCCAATGGTGCCAACTTACGCAACAAAACTGACGTGTGCAATTTATATAATTAATCTAGAAAAAATTCATTTAAATAGAGTGACTACTCTTCTAATTATCGCTACCAAGAATTACTTTCATTTATAAACTATTGCAAATAATTTATACGCACAGTCAAGAATTAAATTAATAAAACCAATTTTTTTTAACACCATTTATGTTGTTCCTATATTTATTTTAAAACATTTCATTGCTTAGCAAATTATTCGGTAATAACTTTGGTAGCATGCTATCAAAAAACAAACTGCAGTTCGTCTAATAAATCAAAAGGGCCGAAATTGGCAGCACTGGATGTCGTAGTTAAAATGTCTTGGTTCCAAACCTATGAAGAATGTTGCACTGTAGTGCGAATTATTGAATTAAAAATCCGGACTATTAATTGATATATTTTATTTGGGATCAAAAAATATGATTACAGTTCTATTTTAAGTCTATTCTAGTTTCTACAAAAGGCACAGCAAGCGTACTTATTGTACAGGTTATTATCTATGTAAATAATATTTACAAATAAAAAAAATGACTGGTTATCAAGCTAGAGATGTTAAAAATACTGTATCTGCTTGAGTATCTAAAAAAATTGATTACTCTTAAATTTTATTATCAAACTATCACTTGGTGTATTTTAATTCTATTGCAATATGTAAATTTTGTTTTTATAAACTGTTAACATTACCGGGTGTGCATGATGATCAGTTTATCTATAGTGATTAACTATTTATTAAATGTAAAACATTACAAGAATAAAACATGTTACTTGCGTTTTAATAATTTTTAATATAGAAGTTCTGCAAAATAATCACATGAGATTTGCTCCCTATAAAAATATGAAAAATTTATTTCGAATATCACTTGTTTTTCAATATATTGGCTATTTCCTATTAAGAAATTTTAGAACCAGGTCACAGTTGCTATAAGAACAAACTAGGTATATCCCATTATTTTTAAGTACAATTAATTGGGAATATGTAGCTCAAAAAGGTATGATTATCTTATGGTTAAAATAGTGGGTTAAATTAGTTGAAATAGATGGCAAGTAATTAAAAACAAAACGAAATTCTTTTTGAGCACCATAAATTGCAATTTGAATCTAATCAAAAACGTTAAATTCAGAAGTTTTGCGATCGTTTACGTTTGGTATCCATTGCATCTAAAATCGGTTGCTTCTTCAGCTGATATCGTTTTTTCAGTTCTTCGATTTCCCGTTCCATATCCAAATCCAACGTGTTCATTCTCGACTGCAATTCATCCAACGTCAAATACTTTAACTGAAACAGTAAAATCAGATTTCTACAATAATAGCCATTCAATATGTAATCTTACAAATTCAAAATCGCTCTCGGAAAACTGCGACCTAGGTTTTACTTCTTGCACGGGAGGTGCGGGAGCTTGTGGCACAGCCTGGTTCAATTGCAACTGCAAATGGCTTTGATAACGCTTTTCCTCGTTGTTTACTTCGTTCTCTATGCTTGTAGGACTAGATACACCGTTACCCTACAAAAAATAATCATCATTTAAACAATGCGCACGCGTAGTCAGAATTACGCATGGTTACCTTGATTTCCGCCTCCTTCTTGTCAAAATGATCTAGGAACATTGGCCTGTACTTTTTACCGCCGTTTGTTGAGTCAGTGTCATGCCCTAAAACACCATCAATAGAAAGTAAATCGGAATTTTTAAGAAACCTACTTTTCATAGTTTGATCATCAACATCGCTGTTTATAACCATGGTGCCCAATGAGGACTCCAACTCGATTAGAGTCCCACTTGGCGACATAGGGACCAATGTGTTATCTTTACCGGGTACTAGGGTACCATCATCACATTGCACCATGGTGTTATGACCTAAACCAACATCATCATCCTAAAATTATTCAACAATATATCTCATATTTGATATTTTATGTTGGTGGCACTTACTGATTCTTCAACTATATTTTGTTTCAACCCGGGTATATTGATACTTCTGTAACTTTGGTTTTCTCTAATGTCATGTGCATCTTGTATCATTGCACTTAGTACAGTGGAAGATTTCGCGTTCACTACAAACTCGTGATTCAGCAAATCGGTAGCGGTGGCCCTTTCTTCGGGATTTTTGACAAGACACACGCTCACAAAGTCTATGAATTCCGGACTCCACCTGTCCAATTCCCTGAACGAAGGGGGTGGTTTAGTGGGAATCATAAATATGGCTCTCATCGGGTGAATGTCGCCGTAAGGCGGTTTACCCTCAGCCATTTCTAAAGCGGTTATACCGAGGCTCCAAATGTCCGCCACGCAGTCATAACCAATTTCTTGGATAACCTCAGGTGCCATCCAAAATGGAGTTCCTAAGATTCAACATTATTTTTTTCGATATATGGTTAAAGGATTTTTTCTAAATTGGTTCCGCAAATATGAAAAAAAGTTTCCAAGAACGTAAAGTTGGCCAAAAATTAAACTTATAGAAGCTGCACATTCGATTTCACCCTGTATTTTGGCTTGTAAAAAACTTAAAAGAATGTTTAAATGTTTATAAATAAAATATTAAATGGTTCATCAGAAAAAATCCCGAAAAAGCTTAAAAAACACACCAGTTACACAAGATAATGTCTTTAGTGAATATGCTAGATGAAAGAGGGCATAAGCAAGAACCTTGTGGGCCATTTTTTAAATTATTGCTTTTTAAATGTAATCAAACTAGAATATATTTTGGCAAGCATAACCGGCAACAATGTAATACATTTTTAATTACATTAAACAGATAATAATAGATTGTACTAAATATTTGTATTTGAAATATTTAACAATAGCAATGAAATTTTGTATTGAGTATAAATAGAATTTTATCAACCTGGTAAACTTATCAACCACTGGTGATAAAAGCTGCTTTAACTGTTAAAAATCCTGCTTTATGAGTATATTTAATATTTAATGGTATAATAAAAAATATTGTTTTTTTTAATTTGTACATACCAATCACAGTATTTCTTTTGGCCATAGTGTCGGTTAATTGTCCGGCAACCCCAAAGTCCGCCAATTTCGCGTGCCCCTCGGAGTTGAGCAGTATATTTCCTGCCTTTATGTCCCTATGAATTTTTCTTCGTAAATGAAGATACTCCAGTCCTTTTAGGGTGTCAGATAAAATAGTTGCTATTTCATCTTCGGTTAAAGTCTTTTTACGTAATCTCATTATGTCTGATACTGAGCCAGCACCACAGTATTCCATAACAATCCATAGGTCAGTGTTTTTAAAGTAACTTCCGTAATATTTAACGACATAGGGGCTGTCACATTGTTGCATGATTGATATTTCCTTGATGATTTCTTGTAGGTCTGTGTCGACAGGCACTTGCTTGATTGCCAACACTTGCCCTGATTCTTTGTGTAAGGCCTTAAAAACACTGCCATAGGATCCTTCGCCCAGTTTACATATTGTATCGAAAACTTCTTCAGGTTGACGAGTTAAACTCTCTTCTGATAACTTTTTCAATTCACTAAAACAAGCAGAGAATAAAATATGAACTTAGAGTTTAATATCTTAACTGTATAAAGCAAATGTATAAATCCTAACCAAAGAAAAACAACTTTAACTAATAAAAGAGGACGGCAAAAAACGGCTTACCTTTTAGTTGTCATTTTAAATAAACTTATTTAAGCAACAAACAAAACTTATTCATGTTTAAATTATTAACAAATAAAATGTTATTTCTTAACTGAGAACTCCATGTTGATTTTTAACTACCCCTGCTTAGATAAACATCTGTCAAGAATGGTTGGTATTCTTTGAGAGACTTTGCTCATTCTTTTACTGATTTTTATCGTGTGGGTGCCCGTTTTGTAGGCCGATAAATAACTTAATACGCTTGCTTAATGATTATTCCCCAGTTTTGTTTACATATGCATATTAAACGAATTAATTGAAAACTAATGGATGGACTTCGTGTATTCTGGGTTGCCGACATTCAGAATAAAAACAGCTTTTCTTCTTCTTCTACTTCTTTAATCTGAAACATCTTGAAGAAGAAATTGTACTAATAAATTTAAATATTTGTATAAAGCGACTTCTATGCCAAAATTGTTGTTTTATCGGCTTTTAAAATGTCAGCGTTAGTTGGTAAATTTTTCTCGTAAAAATCAAAATTTCTTCCTTAAAAATTGACTAAGATCGGTTTAAATGATGACAAAAAATAATTTATTTTGAATATTTCAATTGTCGTTTAAACGTATAATTAGGTATACAGCTTTCAATGCGTAAATATTTTTTTATATTACCTAATAAAACATTTGTTTAAAATATAGAATCAATTTCTTGTAAAAGTTTACATTGCTTAATTTACTGGCTAAATAAAAAATTTGGTACAACATTAGGTACTTAAGTAAATATTTAAACCCGTTATATCTAGATTGACATAAAATGGGTCATACATTAAAATTTTATATTTTAATCTGTCCACTTCAAAAAATTTTAAGAATACTAACGTCAAATGAGATAAAAAACAAGATTGGTACGTTATGATTGAAAATGATTAAGAGGTGAACTTACAGACATTTAAAATTCTTATTTTCGATAGTTTTGAACCTAAGATTAAATAAGATTTCAGTTGAGATGTTCAAGTTCAAGCTATCATATCAAAATATCGTTTTTATCTTAGAGTCGATCTTAGCATGGGTCATAGGGTTGTTCACCTTAGATATAAAAAAAATCTTTATTTTATTGTAAGGAAAATTAAATGAATGAAATTTTTCCCTAAAAAATGTCGTGAATGAATAAAAAATACTACCTACATATACAGGAACACTATGGGCTCACGCACTAATAAGACAATTTTAAAGAGTTAAGTGAAATTTTGACAAAAAGATAAATAAATTAGTTTATTAAAATTTAATTTAATTTAATATGAATAATTGACAAAACATATGCACTATAATAATTATTACAATAAAGTCGACTTTTGTCAAACCAAGAAGACTAAATACAGGAGAGTTACTTACTCCTCATTTATTTAGTCTTCTTGTGCCAGTCATATAATTTTTACCCAGAAAAATCGTCATTTCAGTGATAAAGAAACTCTACGTAAATAAAAAAAAATGGGCCCACCGTGTAAAAAAATAGTATGGTAAAACGCGAAGCGTACCAGTGGAATAAAGATAAGCTAAACGGGGTAAAATTAAAAAGAAACAATGATAAATAACGAAAGCGATAAAGATCAAATTGTGGGGCATATCTCATAAATAAAGTGGCGAGGAAAGAGCGCATGAGATAATAAAGATGAAAATGGTATTTTGTGATGTATAGTTTTGGTTTGCTCCATTTAGGTCATATGGAGCAAGTAATGTCCACGAACAATGACCAAGCGTTTGTATAACAGGTTTTTGTCTAGCGCTAGCTGGTGGACGCTGCTCAGCTTGCACCAGCGACGTATCCACAATTTCGTTCAACAGGGGGGACAAATGAAGAAATTTTTTTAAATATTTCGGCGCGAAAAAAAAGATTGTAGATTTCATTGAGACTAACACTTTTTACAAATAAATATTTTTTATTTGGGCTTTTGTTTTCGAATTATCGACCTTCTTTTGTTTTTACTTAAACCTTTATATCTTCGCTATTTACATATATAAAATCCGGTTAAAATAGCGGAGATAAAAAGGTTTATGTAAGTAAAAACACCCTGTGTATTGATAGAGTACAATTTTTAAAGAACGTTTAAGGTTTGTTAATAATAATAAAAAATGTATGATGATTTAATGTTTTAATTTGATTAATTTATTTAAATAACAGTCTTTTTTATATGTCCTGAATTTGATACGCCACTGTGGGTCTATACTCAAATAAGCTCACGACATTTCTATATTCTCTACAAGAGGAACGAAGCAATTTTTCATTTTTAAAAAATTGCATTAAAATTTGAAAAAACATTTTATAGTATTTTATTGTAAAAAATTGTAAATATTTTTACTATATTGCAACCGTAAATAATTCTTATTTGTTTGGTAACTTTTTAATGTTTGAAGTGAAATAAAAAACTATTAATAATGATTTGAATGAAAAATAAAAGTAAGAAAAAAACTCGTTTGAAAATACAAATATGATTTTTCCCACTTTTTAGGATTTTTTTGTGAAAGTGGTCGTGGCCTTTTAAACTTGTATTACTGGCAAAAACTTAATAATATTATAATATATTGAAATACCCATGTTGTTCCCCTTTTGTCCCTCCATTTTATTTTCTTTTATGTTTAATACCTATATTTCTGGGCCCAAAAATAAATAGAGTGTAAATTTCCTCAGAAAAAAAGTCCCCTCTACCTTGTTAAGCCCTTTACCGAAAACCTACTGTTTCTATTTGAAGAGCAAGCACATAATTTAAAAATTTAAAGGAAAAAATATGTTGAACATGCTCTAAAATTTAAAATTCTTAAAAAGTATTAAAAATAAGACAAATATTTTTTAAACACAATTTTGGTTTTATTTTATAATCCTTATTATTTATTAAATAGTATACTATAATATATATAATACCTAGATAATTAAAAAAAATATTTTTTTTAATTATCTAGGTATTATATTAAAAAGTAAACATTTATGGAAGGTATATATGTTTTTAATAATAAAAAAATGAATCAATAAATATTTTCACCCAAGTTAAATGTTAGGGGTAATTATTTTACAATGAAACCAAAGAAAGTTATAAATCAATTGATTTCAAGCATTCAGCTTTTCAATCAGACAAAAAAACAGCAAAGATATTTGATATAATTAACATGGTAGAAATTTTACCTATAAATTTTTTTTATTTTTTTATTTTATCTTTGTTTTAGGTAGTTTACTTTCTGAATTTATTTTTTCATATATATTTACTAACAAAAATACGGTCTATTTTTATCCATATTTTAAATCAGTCGTTAACGACTGATATACATTATATCAAACGATTTACATTTTAGATGATTTTATTGGCCAAAAAACAAATCTAGTAAACCATGACTTATATTAGCGAAATTATTTTCTATGGTTAAAAGCAAATGTCAAATAAATCTGTATGACATTTTAATTGTTTTATGTCTAATTTAAAATGTCAATGTATAGAAATCGACTTTTTTAGGGAAAATATAAACGTTGAAAGATAATTACCCAATTTATTTTATAAAACAACAGTTTTTAAAGAAAATTACTAGTTTTTAAAGATTTTTTGTGATTTTTTTTGTGAAAGTGGTCGGGGCTCAGGTTAAAAATTAATTTAAATATCTGAAACTTTGGGAGTACCTTTACAAGAGTCTAAAAGTAAAAAAAAACTGAAAAAAATATGATTTTTTCCCACTTTTTAGGATTTTTTAAAATTATTAATGATGTCATTTAATATTTAATTAAAATTTATATAATCTATTTATACAAATATGTTTGTATTTTTTTTTTGAAAAAACTAAAAACATTCCAAAACCAAAAATCCTTATTCCTGGGAATTTTTTTTTGCCCGCTATCTTTTGTTTTTTTATGACCGCCATATTAAAATTTTACTTGGTTAGATAGGAAAAAAATCAAGGATTCCAAAGATGTATCAAAACTCAAAAAAATTGGGTGAAAATTTGTAGTCATTTTAACTTAAAACTTGGCAACGCTGTGTGTTTAATGAACTAAACTTTTGATATCCAAAAATGGTTTGTGAACAACAATTGAAATTAATATTACTTTAAAGTAATATTAATTTCAATTGTTATTTTTTTTTAATAATAACAATTGTTATTATTAAAAAAAAATAGTATGAAATTGAAGCTTGCCTGAAGAAGTTATTTTAAATACCGAAACTAGTCGCAAATAAAAATTATTAACCAAGCAAGGAAATATACATTTTATTTAAATTTAAAAAATTCAATATTCAAACCTAATGAAAACCCCCTAAAAAATCGCGTAGTTACATTTTTACGAAACCATTTGCTTTAGTCATAAGTCATTAAAGCCTTTTTATCTTTTTTATAGTTAACCATAAATAAGCATATATATTTTTTATCAATTTTCGAACACTATATAACTTTATAGCTTTATTTTTACAGTCATTCGAATTAAATTTATTTTTTAAATGGTTCTAATGGCCTTTCAGATAAAATGTCTTTGATTTTATCTAATTATTTTCGAATAAAAAAAACACATTTACGCACCTAAGGCTCGTAATTTTTTTGACTAATACTAAAAAAATGTACTTAAGTTTAACCTAATCAATAGTTTTAATTGTATTGAATTAGTAATATATTCTTATAATTAATTTAATATCTATAATTACGTTCGTGATTCAATATATCCTGCTTGATAAATATTTAAAATTTGCAAATCGTAAAAAACCGTTATTTAAATTCAGCATTTCTAAACTGTATGCACTGAATTTTCTACGCTTTACTTCTTACCGTGCCTTACTGTCTTTAAAAACATGGCAGTACTCTTCCACCGAAGACTTTAGATTCCTTTGTTATTTTTTTTTCGCTGCAAATGCTCATGGGCTCTTACTTTACACAGGCCTGTACCTAGCTATTCGATGTCAATAAAATGTTGCATTAGTTTTTTTATATAAAATTTAAATTTCTTAGTTTTGCTATATTAAAACAAAATCAAAAAAATATATTTATTTTATTTAAAACAATATAGGTAATAACCAATAAATCAACAATTGCTTATTAAAACTGAACCAAAACTCAAGTGAAAATATATCGGCTGTTTATAGCTATATTATGTTTGCAAGAGTAATATATAATCTTCCGTCTTTATTTCATGTTGAACATTAATTTTACAGGCAATATAAGTTTATATGTGCCGTGCTAGCCATAAAAACGTACACATATTGTTGCAAGTGGCGTTTTTTCCATTTGTACAAGACTCTTTTAATTAATTTGTTTTTAATTGAGCGGTTAGTTTAAGTGAATAAAATAATTAATTTGCTTAACCAACTGATTTTTATGTTTTTATTTATCTACTCCTATTGCATAATATTGTTTTTTTTTTCGTGAATAATGAGTTCATTATTTCCATTGTTGGACCATTTCAATACTCACTGTGATTTAAACCAATCGGATTTTAAACTGGAAGAAGGCGACTGTGATAATATTTAAAATTGGTAAAAATTGAGGTTATATGTATAATATATATATATATATATATATATATATACATTGTATATGAAAAGATTTCAAATTGTAGTATAAAAAAATGGGTGATTCTCCTCTAGATTTCGTTTTTTACCTTAATTTGGAATCACCATGTATATTTTATATTTATAAATGTTTTAAAAATGTCAAAAAGGTTTTTTTAAGAATTAATTAATTTAAGTTTAAATAATAAAAAGTTCTTGAACTTTGTAAACGTGTAGTTATTTTAACTTAAAATTAAACCTCAAAACTGTCCTTAAGTAAAAATCTTGTCAAGTTTTTATTATATATTTTGTACTTTTTTTAATAACCATAAAGCTTCATAACTATAAAGTATAAGGGATTTTTATCCGCAAATAACGTAAATATTTTTTTAAGGTTTTAAGTGGTTTACCAAACTTTTAATAATGATTTTAAAAAAAAATTAACCATTCTCCATATTTAGTAATTTTTCGCATTTGCACCGTTTTTGTTTACTGTAAAAATAACTTACTTATGTAAACGTGTTGTTATTTTAACTTAAAATTAAACTTAAAAACTGTCCTTAAAGTTAAAAATCTTGTCAGGTTTTTATTATACATTTTGTACTTTTTTAATAACCATAAAGCTTTATAACTCTGAAGTATTTTAATGATGTTTATTTAACGTAAATATTACGAAAAAAATTACTTATACCTAGGTTATTTATTTATTTTAAGGGATTTTTAACGGTAAATTTAACGTAAATATTTTTAATCTACACTAAATTTTACTTATAAGTCATATTTTTACTATATTAAAACCATTTTATGACCGTAAATAATTTTTATTTCGTTTGGGAACTTTTTAATGTTTAAAGTGGTATACAAAACTTTTAATAATGACAAAAAAAAAAATAACTAAACCACTCTCCATATTTAGTAATTTTTCGTATTTGTACTGTTTTCGTTTACTGTAAAAATAACTTATATTAGTTAACTTACTTATGTAAACGTGTAGTTATTTTAACTTAAAATTAAACTTAAAAACTGTCCTTAAAGTAAAAAAGCTTGTCAAATTCTTATTATACATTTTGTACTTTTTTAATAACCATAAAGCTTTATAACTCTGAAGTATTTTAATGATGTTTTTTTAACGTAAATATTACGAAAAAAATTACCTATACCTAGGTTATTTATTTATTTTAAGGGATTTTTAACGGTAAATATAACGTAAATATTTTTAATCTAAACTAAATTTTACTTATAAGTCATATTTTTACTATATTAAAACCATTTTATGAACGTAAATAATTCTTATTTCGTTTGGGAACTTTTTAAGGTTTAAAGGGGTATACAAAACATTTATTAATGACTTAAAAGAAAAAAATAATTTAACCATTCTCCACATTGAGTAATTTTTCGCATTTGCACCGTTTTTGTTTAATGTAAAAATAACTTATATAAGTTAACTTACTTATGTAAACGTGTAGTTATTTTAACTTAAAATTAAACTTAAAAACTGTCCTTAAAGTTTAAAATCTTGTCAAGTTTTTATTATACATTTTTTACTTTTTTTTATACCCATAAAGCTTTATAACTCTGAAGTATTTTAATGATGTTTATTTAACGTAAATATTACGAAAAAAATTACTTATACATAGGTTATTTTTAACGGTAAATATAACGTAAATATTTTTAATCTACGCTAAATTTTACTCATTAGTCATATTTTTAATATATTAAAACCATTTTATGACCGTAAATAATTCTTATTTCGTTTGGGAACTTTTTAAGGTTTAAAGTGGTATACAAAACTTTTAATAATGACATAAAAGAAAAAAAAATAACTAAACCACTCTCCATATTTAGTAATTTTTCGTATTTGTACTGTTTTCGTTTACTGTAAAAATAACTTATATTAGTTAACTTACTTATGTAAACGTGTAGTTATTTTAACTTAAAATTAAACTTAAAATCTGTCCTTAAAGTAAAAAAGCTTGTCAAATTTTAACGGTAAATATAACGTAAATATTTTTAATCTAAACTAAATTTTACTTATAAGTCATATTTTTACTATATTAAAACCATTTTATGACCGTAAATAATTCTTATTTCGTTTGGGAACTTTTTAAGGTTTAAAGGGGTATACAAAACATTTATTAATGACTTAAAAGAAAAAAATAATTTAACCATTCTCCATATTGAGTAATTTTTCGCATTTGCACCGTTTTTGTTTACTGTAAAAATAACTTATATAAGTTAACTTACTTATGTAAACGTGTAGTTATTTTAACTTAAAATTAAACTTAAAAACTGTCCTTAAAGTTTAAAATCTTGTCAAGTTTTTATTATTAATTTTGTACTTTTTTAATAACCATAAAGCTTTATAACTCTGAAGTATTTTAATGACTTAAAAGAAAAAAAATAACTTAACCATTCTCCATATTTAGTAATTTTTCGCATTTGCACCGTTTTTGTTTATTGTAAAAATAACTTACATAAGCTAACTTACTTTTGTAAACGTGTAGTTATTTTAACTTAAAATTAAACTTAAAAACTGTCCTTAAAGTTTAAAATCTTGTCAAGTTTTTATTATACATTTTTAATAACCATAAAGCTTTATAACCCTGAAGTATTTTAATGATGTTTTTTTAACGTAAATATTACGAAAAAAATTAGCTATACCTAGATTATTTATTTATTTTAAGGGATTTTTAACGGTAAATATAACGTAAATATTTTTAATCTAAACTAAATTTTACTTATTAGTCATATTTTTACTATATTAAAACCATTTTATGACCGTAAATAATTCTTATTTCGTTTGGGAACTTTTTAAGGTTTAAAGGGGTATACAAAACATTTATTAATGACTTAAAAGAAAAAAATAACTTAACCATTCTCCATATTTAGTAATTTTTCGCATTTGCACCGTTTTTGTTTATTGTAAAAATAACTTACATAAGTTAACTTACTTATGTAAACGTGTAGTTATTTCAACTTAAAATTAAACTTAAAAACTGTCCTTAAAGTTAAAAATCTTGTGAAGATTTAATTATACATTTTGTACTTTTTTAATAACCATAAAGCTTTATGAAGTATTTTAATGATGTTTATTTAACGTAAATATTACGAAAAAAATTACTTATACCTAGGTTATTTATTTATTTTAAGGGATTTTTAACGGTAAATTTAACGTAAATATTTTTAATCTACACTAAATTTTACTCATACTTTTATGTTAATAATTCTTATTTCGTTTGGGAACTTTTTAAGATTTAAAGGGTTATTCAAAACAACTTAAAAGAAAAAAAACTTACTTATGTAAACGAGTAGTTATTTTAACTTAAAAGCTTGGGTGAATATTTTACCTTTTCGTTGGAATCACCCTTATCTTTTAAAGTTTTTCAAATCGTTTTTTTTTAACCAAGGTAAAAATATAAAAATTTAAATTTTTTTAGTGAATAATTGGTTTTGCAGAAAAGATAAAGAGCATGGCGAGGTATTATGGTATCATATCTATGGAGTATACTCCATAAGAAGGGGTATGCACTCTTTAGAGGAAGGGTACCAACAATGTTAGTTGATGAATAACTTTCGTGCTATACGAAACAGCGCGCGCTAACAACCACAACCAGAACCTCACGTGGAAAACGAAATAACAAAACGAAAAAAAAAACGACACAACGAACGCGCTGACTTAAATTAACAAACTTAAGATGTGTGTGTAAGTGAATATTAAATTGTGATAGTTTTTCAACATGTTTACACGGTAATTTCTCACTGAAAACCATTCAAGATTTGTTTCTTACTCATTTTAAATGTCACGGGGAGCGACGGTACTTTGATTTGATTTTACCACGTAACTAATTTCTTTTTGGAACGTTGGTAATATTTTTTAAAGTCGCTTAATTATAAATTGCAAAAATAATGTAAACCACGGGTACAAAAAGTGAATCAATGATTTTGAAGTGCCGCATTAAATAATTGTATTTATTATAACATTTGTTATTGTATATATTTGCTTTGTTAACGTATAAAATCACTTAAGTTTATTTATTGATCGATAAAACATTAATTTATTGATTTTATGGTTCAACTTTGTTGTCATTTCGGTAACACGTCCACTGTTAATTTTACTTTTAAGTCAGATATGGGATAATTTTTATTTTTGGTTTAATTCTATTAAATAAAATAAAAGTCACTCCTGAAGTAAAATAAGATTGAATTATGACATAAGGTGATAAATTATTGAAAACGTAAACACCAAATAAAATTTAATGTGTAGCCCATACAATGCGTTAAGAATATTCTTTAATGTAATAATGGGTGAAACACAATTCAATAACCATTTAACCAGTCATGTTCTATAATGTGCCATACTTTGGATAATGTCTTCTAAGAAAACACTGATTAATTGTTTCGCTTAAATTCGAAAATATTTTTATTTTATTCCAATAATAAAATTAAATTTAAACATCTATAAGATCAGTAATTATAATTATTAACTTTTAATGTAAGCTTTAATTGAAGTTTAAATAATATTGGATATACATAAATCAATAAGGAACAATACTATAATAAATAAGCAATGTAAATTCTTGATTATTACGTAATATGGCAAAACTGAAAAATCAAACAAAGAACTTGTGTTTCAATAGCATTTTTATTAATTTAATTAATTTATTTTTTTATTATATTGCATACAAAAATGTTCAATAAAAAATGTTAAATTTTCATTGATTTGTAGCTTATAGACATAGTATGAAAGTCTTTGGTATTTAAAGTGGATAATGGTGCGATTGTGTAAGAGAGCAAAATAAGATATCAACAGTGTTTAGGTAAAGGGCACATGTGGGAACTTATGTTATAAACGTAAGATGCAAAATAGCAATGCACAATTTTAAACCACCTTATACGTAAGAAACAGCAAATGGCAGAGCACCACTACCGTTAGTCAATGGTAAATTTATAGGTAAAGCGAAAGCCTTAAGAAGAAAATTTAAATTAAAATGCCAGTACGAAGCTTTTCGCAAAACCATAAATTATTGATTCTTTACAATATGAAAACATACTCAGATAAATTAAAAATGTGATTATACCTAATCATTAGAATTTCTAAGTTTCTAAAACAAAGAAACGCTGCAATGTGTCATCAGTCCTATAAATTCACACAAGTCTCAAGCAATTATTGATAGTTTTGTATACAACTTTAAAGCTTAAAAAATTCCCAGACAAATAAGAATTATTTAAGGTTATAAAGTAGTGATAATAAAGTAAAAATATGGCTTATGAGTAAAATTTGGTTTAAAGCAGTGGCGGATTGGGGATTTTGGGTATACCAATATCTCAGTTATTAGACATGGGACCCACACCAAATTTATAATAGTTTATTATGACATTAAATAGACAAGTTCGGCGCAAACAGAATTTAAATTGAAGTTTGCGAAAAAAGTTAGTTTTTTGTGTCGCCTCACCTGGCTTCTGGCCCCCCCATTTGAGATAATTCAAATTAAAGTTGTGCAATTTATACTTCACTATAATTTATCGGTAAATTTAAAATTTTATTTGAAAAATCCAAATATTACAGATTTTATACGATTTTAAATTTTTATTATTTATTTTATTATAATAATAATAATTTTATTATAATAAAAAAATATTTAATATGGTATAAAATCTGTAATATTTGGATTTTTCAAATAAAATTTTAAATTTACCGATAAATTATAGTGAAGTATAAATTGCACAACTTTAATTTGAATTATCTCAAATGGGGGGGCCAGAAGCCAGGTGAGGCGACACAAAAAACTAACTTTTTTCGCAAACTTCAATTTAAATTCTGTTTGCGCCGAACTTGTCTATTTAATGTCATAATAAACTATTATAAATTTGGTGTGGGTCCCATGTCTTATAACTGAGATATTGGTATACCCAAAATCCCCAATCCGCCACTGGTTTAAAGTGAAAATATTTGAGTTGAATTAAGGTTTAAAATCCCTTAAAATAATAGTATATTAAAGAACTAATGTCATAAGACGTCATCTTGACAAAAGGTTCTTTATGCTATTTTTTCTACTCCCACCTTTAAAACGCCCTTTACATACGTACATGTTTCCATAACACTAAGTGACCTTTTAAATACACATTGACAAGTTGTGGCTTTATGGCGCTTTAGTCACGGGCTGAAGTTAGCAACAGGTTTTTAGTCACGGGCTAAAGTTAGTTGACAGTTGTCAAATGTCATGCAATCGTTAAAATAAAGTGCCTTTCTTGTAAAATAATACTAAATGTGAAAATTATTTTATTATCTCAATACAAAAGTATTAAATAGTTTCTCAACGCCAATATTTGAAAAGTTTATATGAACATTGTACTGACCTTTTAATTTCGCCTGCAGTAAACTATAACTTAAATTCGGGCACGGACTCTACTGTAAAGTCCTCATAAAACATTTTCTTTACTTTCACTGTGAAAAACTGTCCATTTTCAAGAAATACATTTCGATTTATAACCTTTATAATTGTGTTTATAAAATAAAAAAATGTGACATTTGACGGTGACACGCAGTTTCCCCTATTGTTTCATAGATGACGCTCTATACAAATTTTTGATTTAAATCATTTTAAGATAATAATAAGTATTTGTCGTAGAAATAGTATAGTATGCACCTCGTTTATAAACTTTTCTATACACTCATTAACTTAAACACTCACTCGCAAGCTGGCTCGTGCCTAAATTAAATTCGTGTATAAAATGGCGATTATCAAACTTGATACATAATATACTATTATACCTTATATTTAATTTAGTCAAATTTTACTTTAGATAGTTGGTCATTGGTTTGACAGTTAATGTCAAAATCGATTCGCCATGCCGTTCTTAATTTACTTATATACAATAAGCGGTTGTTAATTTTAAAGAAGAAAAAAAGGATTTTCTTTGGTGCTAAACAAAATTTATTGCCAGAAAAGCCTCGTAAGTACTAGAAAAATTATAAAAATATTATAACCAATATGCAAAATATTATGCTGTTTAAAGTATAGCCAACCTATAAAATCAAAATTTTGGGTGGGGTAACGTACCTCATTACTGCACCGAAAGCGGTGTTACAATGAAGTCATTATGAACCCAAAATAGATAAACATAATTTATCAAATTCTATGGCTATTAAAGGAAGTGAAAAAGTCATGTTAAAATCTTTTTATATTACGTTTTACTTTATCGGTAATACACCACAATTAAAGATGTACATAAAACGGTTTTATTAAAACCGGGTTCGTCGCTTTCACTGATTGGGGTCTCCACGAAATTTAAGATCTATTTTTTGTCGAAAAAAGGTTTTTGATATTAGTAATAACTAAATAAATTAGTTTCATAGGTTTCTATGACACATTATACACATTGACAAGTTTAGACTTGTGGCGTTTTAGTCACGGGCTGAAGTTAGTATTTAGTTGTCATATGTCATACAATCGTTAAAATAAAGTACCTTTTTTGTAAAATAATACCATATATATGTGAATAATATTTTATTGTCTCAATACGATATTTGAAAAATAAAACAATATTTTCACCTTCACTGTGAAAAACTGCTTCTATATTGGATTTAACCGGTGGTTTGTCCATTCTTAAGGGATACATTTCGATTTACACAGTCAAATTTGACTTGAAGTTGGAATGGTTATTCTATTGTTTTACAGATGTCGCTTTATACAAATATTTAATTTAAATCATTTGTATAATATGCAATTATTTTTGCGTAATTAAAATTCGTGACTATAATGGCGTTTATGATATAATATACTATTTATTTAATAGATAATAATATTTTAAAGAACTAATGTCATAAGACGTCATTTTGTCGCACGCGGACAATTTATAATTTTGTAATGGACGAGTGCGACAAAAGGTCTTATGACATGAGTTCTTTATGCTATTTTATCTATTTTGCAAAAATTCTATAAAAAAAATTAAATTTTATACTTAAAATGTCAAAATCGATTCGCCATGGCGTCCTTAATTTATTTACAATAAGCGGCCGTTAATGTTAAAGAAGAAAAAAAGGATTTTCTTTAATGTTAAACAAAATTTATTGCCAGAAAAGTCTCGTAAGTACTAGAAAAATCATAAAAATATTATAATTAAAGTATAGCCAACCTATAAAATCAAAATTTTGGGTGGGCACCGAAAGCGGTGTTATAACGCAAAATAGATAAAGTATTTTTTTCCAACGAACTTAAATTTGTTAAACAGTGTAATCTATATAATCTGAAATAAAACAATATTAGGCATAATTTCGCATAATAAGTAAAAGCTAGCAATTGCGAACAATCACGTAGCAATTTTTTTCAAAATCCAAACAGATACATGTATAAAATTACTTGTAATGGTATTCTCCGCAAAAGATATGTAATACATACACCATTTTAATATAAATATTGATCATCAAGTGTTATTAGAGAACATGATAAGTACCATTAAGAAAAGAACTCAAGCGCCCGAAACTATGCTAATCTACTAGATTCAACTCTAGCTATATCTAAGCAATTTCGTTGCAGGAGTATCTATATAGATTACCTTTGGCTTTCCCACACTCTACTGCCCATTATAAAACTGGCCAACAAAAGTTTGCTGTGGAAACTATGTTTTAAATTAAATTTTCTTCGATATGTTTATTTGGTTATAATAATACAGGGTGTGTGGATATAACATTAATATATTTTGGTGATTTTACTCGTAAAATTACATCTCGCCTCTGTTGGCTTACCAACCAAGCATAAAGGGAGTCCTTAGTTTTGAGTCCACTGATGAGACCCAATATAGGTCGAAACAGCTGTCTGTCGGCATTTGAAGTTGGTGGAACGTACTTAAAACAAAAAACGTTATTTTCAGACACTCTGTATATCTGTAATTATTGAAATGTGAAATTTCGGTATTGGCTCGATATAATCGGTCGGATTGAAATGCTTGGGAGCCATAATACTTTCTCTCCTTTCCTACACAACATTTGTGATCATAAAGCTCAATGATTATTACAAAAATTGGTGTAGTTATGGTTTTTAACTCTTCGTTAGTTTAGTTCCCACCATTTGTTTCTATTGCAGAAATATACTTTTAAAACTAGTTAAACTATTTGTTTTTTTTTAGTTAAACATTAATCATTTACTGTTTGTAAGATAATTATATAAATACTAGGGTTTTTGTATTTCACTTAACTAGGCACTAATTAGATGATTATTAATTATCAACCATCTTTGTTTAATGCCTATCTATGACTTAGCCATTTTTATTAATGTGAACCGATCAATATACGTCGAAAATTTTTGATGGATAATCACCAAAATTTTCTCACGAAAAAAAAATTATACAGGGTTACACATTTCAACGAACAGTTTGAATTAGTGCGAATAAAATTGTTGTTAAGCTAAAAATGTGTTAATATTTAAATGAAGTAGGGACTCGGTAAAGATTAATAATATACCTTGCGGGCATCAAACCGTGCCTGTGGTCTCTTAGCTGACCCATACCGGAGCCTTTTTCCACTCCTAACCGGAGCTAAATCGCCACGTTGCCGATAACAATGTTATTTCTCAGAAATAAATTAATAATTAAGTGACTTTTCCATCAATTTAAGAATCCTAAATTAATTTCGTCAAACGTGCAATTTTAATTTATTATCCCGGCGCAGTCGCCATTTTTGAAAATTTTGTGTTTTTTATAAATCTATAGTTTCTCGCCGCTTTTTTAGATAAATAAGTGCCGTTACCTTGACAACCAATTTATCAACAAAGAGCAAAACTTTTTTGAAAATACTACTTTTCATTCAATATTCAAATTTCGTTAAAATTGATAGACACTTTGTGTAAAATAATAATAATAATAATAATAACGCACCTTAATGAAAAAAAAAAAAAAAAAACATCAGTAACCCAGTAGGATTTTCTTTGTTAATGTTGCGACCGTTCAGCCGGCAACGTCGCAATGGTACTGATGCTGCAGCACATGTCTAGTTGATTTTACGTCTTGAGACTCCCCCGCTTTAGATCCGTAACAGCGCATAGCGCACTGCGCACACTAGGTCACTCCGCGCGTTCATAGCACACCATTACGTTTACCACGGCGGAGTTTTGCAGAAACGAATCAACCGGAAAAACGTTTACCAAAATTTTTGTCAACAGTTATCGCTATAGTGGTCTAAAATTTTGATAAACGCAAAATATAAATAAATGCCGGTTGAGGCATTTTTGCATAACTATGCAACGCTGTTTCAGATCATCAGAGTTACTTAATTGAAAGTTACTTGCATATTATTTTATATAATTCCTCCTATTACATAGCATTGCCAACTAAAATCTTATTATATTATAATTTTCCTTGTTAAATCAAAATTTTATCTAGATTCATTAATTTTAAGTACAGGGTCATAAAAAGTAACATCTAAACAATGCCACCAAAGAAATATGTCATTTCTTTGTTAAAATTATTGCATATCATTGTTACGTTGCAAATATTGCTGGACAAAAAAGTAGATGGGAAATTTATCTGTAAATTAATAAAATCTTAATATCAAAGTTTGTTGTCAAAATAGGGAAAAGTTATGTGACCCAGGGGACAATTCAAAAGAAATACATTATAATATGTTTTTGAAATAATAATAAACTTATAAAAAAGTTTTAAAAACATTTTTTTTACCTTTTCTGTTTTTGACAATACGTAGCCAATTTAAAATAATGTCCTTCACCTTTTTAATATTAATTTTCCTAGTCAATGTATTTTGCCTCAAAGAAGCTCAAAAATGTTTATATTGACTTTTATTATTATTTTATTAATATTACTAATAACTAAAACTTTTTATTCATTTATTGCTCGTTAAATTGGGCTGGGCCCAGATAAAAAAATCGAGAAAAAAGTTTTTAATAAGCATTAAACAAAATTTCTTAAACTCACAATTTTTCAACGGACATTTTTTAAATACAGAAAATATATTAAATATACTTATGTATGTAAGAAAGTTGAGAAATAGCACATAGTTTTTGCTTTTACTTAGTTTTGTACTCAACATTTTTTATAAATAATAAAATTTTTTTTTTTAAACAAATTTCAATGCAAATAAAACCTTAAAACGATTATTAGCAATCAAAAAAATATATTTTCAAAATGATTAAGCATTTTTATATAAGTTTTATGTTATGTTGGTAAATTTGTGACCCAGGGGACCATTTTTTTCTTTTTTCTTTTTGAAGGGCTTATTTAAAAAAATCCACACTTTTAGGTTTTAAATAAGACCCCTCAATAAAAAAAAATTGGAACAAAAATTCTGTTTTTACTATTTTCTTCTTTAAATGTACAAGAATTTTAAAAATGACTCATATCCCAAAACAAGTTAAAAACTACATAAGTTATTTTTTCTACTCCCGCCTTTAAAACGCCCTTTATCGTACATGTTTCCATGACACTAAGTGACCTTTTAAATACACATTGACAAGTTGTGGCTTTACGGCTCTTTAGTCACGGGCTGAAGTTAGCAACAGGTTTTTAGTCACGGGCTGAAGTTAGTTTTAAGTTAGTTGACAGTTGTCATACAATCGTTAAAATAAAGTGTTTTTCTTGTAAAATAATACTAAATGTGAAAATTATTTTATTATCTCAATACAAAAATACAAAAATATTAAATAGTTTCTTAACGCCAATATTTGAAAAGTTTAAATGAACATTGTACTGACCTTTTAATTTCGCCGGCAATAAACTATAACTTAAATTCGGGCACGGACTCTACTGTAAAGTCCTCATAAAACATTTCCTTTACTTTCACTGTGAAAAACTGTCAATTTTCAATATACATTTCGATTTATAACCTTTATAATTGTGTTTATAAAATGTAAAAATGTGACATTTCACAGTTTCCCCTGTTGTTTCATAGATCTATACAATTTTTTGATTTAAATCATTTTATGATAATAAGTATTTGTCGTAGAAAAAGTATAGTATGCACCTCGTTTATAAACTTTTCTATACACTCATTAACTTAAGCACTCGCTCGCAAGCTCGCTCGTGCCTAAATTAAATTCGTGTGTAAAATGGCGTTTATCAAACTTGATACATAATATACTATTTACAGTATATATTACACATATTTGGTAATAATAACGTTAAAATGACTTCGTATCTATCATCTCTTTCTACACCTATAACATTATATTTTCTTTGTCTCTTTAACTTATTTTCGTAAATATAGGTTATAACCATAAAGTAAAAGTAATAAATATAACTTATATTGACAAAAAAATGAAAACCTGTCAGAACCAAAAATCGTTATTACTAACAATATATTTACTTAAATTAAGTAATAAATAATAAATAAAATAAAGAATTCGTTAAAAAACTTCATGAAATGTTATTCATATGGAAGATGACGTATTCATATTATACAGGGATTTATTGTTCATTGGTTTTCAAAGGATATATAAAAAAAATAATAGACAGTATATGATGTCTATATTCTTTTTAATTTACTTCTTCTTGACTGCATTTTATTTATTTCTATAATGGTAATTTAATTAATGATATTTATGAATATGTGGATTAAGTTGTATTTATTAAATTTGACTAGTCATCCAATTTTTCTTTGGTTTTATTTCGGTTCCTAAATCTAAATTGTAATTTAAAATTTATCTAACTTAATCTAGCCATGCCCATTTATTAATTTTGGTGCTTAAATCAAATGCTACAATATGATGTATATCGGGATCTAAACTGAGACCAACAACAAATTATAAAATTAAGATTTATCAGTTATACCAGAATTAAAAATACCAGACTGACTCCAAATTAATGGGTACCTATTTAATATTAAAAAAGTCTTCAAATTCGCATATCTCTGTGTGTTATAGATTATTTTTGCTAAACATTAAAATTAACAGTTCGGATTCAAGATTAATTGCTATTATTCAGAAACATTGTGTAATTATTATTAAGGCATTAATCAATAGCTGTATTGGTGAAAAAAAATAATTCATTAAATCTAGACATAGTATAATCAATTTTAGTTCAATTTAATTAGCCGATATGACCTAAACCGGTCAAACATAAATAAATATTCTTTCCTAATAGCTATTTAATCATAACTGCACGCCATTTCGTACCACCTAAATTATCTTAAACTTAAAATACTCCTTCATTAAAACCTCAGAATTGATGTTTATAATGAGCATTAGCAATAAATAAGATTTATTTTATTTTAGCGCAAAATCAAAAGTTATCAAAAACTCGTTTGAGATGAACGATGATAATTTCTCCCTGTCAAAAAAAATGATCCATTTATCTTACTTATAGCTAAATTTTTAAGTGTTGCTTTAGAAAATAAAATAAAAACTTGTAAATTAGCGAAATGGTTAATTTATGTTTGTCATGAAATAGGTTTGTGATATTGTTGTCGAGGGATTATGAACAGATTACCATTGTTTCTTTTCGTGACTGTAAAGCCCGTTAACTTTAAAGTGTTGTATTCGTAACGGTAGAGCATGTTTGTTATAGTGTACATGTATTCAATCCTTAATAAATTTACCTGTTAATTACTTGAAACGTGTAGCTAGTCCGTATTTATGTTTTAACCAGACATCCTTACCTTAATTCTAAAAGGATGATACAGATAAATTTATTGCTTTTTTGTGCCGTATCTTCTTCAGATATTAGCTTCTTAAAAGGTGAATTTTTTCAGATTCGACGCTAATAAATCAACAAAAGGTGCCAGTAAACTGAGAAGAGACCTGATAAATGCCGAAATAGCAAATTTAAGGGAACTTCTACCATTACCTCCTTCAACTAGACAAAGATTATCCCAACTACAACTGATGGCATTAGTGTGTGTTTATGTGAGAAAGGCGAACTATTTTCAGCAAGGTGAGTAAAATAAAGAAATAAAGCAAAAGGTTCTTTCTGATAGTTTACATCTTCCAATTCAATTGTTAAAAGACTGTAGAAACAAAACATAAAAAGGTTAAATCAATCGATCAGATTTAATTTAAATGCGCGCACAGCTTACTCGATAAATGGATGACGCAAGTTGGACATATTCCTCAGTATTCCATAAACATTTTAGCATCTTTAACAGTGACTGACAGATCAGATAAGAAGCGTCTGCAGCCACGTATACATGTCAAACGAGAAGTTAATTGACAGGCCAATCAATGGAGAATTTTGTCACTAAACTCGAAAACGACTTTGATTGACCTAATATGCAACAGTTCAGACTATTTAAATACTTCACTTCAATAAGAAACTTTTCTAAAGGATTGTGCAATTTTAACACAAATGTTTACCAACAAAGAATATGAATTTTACACTGTTTTTTAGTCTGTTTATTATTTATTGTTAAATTTAACCAGCGAAATACAAGAAAAAAGCTCTCTAGGTTAAAAACACACCCTGTATATGTTTTATACAACAAAGTATACAAGGTGTGTTCAGAAAATAACGGGAATTGTTAAATTTCGCGGGTTCAGAGGGTCCGGTTGTCATAAAATTTTCTTTATTATGTTGGTATACATGCCCCCGAAGTATGATAAAAACTTTAGCTGTTTTCATTGTTTACTTTGTCTGTGGCAGCCGCTAAGGTAAGACGTGTTTTATGAGCTCGGCGATTTTTCGTTCGTTAATAGGAATGGATCAAAGAATTTGTATCCAATTTTGCTTAAAAAATGAAATAAATTCTGTTCAATGTTAACAAAGGCCTATAGTGAGTCTGCTATAAGTAAAACAAGAGTTTACAAGTGGTATAAGAGTTTCCAAGATGGCCGTGAAGACGTTGAAGATGACGAACGCACAAGCACATTAACAACCGATAAAAACATGGAAAAGTGGAAGAAATGGATATAAACCATCAGATAAGTCGCTGATGATGTTGGTATATCGATTGGCTCATCCCATGAAATTTTGGGTATGAAACGCGTGGCAGCAAAATTTGTTCTAAAATTTTTAAATTTTGAACAAAATTTTTGGCCAAAAACAATACTGTAACGATGCCCCAGCCTCCATATTCGCCAGACATGCCTCTGTCTGATTTTTTCCTATTCCCAAAAATAAAGAGAACCTTAAAGGGCCGTCGTTTTGCAAGCATAGATGACATTAAAAGCGCATCGCTGAAAGAACTAAAGGCTATCCCAAAGATCGAGTTTTAGAAGTGTTTCGAGTATTGGAAGAAGAGCTGGCACATGTGCATAATATCCAATGCATGGGGACTATTTTGAAGGCGACAACATTAATGTAGACGAATAAATAAATATTTGTTTCAAAAAACGAAAATTCCCGATATTTTCTGAACACACCTCGTATGTCAAAAAATCCTAAAGAATATGAACACAGAGAATCAATTTTAAAGATAGATGTTCAGTTAAACTAACTTTCTACATCGACTGGTGAGGTCCTGCCACTAAATCTTGCGACCCACTGTATAATGAATGTGTTCTCCAGAAACAGTTCTAACAATATAATTAAAAAAACCTTTAAAAAATTACAAGCAATTGCGATTTATTAGCCTTAAAGACCTGGAGACCCCAATTAGCGAAAACGACGAACCTTATTTTATAAAAACCGCATCAAAATGTTTGAAATGTAACTAAAGTAATAAACAATTATAATTACACACAATAATTGTGGACGGTATTTAGTTTCGAGTTAAATTTAGTGGATCTAGCATTTAAGATATAAAGTTCTTGTAATTGCGCTTTGATAAGCATAATAATTACCGAGCTTAAGAGCATGTAATATGCATATTATGTGTCCGTTAGACATCATTTTAATTGGACTTAATTCTTACCGATTATTTGGTATAAATTGTATCACGTCGACAAAAAACAGCGACAAGTTTTTAAAACAATTGACAAAAAACAATTCATCACGTAAAATCCATTTTTTATTGAATTTGAATAATTTGCTGGTGTTTTATTTGAACAACCATTACACTGGAATTTTATTTTCAGCTTTCAAATGTCATGACGCGGGGATCCATCAAAGTCCGACTCCAAATATTGGCTTCTCAAAGGTAATTTTTTTCAAATAGATAATTTTTAATTCGTTGCTTGAAAGAAACTTGATTCCATTTTAACAACCTGTGTCGATTTGGTAACCTTACAGGCAATTATTTGTTTATTAATTCCCCCGTTGATAGCTACATAATTATTCAAGTAAGTAATTTCGTGTGGTTAGGTACTAATACATTTTTCAATTAATTATATGGAGGCAGTTGAAAACAAAAAGGCGAGCATGCATTTTAGGCCGTGTGAAAACTTAACGTCGAATGATCGAAAATATGAAATTTATGAAAACTAGAAAAATAAATGGTTCAATAATGTGCTGCAAACACGCAAGTACGTAATTGTTTTATTTAAGAACCGAACACCGTAGATTTCCCACGATGGACTTTAAAACCGACCTGCAATTTTACCTTAAACTCTGAATACATAATTCAATCTGGTAAATGATTTTAAATAGCTGCCCTGATACGCACTTTTTAAAAACCGTATTATTATTAAAAAACGTTAAATCAAAAAAAAAGTTTTGACATAAAATTTGCTATTGAATGACCCATACTTTACACTAGTAAATTACAAAAAATTTTATAAAAAAATCTTGAAACTACAGAAAGGAAGATTATTTATGAAGAGCATCGTGTTCTTATTAAGAAGGTATGTGCTTCAATTCTGTCCGACACTGTATAACTATTCTTCGTTGGGGTCAAGATTCAAGACTTAAGAAGAAGAAGAAGATTCGCCGGACCGCAGAAACGTCAACGTAGGTACAAAGCGTACGCTGCACTGTGGTCAAATCTTCTAATCAGCTGGCCAAAAGTAATTCCTAGAGTCCAATATATATATATATTTATATAATTATTACAGCCCTTGGAAAAAAATGGGAAATTATTTATTATTTTTTCAATGAATAATAAAACGTTGTAAATATATATTGTAGTACTTGGGACTTTTGGCCGGCTAGTTGGGCGGATTTGGTTCCCGGTGCGGTCCTGGTCGCCGCAGTACGGCATAGCAGCAGGGCTCTAGCGCGCTAAGGCGCAATAGTTGAGGGCACTGGGTGGATCTGTATCATGGCGAAGAAGAAGGAAAGAAAGGCAGGCGAAGATGGGCTGCGCGCAGGGGGGGTAAGGCGGGGGGGCAGCTTTAGTGAGGTCAACGCGTGACCTTAAGCCGAGGGGTATATGGCTACTTTCCCACGGACCCGCCCGCCTGTATCTACCGCTCTTTATCTTACTCCACAGTCTGTCATTAAATATGGCAATATGTTGTAAAGTAATCCAGATACATACACAACTGGATCGGATTAGCCAGCCCGTTCCGAACGAACTTAGAAACGCTAATTCCAAAGGTCAACCCACAAACTTTGTCATTTTTAAATGGCTAGTTAAAAAATAATATTTTTATCGCACTAGTGACCTTTTAAATACACATTGACAAGTTGTGGCTTTATGGCGCTGAAGTTAGCTATAAGTGATTTGACAGTTGTCAAATGTCAAACAATCGTTAAAATAATACTTAATGTAAAAATTATTTTATTATCCCAATACAAAAATACAAAAGTATTAAAGAGATTTAGGGAAAGTGAGGTTAAATCCGTTCAAAGTTGACAGATGTCAAATGTTTAACAAATAAAATTGATTTTAAATTCTTCTTTATAGAAGATAGATAAAGTATAGTGTGCAACTCGTTTTATAAAGCAAACGCTCGTTTTTATTAAACACTCGCTCGCAAGCTTCGCTTGCGCTTAATTAAACTTGTAACTAAAATGGCATTTATGAAACTTAATACATAATAAACTATTAGGTTAAGTCTGGATTAATGGATTTGGAGGGCGTTTATTGCCCAAATGATTGTTATTTTTTATATTGTTTATACTTCCGCATCCGCTTCCGCAAAAATTCACTATTTACTTCAGTTTTCACTGCTGCTTCACTGCTGTCCTCTTGTTAGCAAGTGTCTCATCCTCTTTTTAGTCTTCTTGATGCTTTTAACTTGAACCTACAATTGTAACTTGAACTTAAAATTGTAACTTGAACTTACAATTGTAACTTGAACTTTCAATTGTAAGTTCAACCTACAATTGTAACTTGAACTTACAATTGTAAGTTCAAGTTACAATTGTAAGTTCATCCTACAATTGTAACTTGAACTTACAATTGTAACTTGAATTTACAATTGTAACTTAAACTCACAACTGTAAGTTCAAGTTACAACTCACAACTGTAAGTTCAAGTTACAATTTTAAGTTCAAGTTCAAGTTACAGTTGTACGTTTAAGTTACAATTGTATGTTCAAATTACAATTGTAAGTTCAAGTTACAATTGTAAGTTCAAGTTAATTGTAGGATAGAAATTGCAAAAATCAAAGTTAGTTTTGGCTGAAACTTGTAAAAATTTTGTTGGCCCTTCTAGGCCTTCGTAAAATTTTCCATTATGCTTACTGACGCGTCATATTTTTTGTGGGTTGAACAAGGGTAAGGCGGGTAAATGGTAAAATAAAATATATAAAAAAGCCAAACCGATTAAAGAATATGATGTTATACGTAGGCCTTCCTCTAAAAGAAGGCCTTTTTGTGTTATTTTTTTTTCAGTTTGTTCCTCGTTCCATCTATCTCATTTTTTATTTTATTTCAATGCCTAAACTAGGTAAACATTGTTCTTAAACATACAGTACCTACTAAACATTCTAAATTTTGAGTTAAAGTGAACGCTTTAAAAAATGTAATTAAAAGTGAAGATGATCTTTATACATAAATAACATAAATATAATGCATAAAAAGTTTAATGGGCGTGACGAGCGGAACGCCCATGCTCTTTTAAGATAACAGCTCTTCCCAGTTTTTGTAAATCATTCTATCAGAAACAAATACGCCTCTTTACCTTTTAATCATAACGCGCAGCGTTAAAAACTCATTTTTTTTAAACGTTTAATAAAATGTGCAATCTATTGATAATTTGACTAATGACAGCAGTTTATAATATCCTTATTATATATTAGTTATAATGAAAATTATATTACATCTTGAAAATCATAGAATGACTTGTATAAAATTTTGAATGGTGGTAATTTAATTAACCCATTAATGAGTACACCCTGTATAATGATTGAAATCGAGTTATCAATTACTGATCGAAGTATAATGGTTGTAGCAATAGTGCTCGCATGGTTAATAATATTTATCTACTCCTATTGCATAATATAACTCATTATTCACGTTGTTAGGCCGACTTCAATATTCACTGTGATTTGAACCAATTGGGTTTTAAATTGGAGGAAGGGGACTGTAATAGTATTTAAAATTGGTAAAAAGTGAGGTTAACCTTTTGACAGATGTCAGATTTTATTTATTTATTTTTGAAAATCATTTAGTTAACCACTTATTGGAGTAGATAAAGTATAGTATTACACTCGAGATTATGCGCATTATACATGTTTGTTATTTATTTGTTACAGGCTCTCAGTGGATTTTTGATGATGACGACGCAAAATGGTAAATTATTATATATTTCGGATAATGCTGCCGAGTACCTGGGTCATTCCATGGTGAGTGTCATACAGGTAAGCTTTTTACCGGCTTACATTCTCAATTTTACTATATTTTTACTTATTTTAACGAAATTAAAACACATTATTAAGCTTTGCAATTTCAAACTTTACTATACTTAGTTTTGGTCTCATCAGTGCCGGGTAGCCATATTTAGATGTCACTTTCAGGTGAAGTTTATAATGTCAAATTGGGGCAAAATTGTTAAAAAAAATGTATATAGAAAAATTGTTTACCAATAATTGACTTATGGTTATTTTCTTGCTTATACCGATTTCGATTCGATAGATAATATTTAAAAATAAAATAATCACGTAAACAAGTTAAATAGATGCAAATAACTGGGTAAGTAGTTATATAAATTACATTATAAAAACAATTATCTATAATTTTTTTTTTCATACAACGTACAAGATACGGATTTATAAACATTTATATGCTTCAAGTGTTTGTAAATATCAACATTTAATTATTTTTTAAATCATATTAATTAAAATTTTTATTTAATAATCTGAGCTGATGTTTATTCTTTAATAATTATTTATTATAGAAGAAAATAAAATGTTATTTTATGGTCGTGTTTTTATAGCCTAAATATGGACCCGTTTTGTAAGAAAAATGCCAATTTTTCTTCAGCTATTTTGATTTACAACTGTTTTTTATTTATAAATTATTATATTCAACAATTACTATTACATTAATTTATACATTTTATTAAATATTTAGAACAAAATCAATAAAAATCATAATATCATTTTAATTTCAAAATATTAGTGGCAATATTTTTGTAGTACAATTAAACAAATTGTGTTATCTAAACTTAAATTTTATTTCAAACGAACTTTCAATTGTAAGTTCAACCTACAATTGTAACTTGAACTTACAATTATATCTTAAACTTACAATTGTAACTTGAACTTAAAATTGTAACTTGAATTCACAATTGTAACTTAAACTTACAATTGAAAGTTCAAGTTACAATTGTAAGTTCAAGTTACAGTGGTACGTTTAAGTTGCAATTGTAGTTTCAAGTTACAATTTAAGTTCATCCTACAATTGTAACTTGAACTTACAATTATAACTTGAACTTACAATTGTAACTTGAACTTTCAATTGTAAGTTCAACCTACAATTGTAACTTAAACTTACAATTGTAGGTTGTAGGTTGAACTTACAATTGTAAGTTTATCCTACAATTCTAACTTGAACTTACAATTATAACTTGAACATACAATTGTAACTTGAACTTTCAATTGTAAGTTTAAGTTACAATTGTAGGTTGTAGGTTGAACTTACAATTGTAAGTTTATTGTAAGTTCAGTAAGTAATTGTAAGTTCAAGTTATAATTGTAGGTTGTAGGTTGTAGGTTGTAGGTTGAACTTACAATTGTAAGTTTATCCTACAATTTTAACTTGAACATACTATTATAACTTGAACTTACAATTGTAACTTGAACTTACAATTGTAACTTGAACTTACAATTGTAACTTGAACTTACAATTGTAATTTGAACTTACAATTGTAACTTGAACTAACAATTGTAACTTGAACTTACAATTGTAATTTGAACTTACAATTGTAACTTGAACTTACAATTGTAACATAAACTTACAACTGTAAGTTACAATTTTAAGTTCAAGTTACAATTGTAAGTTCAAATTACAATTGTAGGATATAAATTGCAAAAATCAAAGTTAGTTTTGGCTGAAACTTTTGTTTTTGTTGGCCCTTCGTAAAATTTTCCATTATGGAAAATAAAATATTTTTTTTACATTTCTACACGACAAATGTAATTTTACAGGAGGATCTGCTAATTCACGGCGACAGTGTATACGATATAATAGATAAACAAGATCATCAAGCGATTCAATGTGAATTGGGCAGGCCTGTCAATAGCGGATCAAATACTAATCCGTCAGACGAGTTTCGATTGTTTTTGTGTAGAATGAACGTCTCCCGCAACGCTCGAAGGCAAATGAGATTCGGGGATCAAAAGGTAAGTCCACCGTGTTAATAATAATCCATCAAATTATTTCTATCGCAATGAATTCGAAATGTTAGTGTGCCAGGTCGATAGGTTTTTTTGCTTGAATAAAATCCGAATTGATTGAGTTTATAATAACCATGTAACAAAAATTAATCGCGCAGTACCACACATTGACAAGTTCTGGCTTCATATCCTTTTAGTCACTGGCTGAAGTTAGGCTACGCCCGTGCCTAATAAAAATTCTTGACTTGAAAAAATACAAACTTTGAATTTGAATTTTGTCCGACCATTGCGACCGAATCGAAAACTGTATTACGGCTGCAAAAAGTACGGAGATTAATCTGTGGTTAGCGCTTGCCTTTCACTTGGCTGCGTTTCAAATGAATTGAGCAAATCTTAGTGCACTGTCGGTCCACCCACACCTAGAAAACTTACCTCACTCAACGAAAAGGCATCTATCTGAATTTGCAATGCAATGTATTATAATTTATTATTCTCGGAATGAATACATTAAAACTACTCAATCTGGCCACCCCGTGTTCTGCTTCAATTTAAGTGGCACTCGCATTTTGTATGTTTTTACAGGTAGTTTTAGTGCAAGGAAGGTATCTGTCGTTTCTTCCGTTGTGCAGCCGAAATGAGCCAGTTTTTTTGGCCACGTGCACTCCGGTCGCCATGCCGGAAACCAGGGAATGCGTAGTACAGGGAGCCACTAATGTTTTTACCTCCATCCATTCCATGGACATGAGATTTATGCATATCGATAACAAGTAAGTACACCGTTTTTGCTTATTAGCCTGTATAAAATGCATTTCGAGCTTTAGCATAAAAGTGGCCAAAATACTTTGTAGATACGAAACAGTCAATTTAATATTTACTAATAAAACTACACAGCTTCCGTAAAATCCATCAGAATTTAAATGAATAAACAACATTGGTGGTGGCGTCAATAAATTTTTGATTTGGTTAGTAATATTTTCGTTGATACGTCGAACTAAAACGAGTAGTGGTTGTTTTTGATGGTACAGTATTGGTAGTAGGTATGTGTATGAAAAATGGTCGTAAGGTTCAGAGGCAAAGAAGTGGTGTACAATGTGTAGAGCAGAGGGCTTTGTTTGCCTGTACTATAAATAAGCGCGCTCGTGATAGGATGGCAGGACGGCGGTTGGCCGGGCCATGGACCGTTGGTACGTTGGGCGCTGGTGGTGGTTGCAAGGGGGGGCAAGGGGGACAGGTCACCGGGTATCGGTGGAACCGGTGACATCGGTTGCCATAAATCACGACATCTGTTACATTTGTGTTGCAGCGGCGAATTCTATCTAGGCTTTCAGCGCTCTGATCTCCAGGGGGTGTCCTGGTATCGGCTGCTGCATTGGGAATGTACGCGTGAGGCTCAAACAAAACATCGACTCAGTAAGTACCATACAGTCGAGCGAACAATACCTACAGACTACCCACACATCTATGACACAATTTGCATTTTTATTACCCATACCATACTAAGTCATCTAATTAACTTTCAGTAACTCAATCAGAGCAGGAGCGCTCCTGCATACTGCTGGCGAAATTTCAGCGACGTTCCGGCGAATGGTTGTGGATGCATTGCGTTTTGCAAGTGAAGGAAAGCTCGGAAAGCAACCAGCAACCTGTAATAGTGTGCACGAATCAAGTGCTAAGCGAGGCTGAAGCTGCCGTAATGCGCACCAATAGCTGGCTCTACCATTACTATTCCGTCCAAAATAAACTTCAGTACGGCTTGAGCTACGACGTCGGCCCTTCGTCGAGACTCCTCTACTACCCGACCGACCACCCGCAAGGCCCTGACTTCGCCACAAACCACGAAACGACCAATTACACGCACATAAACGCGATGACGCCTTCATTGCAGCCGCATCTCACTCACCTGACAACCCAAACCCAGCACCAGAACCCGCACCAACGGCACCACCGACGAACGGACGCAGAGCCAGTAGATTACTCGTACAGCAAACGCAAGCCCAAAGAACTCGAGAACCTCGAACTGGACGTGGCCGACGTGGATGCGCCCGATCACGACGGCGGCGGCGGCAGCGGGCTGCTGGTCGTGTCGCACGCCTCGGAACGACCGAGGACGCTCCTCAAAGTCGATCCGAGCGAGCTGATGGACCAGTGGAACCCCAGCCCGCCCTGGTCCGACACTCTGCAGAAGGTTCCGGATCTGTGCCACCAAGAGTTGAGCCCCTACATCGGGAGCACTCCTCCGACTCCCACGGCAACTCCGAGCACCCACTCCGGGAGTGCGTTCTCCTTCGACTGGATGCCGGAGCAGTTCGTTCCCTCCTTGACTGCCTCGCTGACGGTGGATAACAACGAAAGGCAGATTTACTGGCCAACAGAGCACAGGCTTTTTCCCCTGCAGCCCCCTCCGAAGAGGAAACACCCCCCTCCAGGCAGATCGGACTCAGCTGATCGTGATACACCTTAGTGTCAATTAGTGTGATTCATTAGCTACCTATTTCATTGTGCCAAGTGCAATATCGTACCGAACATTTTATTATTATTATTATTAATATTATTATTATTACTATTAATATTATTTTATTTATTTAAAGTAAGTAGGAGAATTTCATAGTACAATTTTATTAATTTAATCTCAACGATTTTAATTTTAGTTGTACAAAGAAAATTATACATATTATACAAAATGTTCCTACAATTCACAGTGTATTTAATGATTTATATTTATATTTTGTTTGTTTATTTGTTGTTTGTCGATACCATGTTTTAGCTTTCTTACTTCTTAGTACGTTTCAAGTATTTAAAAAATGTTCCCGAACAAGCAACACAAAGAAAACGTCCAGTATTATAATGTATTGTAATGTTCATATCTGTATTATTATACAATAAACAATTATAAAAAAAGTATTCAAAACACATTAACATTAAAACCCTTGGCACACCTCAAAAAAACCTAAACCACCTCATCCGTTTTAACAGCATACGCTTCTTCGTAAAGCTCGTCTTCATCTTCATTGTCTTCAATATTCGGCAAATCAGATTTCTGATTGTGGTGATTATCAATTAAATCAAAAAGAGATTGGAAAAATATCATTGTACATTGGAAAGTACCATCGCTGAGTTTCTTAAAACCTTTTTCTAAAACAGCGACAAAATCAATAAAGCAATAATGCAAATTAAATTTAAAGCCCACCTGAAGGAATAGCTTTATCATTTATCACGATACTTTGCTTTGCAAGCGCCGCTATGAACCTCTTCAACATTTTCTCTTGGTCATCCTTGCTTATTGGTTGAACTTTCGATAGAAACCGAAGCATATACTCTATTAAATAGGCGTCTTCCTAAAACACAATCTCAAATGGAAATCATCTGCTTTGATCCAACAAGAATCAGAATTTGTTTGAAACTTATACCCATACGACTCTTGAATGAAGGAAAGGTTTTGAACTGGTATCTCCAGTCGTCTTCTGAAGACCTTTCCTTCATTCAACATTGAACCAACTTCTTATTGATGCTTAAACCGAACTCAGAATTACTAATCCCGTTAGGTTTTTGAAAAATTCTAATTCTCTATGGAGGAATTTTGAGGTAGAAATGAAAAAATTAAAACATACCACTGGAATTTTTCGGAAGCAGGCGTCAGTTTGTTTATACAAAATAACGATATTCTCAAAACTGTGCAATGTCAAAATGGGCGTCTTCAAATTCTCCAACCACTCGTACAAAAGCGCGGCCAAAATTTTCAAATTCGTCTCCCTCGATAACCTCAACCAGCCTAACTGCGAGTTATTGATTTGATTTTGGTACTGCCTTATAGCCCTCCTGTAAGGCACGCCCAACTCGTGGTAGTCCACCAGGAGCGCATCCACCAAGCTTGTGGCATCCTGCGTGTTGAAATCTTCAGCCGGTTGATCTTGAAGGAAGTTCCGTTTGATTTCCAGCTTTTTGAAGCAGCTGTTGTGGAGTAGGAGCTCTTCCCCCATGTCGTCTCCATCCAACGTGCTGAATTCGGAGAATGTGTCGCTGATGTCTCCCGATTCTGAAGGATTTGGACTTGACGGAGCCGAATAGGTGTCATTGGTCGGGGAAGTTGGAGATTGCAGTTTTTCATTGTCTTGAAAGATGTCTGAAATATAAGCAAGTTTTGATGGTGAGGTGATAAAGGTAGGTACTCACTATCAGTACTAATACAATTGATGCTGTAAATGCTGTTGTTTCTGTGGAGATTATCTTGTAGTGTGGAGGTATAAAAATTGGCGGTGTATGATACGCTAGAGGGGGGGAATTCATCGACCCAACAGGCACACAATTTCAACATTCTTTCGCATATAAAATGAATAATCTGAAAATTAACGCACTAGAAAAAAACATTGATTTTTTATTGTTTACCTTTGGAATATACTTAAAGTTTCTTTCGTCGTAACCATGGAGATATATTTGTTGTCTACGCAAGAAACGTTGCAGTGAAAATTGGTTCATATACTTATCCTCACTAATATTATCTCTACGATCAAAAACACATCAAATAAACATGTACTTAATGAAACATTTAACCAGGTACCTAATGAAAAAAGTAATGGTTTTTGGAAGAATAAATTGAGCAAAATGTCGAACGCATATTATTTGGCCTTTAGTTTGCACCGACCCAGGCCTCTTTAGTCTGACATATCGTATAGCGTCATTTGCAGAAACTCTTAAAGAGTATACTAGATAGCAGGATATTAAAACACCTGTCCTGCCCAATCCTAAAAAGTATTTAAACTAATATAAAAGTTGAAAAAAAAGTTCGTTATACCTGCATGGCAATGTATGGCAACACGGCCTTCTGTTAAGGCAAAAGCTATGACTTTTACCATGTTCAATAGCCCCAATAAAGTGGCATCTCCATAATCTTTCCATGTGAAATTGTAATAATAAACTAAAAAAAAATATTTTATTCGAAATCGGCAGTAAAGTACTTAACAATCGGCAGTAAAGTAAAATAAATCGGCAGTAAAGTAGTCAACAATGCCGATTTAATACGAGTATTGTATGCAACCCTGTATACATTTTAAGATGTGTCTACTGCTCCTCAGCACGAGGTTATTTATAATAATTTCCACATTCGTGATAAAAAATACGACTTTACTGCCTTGATGCATAAATAACTATTCTATAAAATAAAAGTAGCAATACATTAAATCGATTCATGCATAGTACAGAATTGCAGATATGCCTGGTAAATAAGTAATAATAAATAAGGGGTAAAATCAGTGGTGTTTTACATTTACCATCTCCCAAAATGCCTGAATAAATAACAAGAAAATGTTGGGTTGACTTACTATTATTTTCCATAAACATGTTTGGGTCATACGAAAAGCCTGACTCGTTTAATGGTTGACCACAGCTTGCATGTTCCTTCGGGCATTGTAAATTAATAATGCTTTTTATACCCAAACTGGAAGTAAAATAATTATTAATATCGACTAAAAGATTAAATTGTCACGATATACCTCTCGAACTGTTGAATAACGTTTTTTTGAATAATTGATAACGTGCTTGGTCTAGCCATTGCCAAAATGTCATCTGTTACCCTATAAATTAAATAAAACATAAACATGGATTGTTCTATAGCAATTCCAGGTGCGAACTTGAGACTTCGTCACCCGGCTTTTGTTTCAAGTGTGCTACACGAGACTGTTTCGGTCTGTTGGGCCCATCAGTACCGGGTAGCACGCTATATATGCAGCAGGGTATAGCCACATCGGTGAACAAATGATAATCAGCTCCATCTACCTTTCAAATGACGCTTCTAAATATACAACAGTTGATATGTAAATTGACGTGTTTCGCCAATTTTTCATAGTGTTAAAGAAAGTACTGTTCGTTTAAACATTGTCACCATGTTTGGTGTGCACAATTAAAATATTCCAACGATAATACGGGTTAAATCGATATTTTCAAAATTAGATTGTATGGTATTACCGTAAAAATTGATTTTTAAATGAACTTTTGATAAAGTTTGTTTTGTACACATTTCACTTAATTATGTGTACATTATTGTATTTTTCACTCAGGAATAATTGTCCTCAAGGGATTTTTTATGGAATGAAATATAGTATTAATAATAATATTATACAGGGTGGACCATCAAAAATAGTCCAGTAAGGTTACGCCTTTGTATGTGAAAATAAAAAAAAATTTCAAACCCGCATATTTCTGATTAGTAATTACGTATTATATAAAAAACCGTTTTTTTAGATACTCCAACATTTAAATTCGCATATATATTTTTTTGATTTTGACCATCATTAGTAGGGTTGGAAAAATTTTACTTTATGCTTGTACTTGAAATTTTACTTGAAATTTTCATGACATTTATGAAATTTATGAAATTTATTGAAACTTTCAATAAATTTCAATCACTTTAAGCGTAATATATTAATATTGATATAAGCCCACTCGGGGACCATGGCAAATTGCCTCTCTTACCTCCTACCCCTCTGTGGGCCCCTGCACCAATAATATAAATAGTAAATACCTATGTTTACCACAAATTTCTTGAGATTTCCTTTTAAAATATTTTTAAAATTACTAAAACTAAAAGAGATATAGCACTTTTTGGTAAGCTAATGAGATTGTGCCACTTTCATTGTTTTATATTTATATATATTTATTATTTTTAATTATTTTACTGAAATTTTTTTATCCGTTTTCCGATGCAATTATAGCAAAAGTAAAAGTTTAAATTAATCATGAGTTTTAAAAAAAATTTAAAGTCTGATTTAATTTGCAAATTAAATTGGTAATTGAATTAAATTATTTAAATTAATTTTTGCATATAAGTAACAATAATTACTTATAGTGTATTCAAATCCAAGCCGAACTAAACAAAAACGCCCAGACGCTTGATAAGTCGTTCTTATTGGTCGATTCGGAATCTGTTGTAAATTATTATTAAAGGTCCCAGGGGAGGCCGCATGTGAAATTTATGCGAAATTTTCAGTAAATTGCGAAACTTTCAATGAAATTTCTGAAACTTTCACAGGCAATGTTGAAATTTTCGGATTGAAAATTTCATTTGAAATTTTCAACTGTCCCAACCCTAATCATTAGTAATGTAACTGTGGGTTCTAATTAAATTGACAAAAAATAAATTATGCACATTCATAAAGATTTCACCAATGATCCTTGGTTAAAGTAATTTACTAAAAATAATATTTATGAATTCGAATGTATGCATATCGTAAGTTTTTTCATAATATCGCAAAAATAATATGGTATCGAATAGAATAATTTATTTTCAATTTAAAAAAATTTACTGCCTCGAAAATGCATATTATCTTGCTAATATTTATTAAAATATTTATTGCTAAAATATGCCATTTAATTATGAATTTTTTAAAAATTTAGTGAATATTCACGTTCTGAAAATTTTTGAATACCAAAAAATGAATGTTAATTTAGCGTATACTTAAAAGTTAAACAAACCGTATTAATTGGCCTCCACAATTAAACTATTGCTTATTATCGAGAGAATATGTTTTTTATTGAAATAAAAAATACCAGTTGATTATTAAGGAAAATTGATTGTCGATAGCATGAAAGTAATTTTAATAATTGAAAAAGTGACACCTGTTGTTTATATTGCATGCATTTATAACATAAATACCAACCAATGAGAGTAAATCCCTTGGATTGCGATGCTGTCCGCTTTCCAGTTTTCGGGGTTTTCGTATTTGCAATTCACCCCCCCACAAAACACCGAGCACTGCACCCCCTGCGGGGTCAATCTGCGTATGTGATCCGATAATTTGTTGTAATTCGCTTGCACTTGCAACTTGTTGGACTGGCGCGGAGCTAGCTGCTCCATAGTTGACAAATAACTAAGTGTTGCATAGGGGTAGCGACAAATAAATGTTATGAAAGTCCTGATATGATCAGAATGTCCACATTTTTAATTCTTGCATGTAGGCGCATGCTTAGACTTATTGGATATTATCAGCATAATAAACTATAGAAATAATGGTTGTTAAGGTAAACTAAATGGGTATTACGCGCGTTTAAAGGGAGCCACCGTTTTACGCTACAACAGTTTAGATGGACAAATTCCTATGTCTTCTAAATTTTATCTAAAACGATTTTCTATTAATTAATGCAATTAAAATTGCCCGTGAGTTTTTAATGTTACAGTCAAAAGGTTAAAAAGGCATGAGCACAATTCCGCGCGCGTTTTTAACTATTTAAAAACTATGAAAAAATCAGTGGTTTTTAAATCATTTAAAAAAAACTGAAAACCTGTCTAAACCAAAAATTATAACTTTAACGTTATTTCTGGGAATATTGAAAAAAATAAATTATATGTATGTAAACATTAACATTTTCATCCGATTTGTGATTTTTTTCGCCTGCTAGATACCACCACCATTTCCCGTTATGTTTAAATAAAAAAAATACCCATAGAAGGATACTTGATGCACCCTAAGGTGGTGGTTAAAATTTACATTTTTTAAAAGCTTCGTTTAGATAAAAAAACAATGGATTTTTTTTTTAATTAAAAACAACACGTGCCTCAAGACGATCTAAGTTAATTTTATAATCATGTCTTTTCTGAAAATTAAGATTTAAAAATTATTAACAATGAAATAAGTTTACCATGGAGTGAAATAATCTAGATATTAAAAATAAGTTTGTACTAATATTTTTTTAAATAAAAATATCAATTTAAATATCTTCAATTTTTTTATTTAATAGACCAAATAAATCAACTGGAAAAAGTTTTGAATTTAAATTTTTGTCTATTGTTATTTTGATGAAGTATTGTTTTTTTATTGATTTGGGTTCAATAATTGTTTAGGTATATTTCGAATAAAATTTAATTTTTCAAAAAAAATTCCCCAAAAAACATGATTATACCAAAAAATTAACTTGGATCGTCTTGGGGCATGTGTTGTTTTAAATAAAAAAAATTCGCAGTGTTTTTTCATCAAAAAGATGCTTTTTAGGGGGCGTCGCAAAAAATTTAATTTTTAACGACCACCCTAATGCACCCTGTATATTTATTATTTAGACAGTTGTCTGAAATGGTCTTTTATGGAATATATATGATTTTGTCCCTCCAAATTGTCAAACTTAAAAACTGTGCGGAGTGATTGCGCATTGCGTCAAACTAATTTTATATTTAATTATTAACTACACTATATGAAATCATAAGGCATTAAACAAATTTATTAAGAGAACATATTATCTTTTAAGTCCAAAAGCAGCAATTATTTTTTTTTCATTTACGGCCAAAATGTAATTTTTATTTACAACCAGCGTATTCAAATGTGGCAATTTTTCCCCTCACTACAAAACAATTTTGTGTGTTCGCATGTTTTATTTACGAGACTCATTCATCTTAATTAGGTTAGACATATTGAAAAAATATTTTTAGATTTATTTTATTTCGTATATAACCAGCAATGCGCAAAATATACTGTAAACAATTATCAAAGCAAATCTTAGATGAATTTTCTGGATAACGTCTAAATTAATGCTAATACGAAAAATACTTTTCCGAACCAAAAACGGAAATATTACACTAAGATTAGGTGCCCTAATATTATTATTTACATTATGTTAATTTAGGTTTATAAATATTATCCGTTAAATTATAGAAAAATTTGTTACAAACTTTCAAAATGAACCATATTAAATTTATGATACTAGGCAACCCACATAACTCTCACCTGCGCGATATAGTTCTTTAAATATGTAGTTTCTCTGATTGTTTTATTGCTTTCTACAGAGATCATTTTCTATAGAAAGTTAAGTATCAAATAAAAAATCCACACCCTGTTCTGTTATGTTCAAGGGAACAAACCTTTTATACACTTACCATTAGGCAACCCAGTTGACACGTTTAAATTTATAACCGTTCGAAAACGTGTGGAAAGGTAAATAATATCGAAAAAACTGGCTAATTGAAAATAATTCGTTTTTTATTAATATAATTATAATACATTGTTTATAAATGATAGAGTATGATAACTATATGGATACTAAACTAAAATCGACTAAAAAAAAATACTATAAATGAATTACAGTTGTATCTACAAATGCTTGAATGAGGAATAAACGTAATAAACTAAGATTTAAATATTTAGCCTTATATAATATTATACATATTAAAAACGGACTGATGTTAAGACAAAGGTTCGCGAGTGGTGTTTGGCAAAAATAGACAAAGCAGACCTCCGCCTATTAGCAACGCTGCCACTATGAACGTTGGCGCGGGACAGTATTTATCCAGCAGGGTTGCTATTACGATGTTGCCGATAATACCGCCCAAACGGGCCGCCACCATCGAAACAGCCACGCCTGTTGCCCTATAATAAAAAAATATGTTTAAACCATCTATTAACTGTAAGTAATTAGAATAATGTATTTTATCTACTCCTATTGCGTAATTTGTGTTTTTTTCGTATATAATAATACACATTATAAATAATGAACTCATTATTCACGTTGTTAGGCATCAGTCAATATTCACTGGGTTTTAAATTGGAGGAAGGGGACTGTAATAATATTTAAAATTGGTAAAAAGTGGGGTTAACCATTTTCAAATATGTCAGATTTTATTTATTTAATTTCAAAAATCATTTACTTATGTTCTTATTGGAGTAGATTATGCGCATTATTCACTCGGATTATTTAACGCAAACCTCATGCTCGTGAATAATGCATTATCTCTCGTATAATCATATACTATTATTTTTGCATAAATATTATCAATGTAAAAATTGAATAATTGGAATGCAAATTTGAAAATGAATTTTAATATTTCTAACTGCAAAATTTTGACAAAATAGCAAGACAGGTCTGGTTTTTGTGGACTTTGAATTCTTACCTGAGATTGGTTGGAAAAATTTCCGTGATCAAGCAATCTAAAGCTGCATTTCCACAAGAAATAACACTGCTGAAGACTGCCGACACAATCAAGTTGTGGGTTTTGTTATAAACAAAATACATTGAAGCTGCGCACAGACCTGACGATATAGTACTGAAAACTGAAGAAAAAAAATGTTTTAATTGCACCATAAGGAAGTTGTTTGATGTAACAACAAACCTAGGAAAAATTTGCGACCGAGCCTGTCCATGCCCAAGACAGCAAAGATGTTGCTAGGTAAGGCAGCCGCGACGGTAATCAAGGACTCCATGAACACGGCACTCTCGATTTCTTCGGAACAATGGTCGATGCCGTTTTCAGCGCTTAATTTGACCACGTATTCGGTCACAGCGCAAACTGAAGCTGTCTGATTTGGATAAGCAATCGAATATTTGTCGAAACGGTTAAATAATTCAGGAAACCACATCATCAGACCGTAATACCTAAAGAAATGTTGATAACACCTTGATGGCTCTTCTTGAGGGAGGATACTTACCCAATATGGAATGTGAAGTTGATAGTAATTGAAATAATGGTGAACCTTAAAACTGGCGATACGAAGAGCTGTCTGCTGTTATCGATAATATCGCTGAGCATGTTCCTGTATTTCGAACGACCTGCTTCTTTAGTTTCTTGCTCGCTAGTTTTGTGACTCTCCTCTAATATCAAATGTTTGACAGGATAGTCTTCTGGATCGTTGCCTGTGTTGATGTGATAGATATACTTGAAAATGTTGTGAGCCTTCTCGCTTTTGCCCCGACTCAACAAAAACTTCGGACTCTCCGGCAAAAAGCACAAAAGCGCTGCCACAATGAACGATGGAATGGCGCATATCAACAAGAAAATTCTCCAAGAATTGTAAACGAACGATGCAGTTTGAATGCCGATCTTCTGCGGGATTATGATCCAGGCGAGACCAGCCACGAATAAATTGCCCAAAGTCCAAAAGGCTGCCATGAACGACAACATGGAGCCTCTCTTGGCTTTCGGCTGGAATTCTGCGAAATAGGACCATATTACTGGCCCGCTGCCCCCCAATCTACAAGAAAAAGACAACCACTCATTTAATGAACACATTGAGTGTTAGTTTAGGTTACTTACGCCGCCCCGTTGAGGAATCTGAAAAGCATGAACAGCTCATACGACTGACTGAAGCTGGAAGCAACAATGCATATGGCGTTCATGAAAGAACTAGCGATGAGCACCTTCTTACGGCCCAGCGTGTCTGCGACGGAGCCCCACGTGTAGGCGCCCGCCATCATGCCGATGAAGATGATGGAGTTGAGCCATCCCTTGGTGTGTGTGTTGAGGTTTAAGTCGCACTGAGCCGAGGGCAAGATGAACGACATCGAGATGACGTCCATCTCCTCGGAGGTGCTCACGAAGCCGCATACTGCTAGCAGAAGGTAGTGAAACTTGCCATACTCGGTCAGTTCGATAGCGCGCTCGAAGTCTGCCTTGTCGCTGCTGCCCTTTTCCACATCCGATGCGGGGATTTTTCCCAAATCCTTAAGGGTTGCAAAGTTTGCGAGCTCTAGATCCTTTGATCCGCACCCGTTTAGAATGCGCTCGTCATTTACATCACAATCTGCTTTGTGTTTTGAAACAGGTTCACCTTCTACCATTCTACGATGTAACGAAAGGGATTTCTTTTCCAACGCGCTTTTATCTGGTTTATTTGCTTGGTTGCAAGGTGCTTCCTCTAGTTCTTACTCTTCGGGCGGCGGCTGGCAATGGGGGCAACGGGCAAGAGTTTACCTTAGTCTCTGCAACAAAAATACAACATAAACATACATCCCAAAAGGACAACTTTGATGATACCTTAAACAAAATTTTTGAAATATACCCCAACACCAAAACAAAACACAAAGTGCTTAAAGTTCTTTTTCCCAACGATGTTGGCATCTTCAGAAGCAAAGTGTATCTCAGTTACTTACTTCTGAAGATGCCAACATCGTGCCAACTTTGTGTTTTGATTTGGTATTGGGGAATATTTCTAATACTCGTATCCCAAAATTTGTTTCATTTACTTTTTTGAAGATCAGATATTGTACTCTCTAAAAATGAATTAGTCAAAAAAGCAGCCACTAATAATTCTCGTCAACAGCATTTTATATCCCGGCCATTTAGCAGTCAATTCCCACGTAAAATTGACTGCTGAATCCAAAAAGTTATAAAGTGGAACAGTTTTTGAGATATAGTCAATATGGAATTGACTATATCTCAAAAACTGATCTACTTTTATAACTTTTGAGGGCATTTTCGGATTCAGCGGACAATTTTACATAGGAATTGACTGGGATACAAAATGCTGTTGACGAGAATTATTAGTGGCTTCTTTTTCACTTTGAAAACTAGTAATTTTTTACTGTTTCCCCTTTAAGAGAGTACTGATCGAAAGTTGTGTATCAAATTAAATTAAGGCAATGGAAGTCTGAAACTGAGATTAATTCAAGTTCTTCTACGTTCCAACAAAAAACTGCAAAAAAGCGATATACAGGGTGTCCCAAAATTGGCGGTCCAAAGGGTAAATGTATAATTAAAATTTGTAAAAATGCAGGAGTTACTTAATTATTAAAGCAGCTAGTCCGATAGAGTATCCCAAAATTTGTTTCATTTACTTTTTTGAAGATCAGACATTGTACCAGCAGCCACTAATAATTCTCGCCAGCAGCATTTTATATCCCGGACATTCAGCAGTCAATTCCAACGTAAAATTGTCTGCTGAATCCAAAAATGTCGTCAAATGTTATAAGAGTAGAACAGTTTTTGAGATATAGTCAATTTTCCATATAATATGGAATTGACTATATCTCAAAAACTGCTCTACTTTTATAACTTTTGAGGACATTTTCGGATTCAGCGGACAATTTTACATAGGAATTGACTGGGATACAAAATGCTGTTGACGAGAATTATTATCACTTTGAAAACTAGTCATTTTTTACTGTTTCCCCTTTTAGAGAGTACAGTAGTACTCTAGTAGATCAGTAGATCGAAAGTAGTGTATCAAATTAAATTAAGGCAATGGAAGTCTGAAACTGATATTAATTTAAGTTCTTCTACGTTCCAACAAAAAACTGCAAAAATCGATATACAGGGTGTCCCAAAATTGTAAATGTATAATTAAAATTTGTAAAAATGCAGGAGTTACTTAATTATTAAAGCAGCTCGTCCGATATAGCAGAAACACGGCTTTCTTATTGGCGGCCTTAAAAATTAAATAACTCCTGCAATTTTGAGAGTAAATGAAAATTTCCTGTATTTTCCAATGCCGATTAAAAAAACGATGCCTAATTGTATTTGCATTTAATTAATTAGCAGCGGTTATAAGGACAGCAAACAGATTTAATTTTCTCACAATTATTTTTATTTTTGCAATTATTTCATTTTTGAAGGCAGTGATGCAAGGTACATATATTATGCACTTGGCTAAACAAAACTAAAAGGTTTTTTTTAGGCTGATAGGAAACTAGTTTTTAATACTTTCTCTATTGCAAATAAAAATCCAATACATCAATTTGCTAAACATGTGACAATGAAAAAAATAAACACAACTGCCTAATTAAAAAATGTGCGTATTATGTAAGTTATTTATTAATTTGTATATGCTGGTTTAATTACTATTACTATACTTATATGAATTGTCCAATTGGCAGTTATCAAGTTAATCTTGTTTTAATTACAATATTTATGAGGCTCAGCTAAACGCTTTTACGCATTTTCTTTTGTTTATTTTGCTATTTATAATCTCTAAATGAAATAGAAGTCCAGTGCCAAGATTAGATGTTTATTTTTTAAACAAAATTATTCGCCAAGGTTCTATCTTCTGGTAATATACACTGTTTTTGTTTATTTTTATTTAATACTTTCATCTCATCTTAATGTTTACTGTGTATCTACATATTTTTTTCTAGCTTATTTCATAGTAGCTTTTGCTGCACGTGTATGCAAATGTAAAAGTTATGAATATTTAATCTAAAAACGCATTAAAAAACTTTATTTTTTTGAATTAAAGTATGGTTTACTTAACACAGTAAAAAAATATTTATTTGTAAATTTGAAAATATTTAAATAAATTTCAATAATACTCGTGTCTTTTGCCGTGAAATGTTTGTCTAAATATTTATTACAGTGACATTGACATGTTAGTAACCTATTCATTTTTATTATAATTTGTGACAATTTTGTTTAAAACTGTTTTTCCATAAACAGAGGCGGAATAAATCTAAAATGACTACAATACCCTGTATAGTTTGTTATTAATAGTAGTGTTGATTAAACACATCTGGTCTGATTGGGCTGATTGTAAATGTCAAAACAAAAACAATTTAATTTTCAATAAATTTAACATTGTAATTTTTAAAATAGACATGTGAAAAAAAATGTTTATTTTTTATTACCACACTAATATCTAATTGAATAAGTGCTCAAGAATTTAGGTTTGTATTAATTTAATTATTTTTAAAGCGTTTTCGAGAAATAGCAATGACTAGTCAGCTGTATCATTAAATATTTATATAGATATAGATTTAATTTTAATATTTTCTTCCTTCAAAGCGTTTATTTTATTCGGTGCCCCCTGTATAATAGGAAATGCATTTGCAAAGAATTGTAAATGTTTTTATGGTGTAAGTGAAACATACAGGATTACCTCCAGCAGTACACATCAATTTACCGCTTGCCCATATAAAGTTTCAAGTTTATTTCATTGAGTAAAGTGTGCAAGGTATTCAATTCATCTGCTCATCAAATAAGACGTTAATCAATTAAAAAATGACTCATTGTTTTTAATTGTTTTAATTAGTTGTTCTTAGTGACAATTGGTCAGTTTTTCGAAGCAACTAATTTATCTTAATTTAAAAAAGCCGATTTGAACAAACAGTTTCTTGTTATTTGAAATTAACTTGTTTTTAACAGTTTATACCTTCAAAATAATTTAGTTACCGGACTGAAAACAAACAAAACGAGATCTACTTAAATCCCCAACAATAAATAATATAAATTAAATCTCCAAATCTTTTATAAACATACTTAAAATAATCATTATAAATCAAACCTAGGGATTTATTTTATTTATTATATGTTAACTCAAGTTTATATATGTACATATGTTTTTTTATAAAAACCATTAAAATAATTACATTAAAACGTAAAAACCAAGCCTAAGGCTCTAAATCTGCATACACCACGGCCGCGGCCGTTGATTTCAATAAAATAATGTACACTTTTAATTTATTTGTTTAGTAGCATATTTTTAGATTCCAATAATCAAATGTCAGCATACCAGAGTTGTTTGTTTACCAAATTTAATAAGTATATACCGGATGACACCGTTTTGTACAAAATCAGGCCTCCAAGATCTACAGACCTCGCACAGTTGGACTATATAAAAATATAAAAATTTGAGTGAAATTAATTGTTGGCCTCCAAGACCTCTTGGAATATTGTTTATGGGGTCGCGTCAAAATTTGAGATATACACTCACAGACAAAATAATCGATCCACACAAATTTTCGATGAATTTCAATCGCAAATAACTTGTTTATTTGATTTCGGATTTAAGCAAATATTAAAGAATATTGCAGATACATTAATGGAGAATCGCTCACATTTTAAAATTTACTAAAAAATACACGTACGTTTATAATATACGGGTTTAAACAAAAATATGTTTTTTACCATAAGTTTAAGACACTCTGTAGAGTGGCAAAACCGTATATTGTTCTAAATTAAGTTTTAATTATCAAGTCACATCTATTTTTAACAGTTTTGTTTTTGGTTCACCTTGATATATTTATTTTTGTGGAAAATATGAATTTAAAAAAAAAACATTGCAATTTCCAATATTTTTCCTGTATGAAGAACTAAGGTTGCTATGGTCCATCCATAGCCTATGGAGGATGACAGTGACAGTTTTGTTGAATCATCCCATACTTGGGCATGTCATATACAGCTTTCAAAAGCTATCAAATTGTTTTTTGTAAATTAATGTGTTAATTTTGAGGTGTCTTCATACTTTTAAAAATGTCTCCGACTGATGTTGCCCTTTGTACTTTACTTCTTGTGACGTTTAAAACACTTGCCACGTAATACTGTGACCGTCCATCCTGGATTAAATTAATGGCTCTGGCAACATCAGTCGGAGACATATCCATTTTTTAAAGTAAATTTAAACATTAATTTGCAAAAAACAATTTGATAGCTTTTGAAAGCCGTGTATGATATGTCCAAGTATGGGATGATTCAACAAAACTGTCACTGTCATTCTCCATAGCCTATGGATGGACCAAAGCAACCTTAGTTCTTCATACAGAAAAATATTGGAAATTGTAATGTTTTTTTTTAAATCCATATTTTCCACAAAAATAAATATATCGAGGTGACCCAAAAACAAAACTGTTAAGAATAGATGTGACTTGATAAATAAAACTTAATTTAGAACAATATACGGTTTTGCCACTCTACAGAGTGTCTTAAACTTAAGGTAAAAAACATATTTTTGTTTAAACTTGTATATTATAAACGTTCGTCTATTTTTTAGTAATTTTTTAAAATGTGAGCGATTTTCCATTAATTTATCTACAATATTCTTTAATATTTGTTTAAATCCGACATCAAATAAAAAAGTTATTTGCGATTTAAATTGATCGAAAATTTGTGTGGATCGATTATTTTGCCAGTCATTTTTTTGCATGAATCGTTTGGGGCCCATTAGAAAACTTGGATTTTACTAACTACGAGTTAAACAAAAAATGTCCACTAA